ACCGTCTGGCTTGTATTTGATTTTGAAAACCCATTTGCAACCGACGACGTTCTTGCCCGCAAGTAATTCTGTCAGCGTCCATGTCTGATTTTTCTTCAAGGAAGAAAATTCGGTTTCCATTGCTGCTTTCCACTGGACAGAATCTCCACCTTGTAAGGCTTCTTGATAGGTGGTCAGCTCTTTCCGAGTCTCTTGATATGAGATTAAACCTCTGTGCTTCTTCTTCCTCCTTTCCAACAATTGGTCATATTTTTCGACTCTTTTCCTAACTCTGTCTCCCCTTCGAACGATAGGATCGATTGTCTGGGAAGAGGATGAAGCTGCCCCCTTTGCTGTAGTATCAGGGGGTGGAGCAACCGGGGCCTCAGATGTAGTTTCTTGAAGTCTGAGTTCGCCCAGTAGTTGCTCGAGGTTGCAAACCGTATCATCAAGTTTCTCTCGACACTTCCAGGCGCGCCTCTGATAGGTCTTACCAAAATGGGCCGGATAAGTCGCGGGAACTTCAGCTGTAGTAGGATGATTCACAGTAGGAGGGGAAGGAGCTGGTGGAGCTCCCACTCCAGGTGATGGTGTTTTTGGACTGAAGGCTCCCTCTGCGGGTGGCCTTTCTGCTGGTGGCACTCCCACTGCTGGTGGAATAGGAACTCTGCAATCTGGAACAGTAGATGAGCTTGTAGGTAAATGGCAGAAGAGAAAACCTTCTTGGTTATTAGGCGGAACTGCTGATGTCTGCTGCTGAGGGAAGTTGGATTCCCGAGCAGCAAGAGGCATAAACCTTACAGATCTGCTCTCGATAATTTTACGAGAGTCTTTTCGCTGCAGCCTATATCCTTTAGCTGTAGGAGAGTAACCAAGGAAAATACATTCTACGCTCTTAGGGTCAATTTTACCCCGATGATTCTTCTCAACATGGGCAAATGCAGTACATCCAAAGACTTGCAGGTGACTCAGATCGGGCTTCTCTCCATGCCAAAGTTCGGAAGGGGATTTGCCCGTGGGCAGAGCCTTCGATGGAGATCTGTTTTGCAAGTAAATTGATGTATGCATTGCTTCACCCCAATAGACATGCGTCAGACCAAAATGTGTTAGCATAGCTATGACCGAATTCTTTCTTTCAGCTATCCCGTTCTGTTCGGGAGTATCAGGTATCGGGAGTATCAGGTATCGTCAACTGTCGGTGAATGCCGTGAAGCAGACAGAAGTCATTAAAAGCTCGAGATTTATATTCCAGACCATTATCTGATCTCAGAATCTTAGTTCGCTTGCTCAGGAAATTCTCAGTCATTAACTTGTATTCCTGAAACTTAGCAAAAACTTCAGACTTCTTTTGTATGAGATACACATGGGTATAGCGGGAAAGATTATCGATAAATGTTATGAAATATGTACAGCCAGAGAACGTTCTAGTTCTCAAAGGTCCACAAATATCTGAGTGCACTAAACCGAGTAGGTCTGTTGCACGCGTGGCTCCTTTGTTTGGGAATTTTACTCTGGTGGACTTCCCTATGGCACAGGAAGTGCAGAAAGGGAGAGTTTTCAAGGAACAGTTGTCGAATCCTCGCCCCATGTTTTTTTTGCTTCAGTTCTTGCATTCTGGGCAGACTCATATGCCCGAGTTTAAGGTGCCACTGGTATGTAGTCAGTTCTTCATTGTTGACTACTGTATAGGCAGAGGCTGCTCCGGGTGTCATGTACCCAGCCGAATTAATTCGTTTTCGATGGTGCAACGAACAATCGTTTCGCCCATCTTGTCCTGTACAATGCAGTGATCATGCTTGAGCACTACACCCCCACCTTGACGAATGTGCTGAGTTACAGAGAACAAATTCTTGCGTAGAGCTGGAACGTGGAGCATGTCAGGTAGTACCCTGTCCGTTCCATCGTTCAAGGAAATCAGAACACTTCCTTTTCGGTTGGCGACTTTCGTCGCCAAGGTAAATGAACTCCTCCGATGGGAGTTCCTTGTAGTACACAAATGCACTTCGGCTATACGCCATATGCTTTGTAGCACCCGAATCCAAATACCATGTGGGATCCGCGCTGGTTGACGAGAGTACGGTGACAAACAGCCGATGCTCAGCGTTTGCAGTTGAGTGTGAAGAAGAGCTTTCTTGCTTCTTCTTGTGACACTTACTGGCAAGATGCCCGCGCTTCTTGCAATAGAAGCACTTCATCTTCTGGCGGGGAAAGGATGGCTTGGCTGTGTATTCTAGTCGTGCTGATGAGGAAGTGTCGGCATCATCTGATCTTCTGGGCTGCTGCTTAGGGGGATTTAACCCTTTCTTTTTCGCTATATACAGTGCTGTCGTGCCGTTGGTTACCGCAGACTTCTTGAGATGCTCCTCTTCAAGAAGAAGGTTTGTTATCACGGTCTGTGTGGACAGCGTCTCGGTCACTTGCATGAAGCGAACGAAGGTTTCGTATTCTTCTGGAAGACTTCCCGGGAGTTAGAGCACGGCTTCTCCTTCTGGAATTGTCTGTCCTATGACAGCCAGCTGATCAAGTAGGAGTTGAAACCTTATGATAATTTTCATAAGGTTTTCATGCAACGCTTTTCTCAAATGCACTTGGTGTGGATGCGATCTTGATTCATAAATTCTGGCGAGCTCACGCCATACGTCAGCAGCTATTCGATAGCGTGCTATTAAAGGTTGTATTTCCCTTTTCATGGCATTGTTTAACATTGCCATGGAAAGGAAATTCCTTTCATCTCAAGCCCTTTTGCTCCCTGAGCCGGACTCAAGTGTTCCGGTTGCCGAACTGGGGGAAGTTGTAGGCTGGGGCTCTGTCCCTTCAATTAGTTCCATCAGGCCTTCCATGCGAAAGAGCCAGCTGATCTGGTTAGGCATGAAATTGCTTCCCATCGAATTTGGGAAGATTCCGTAATGAGAATTTGAGAGTTCTTGATGATGTCATCTTCCTCGTAACGTCTGCGTGTGTACACCTTCTTCACAGTGCGATGCAGGATACTGACCCACTTGCAGAATTTTTCGCGAAACGAACATTTTCTTGAAATTTTAGTTTGAATTGCAGGAAACCTTAAAATTTCGCTCAAAATTTTAAAGATTTTCTGAGATTCCGACTCCTCAGTGCTTCAGATCAGCACTGTCAAGGCATTTCACAGGTTCTGACAGTCGAATTTGAGCAAATTCGAAGTCGAATTTCGGAGCCAGGTGGGGATCAGCGATCTCTTGGTATTGCTTTCACAGGTGTCTAAGAGGGGTCAAAGCGAGAAGCGTCCTTCTTGCTTTCTGGATTCAAGCGTCCTTGAATCTGAGTGGATCATGCTTTGATACCATGTTAGATTCATACGATGCAATAGAGAGTAAGAGATCAGCGAGTTGAGGAAGGATTGAAGTTATAATTGATGGATGGTAACATGCCACCCGGATTGGGTTTAAGTACCCAATCCGGATAGGATCAAAGGTCACTATTTCTAGTGACCTTTGATCACAGGGATCGCAGCTCTACGAAGAGTCATGCCCCTATCACGGGACGCTCCCAGAAGGGTCGCATCCCCAGTTAGTATCCATACTAACTATTAGTAACCTCAGTATTAACAACTAAGACATAGTATACAGGTCCCAAAGAAGTAGAGAGTACTCAGCATTCTAACAATTATATTTTAGGTGCTTTCTCCTCTAGAATATTATTGTTTGATTGTTCTCGAAGAGGTTATACGTGCCAAAAAATTGTTTTTTTTACCTGATGTCTAGATTTGTTGAATTGTCCCTGCATCCGTAGAAGAAAAAAAGGTAAAAGTTGATAAAAACATAATGTTTGTTTTTATCATATTTATAAAATTAGAAGAATCTTTTATATTTATTCAATATCACATTATCTATATTATTATAAAGATTGATCAACCTTTTACAATTGAATGCATTATTACTATTAAGATTAAAATATTTGACGAACTCAAATATACATTAACTGAACTCAAATTTATACATGCTATGACAAAGAATTTATTTGTTTAAGATGTTAAATTCAAAAAACTTAGAGTGATAGAAATAAATTTAAAGCTTAAAATGAAATTTTGAAATAATTATGATGGAAAGATAGAACTGTAATAATTAATATAGACTATATAGGATATTATTATTTATGATGTAATTGAGATGACTTATCTATCATATTTTGGGCTAAAATATATGTAATAAAAGTTTTTTACATGTAATAACTAAAATTTGTTTAAAATTTTATATAAATTATGTTATCAATATACATAATTGATATTTGAATTTTCAATATAATAATAATCATATAATTATGCACATATCATTATGTTTATGTTTTTTTGAAATATTCATTCTTCGAATAAATTTATAATATAGTATACTTGTAGTGCTTTCTTGAGATTGACGTAAATTCATTTTTGCGAACAAAAGTTTGGAATTTTGTTTATTATTTTAATGACAATTAAAAAATTATTTTTTCCAAATAATTGAACTTTATATCTTTTCAGAACATTGATATTCAGAACATTCTATTGATATATCTTTACCTCTTTTTGAATTTGGATTTGATTCGCCAAAAAAATTTAAACTTCTTCAAAGTTAACATGAATAATAAAAATAATCTAAAAAAATGTGGCAATATTCAACGTCACATTTAACAAAAGGTCTAATTTCTTAGTTATATTGGTTGCTAGAGATCCAGTAAGTTATTTTTAAATGTGTCTTGTTTCGAGTTGATACGTTCACCTCACTTAATCCATAGCTAACTTATCTAGGTAAGTTTGAAGTCTATGCAATCCAATTACGAGAGTCCCCGCCTCTATCCTACAAACAATATAAACATGTAGTGGAGCAATCAACAAGAATTAAAGGACCAAAATCCGAAGAGTAAAGGTAGAAGATTAAGAACATTTGACTTTAAACACGGAGATCTTTGCGTCATGAGTGCAACCATTCCACCAGTCTCTCTGAGCTATTAAATCTTTCGAAGCACCACACACGATAATCCAACGGCCAGAACGGCTTGGTATTACAAGAGGGACTGACATGGTCATCCAAATCTTTACTCAAACACGTTTAGAACACATAGCTCATGGAAAGCTGGGTCTTTCCTATCCTTAAACGGGTTCAAAAGAAACCCATCCTATAATTTCTAAAAAGGCTGCTCCGATATGCAAAAATGGTATTTAAGGCTTCTTCACAACTGCTACTGCGAAACACGGATGCAGCGAGAACTCAAAAGTCACCCGAAGGTTTTCACCGGGTCCTGCCTGGTGAGCAATCTGCAAGGCTATGCGGTTTCTCAGTGCGACCTGTTCCATCTGACGAATATCGACCACTCTCTGTGCCTTAATCACAGATTCCATCTTCGGGGTTTTTGAAACTGCTTGACTTAATTCTTGAATATGCTGCTGCGCAGACATGAAGTGATCGTAGGCTACTTGATATAGTTCCTTAACCTGCAATACAGGTTCGACAAGTAAGCAAGGATCGTAAGTCTAAACTCACTTGCAATAAGGCATGGTGCTGAATCGTAAGTCACTGGCAGTAGATCAGAGATTTGAGAAAATTACCGATTGGTGCCTATGTCGGGTCGCTTCTCTGAAGTCAAGGTATGTCATGGGTTCTGGTACCACAATTTTGTGTAAAAGCTCAAACCTTTGAGTAAATCTCTGAAGTAAAGAAACACATTTCCAGAAACCAGTTCAATTATATTGATCATGATTAAGTAAACTCCCTTTAGATTATATACGACAAATTGCAAACATAGAAGCACAAGTACCGAAATCTGTACAAAAGTTGTATTTTTTACTATGAAAGACAGTATCATACCTCTAGCTCGGTATTGAATATTGTTTCCCGATGTATGATCTTGCGATCCGCAGTTAATGCTGCAAGCATCTGCAGAGAAGGTTAAAAACATAAAGATGAGATTAGTGACAGGTCTTCTTTAAGGCGTCAGAAGGCGACTTACTTCAATATGATAACAAAGCCTCTGAAGTGAAAGGATAGCCCACAGCTCATCTAATAAGAAATGTCAATCAAAGAAGAACTCATTCCGTCTCCCAGGGACAACTACGGATTATTAAATACTAAATTAGCAAAGGTAACTTCGACCCAACAAACCGAACAACGAACAACGAACCCAACAAGCTAACACAAACTACTACTATTTCCAAGAGATAATGTACTATAAATTGACACCATCAATCTTGACTGGAAAACATAATTACAGATCAATTACAGCCTCTCCATCGTTGTGTTACTTTGGTTATAATTTCATCTGCGTATCACCCAAAAACTAGAAGGTCATCCAAATCAGCTAGTAGTAGTCAGGAACCCGGCATCCATGTTTGTCGGGCTCCTTGTAATTAGGCGTACCAATGATTTAACAGGTAAATTTCTGGATGTACCCTTATATCAGGTTTACAGGGAACAAAATCAAACCCATCCGAGTATTACTCGTTGGATACTGCGGATGGCTAGCCAGTTATACGGAAAACACCCGGCTAGAATGGATAGTCGATGAACATAACGGTACGGAGCCTGAACCAATCCCAGAACTCAACTATGCAGGGTCTAAGTTGAGTAACAACTCTTTCTCAGGTGATCCGCGAGGATCTCTTCCTTATTTCAATTTCTTCTATAAAGGATCATCTTAGAAACGCCAGATGTGTTCTTTCGAAGAGGGATACTAAACATGATATGTAAGTGTAGGAATTATTTAGTCTACTGTGCAATTCAACAATCTTTATGAAGCACAGTGAATAGGAGGGAGTTAGCAATAAGCTCTCACTCAAAAGATAAGTATTTTTTGCTCGTCGACTGACTGAGACAAATATAATCCGTCCATGTGTATTGAAAGCCAATAACTGAGATGCCAGTAAACATCTAAGCAAGACATGAGGCCCAGGAGTAGTGCGAATAAAAACTATAAAACTATCGGGAAGACAATAAACTCACCCAAATGAAGCCTTTGCAGAGATTAATGTAGCATTGGAGAAGCAGCACGCTAGGTGTGAAGCGAATCTCCTTGTTGACAACTGGTTTTATGGTCCCCCCTTTCTTCTTCTTCCCCTTCTTCTTGGCTGATGATGATAACAACAGAGAAAGCGATGCCTTCCGTGTGAGCCTATGGAGGCAACGAAAAGAGTCATGATGTGATCCTGAATGCATTCTAACCCAACTCTAGCCCCTTTTCTAAGTTCTTGATACTTCATGATGTTTCATCCAAATTACGTCGTAGTCTTTATCTTTCTTATACCTCATGGACACTTAAAAGTTGGGCTTTCAAACTTTTGACACCAAAACCCTAAACCCTAAACCCATTCACTGCATACTTCCACGTAAACGCATGCTTGCTACTCCTTCATGGTCATGTCTGCAAAATTACGCATGTAAAATTACCCATGCCCAAACCAATCTAATGCATTTCCACATCCAAGTCAGGAAACTGTCTCACCATAGACAACAATCATACCACATATTCACATTTTGTGCAGAAGTTATTCACTTCCGTGGCCTCACCTGATTCAGGAGAAGTATCGTTTGATTTAACAAGCTCGGCCTCCAGCCTCCGTCTTTCTTTCGCTAGCTTATAATGCATCAGGGTCATCAATGCATGATCCAGATACCTGTTTTGGTCAATGATCAACAATGTACAGTCAAGATGGATCATTTCAAACCAGCAATATTCGATTGCGATGTATCAAATTACATATTTCATGATGGAGAAACTGCATCTGAAGCTGGTATTTTTTCCATGTAACCAAACTGTTAACGAGCACTCTCCTCCAGTAGTCACACGGAAAGTGGCTGGTCATCATTTTTGAAAAGAAAGGGACTGATTTTCTATCCATGAACGAGATGGATACCCAATGATGAGATAATGACAGATAATTTTTCGTTGCTCCTCCACCACTTTAAAATTTCAACCTCCAAAATTTTTACTTCAACTAAAAGAGTGGCAGTTTTGAGCTTTGCTTCAGACCAGAAAGACATACAGATAACAGCTCAGTCCACCAGCTGAGTGAGGTTTTGGTCCAAGGCTGCAAACAAAGTATAGGCTGACTAATTCTGGACAGAGGTTTAATCCACCGCGGTGTACACTGCCTACTGAAAGGTGGTTTCGCATCTCTCTTGTCTTGTGGTTAGGGAGAATAAACTCAGTCTACAAATTAAAGTTTGGTCCGGAGCCGAAACAAGAACCCTGTAAATAGATTGAAGATTTTAACGGTTTGAGATGCGTGGTGGAGAAGAAAGATGAGCTTGAACTTCAAACTTTAGAATGTGGATTAATATTAATCATATGATAACAAAAATTTCGAAGTGATAACACTTACCAGTACACCATGCAGTACTCGTTTGGAGAGTAGAGTTCGAGCTCAAATCCAAGAAGTAAAAAATGAGTAACAACCCAGCACAATAGCTCTGCAGCCCAGCCCATAACCACATCGTCTGTCCATCCAGTCTGCGAAACCAACCAAAACCGTTCAGATTCCTAGCCCAGACATTCTCATGTTTAGAAGCATGAAGTACGGCATGTTACACATTTTGAAGAGTTTAGTGCTCTCCACCAAATTCATGTCCAGCGCAGATACAAGTACAATATAGATAAATGGACTTCGACACCAAAAATTAAGACTTCAGATCATTTATTGAATGTGATGTGATAATTACCCACATCTATGCACCAATTTCAAACTGAAGAGCGCAAAATACTTGAATTTACCTTCTCTAACTGTCCACCTACACCACTCTTGCGGAAGGAAGTTTCGCGACTAAATTCAGCCTGCGCATAGCTACCACAGAAGTTCAGTACAGATGAGCCCGAAATCACATTTCTGATAAATTTAATTAAAAAAATGATAAAGTAAAACGTAAGCCTGCAATGCTCGAAATCAGTTATTGCCAGGGTACCTGCTCTAATAGCAAACCCCATTCCTGAATAACCCTTCCTAGTTTACGTCGCTGCCAAGCTGGATTAGTGCACATTGTCCTGATCAGCTGCATTGTCAACTACAACGGGACACAGACACTATTAGAAGAATATAGGGACGAAGCTGTTTACAAGCAAATAACATTTAACCTATAGGAATCATACCATAAAAACGTGTGCGAGAAAGTATGGTCGGCAATGACATTGCGGATCGACGAAAGGTATATATGTAAATTGGACCAGAAGGAATTTGAGGATGTCAATCCATCTAAGGTGCAGCTCAGGTGACGAACTTACTCTTCCACACTGAGTTAAAAAATTGTATGTTTCTGTGTCTCTTGCGGGTCGCTCATTTTGCAGTTTGATAGCTCGATACAGGGAGTCTGTCACTGTTTCGCGACCAAGAAGTTTTCCATCTTGTAACAAGAGCAACTGCACAACAAGGTTGGATTACTAGCTGAAATAAGTTGAATACACTAACTAATTGTGAACAAGCGCTGGAAATTCGACCCCACATAGACTCGATGACCATGGAAGAATCAGTAATATACTTGAACTTATATATGAAGAGCAAACCTGCAACCGAGCTCGAGCAACAAGATCAGGCTGCGACTTTTGGAAGTCCACAATATACTGAAGCAAGTCTTCAAGTTCCAAGTCGGATGATAAGGAACATATGCGATTGAGGTCATTCAGCAACTGCTCGAAGTAGTTCAAGGTCTACAAGCAGCAGAGTTAGACAAAGTAGGTCAGCATATATAGATACACTAACCCATGACGATAGTCCAAATTGACGCTATAAGACAGGAAAACACAAATATTACTCCTAATGGAAGGGATTCGACTTACATCATCAATAACTCAAAAATGCCATGTGATTAGTCAGACTAAGTCTAAGTTGAATACTGCTATTGGGCACTATCTGCGACACTAACCAGTGCACCTTTATCAGACAAGTATCGACAGGAGAATAACATTCCATTCGTCTTTTTCATGCAGGTCTCTGTCTGTAATGGAAGAAACTGCTTGTGACAACATTGACTGAACAGATGTCCACAGAAAGAGAGCTAAAGAGCCGTCAATAGGGAATCAACGGCTTAAGATAAGTTCTCCTCGCAGCGATTTAAATTTGGGAAAAAAAACTGAGCCAAACTATGACATACGATAAACAAATGATAGGATTAACCAGCTTGAGCAATATGATACGGCTCAACTGGAACATCCGGATGGGCAGATCTTAATGATGGATGATGATTGGCCAATATACGGAATCTGACATAGCCGCCCATACTTGAACTTGAAATAACCTGAAGGAGGGGTAGAGCTATGCGCTTAGCAAACCTTTTCGCAAACCAAAAAAAAAAAACGCCTAAGCAGATAGTATTTCCGAACATTCGTCTTTAGATTAGTTCAAAGTGTGTTTCACTCAAGACAACAAAATAAACGACGGAATCAGATCAAAAACAATTTGCCTTTTAAAGGGGCAACCACACGAACGAGCTTGCGAAAGAGGAGGTTTGGTCGAGGAACTAACCTCGTTCCAACTTAAAATGTCAATAGATCGTGGAGGCGTGGGGGCCAGTAGTCTTCTATTGACACTTTCATCAAAGCCCACAGCAGGTTGTCCAGACGCCGTACAAGTGGATTCCACAGGATCCTTCAAAGGCCTTCGGGCAGACAGAAAGCCAGAAGAAGCTCTTACAGCAGCAAGTTCCGTTAGAGCTCTTGTGATGTGTTTCTGAGCCATCTCCGACCCTCTTCCCAACGGCTTCTCCATGTATACCAAAGCATGATATAGAGACTTTGGATCAACGAAAGGAGGCACACATATCACACAAAGGTCAGCTTCTTAATTGACTCAAGGTGCTCGGACTAAGTACTGTGAACCAAAAAAAACTCATCTAAAGTCACTACGGAAAAAGGGAGTCCACAGACAGAAATGAAGATGCTTCAGAATAAAAAACACATGAGAAGGTTAAGAAAGCACCCCACCTTTCTAAAGCGTAGACGACAGAGAACTGACTCACAAAAATCTTCCTCCAACTCAGGATCGTCCTGCAAAGGCTCCACTTCTGCACCCACGTATGATGTAATTACAAAAAACACATAAAAAGCTCACCAATTTGGAGACATTATAACCTCGTGTGATGAAGAGACAAGTATCTGGATACTAGTGAGGAAAATGTCAATAGATGCATGTGTTGTCACCAATCAGTAAATTCGTTGTAACCTGTTTTACCTTCTGTGGATTTCTTCTTCCCACTTGCTGCCCCCTTGCATCCCCTCAATTGCCGGGCCAAGCTTTCTTCTACGGCATTCAATGTTGCTAGACACTTGTTGTCACCTTCGGCATCCAAAGGAAGGCCAAAGCCGAATGTCACGAAGTCTTCTTCCTGCAGTATCGGCCCAAAGTTAGAAAGTATTGAAAAAATTAGGATGGGTGGGGTGGAGTTTCCGATTAAAAGTGTAATATTTTAACAAAGACTGATAAATTATTCCTGACCGTCGTGATGCGGCACACAACGACAATTTCAGAACCATAGAAATCCAGCTGCATGTAAGCAGTATTGTTGCTCGCACTGGTACCTGTGCCCTCTCATTTATATTGATCGATGATATACTTCACTTCCATGATACGCTGATGAAATCGAAGCTCTCAGATGAACATACCTCATGGATGTCAGACAGTACTATTGCTGTCCGGACCAAACTACAAGTCGCACGGGTGATTTTGCAGTAGGCGTGCAACAAGGCGTTTGGGGTCGTACGGTCCAGCTTCAACATATATAAACATGAAAATACTGTCTGTGCCAAAGAATGGCCCTTATGCCACGTGGCCTGTCAAGGACGATTGTACAGGGCAGGTGAATAATCCCAGTTCAAGTGATACAAAACAAAATTCGTGCCTTAGTTTAAAAAGACAAACTTTAATACCGCCCTGACTGGGCAGACCCATGTACCTGCATAATACTCACTCAAATGAAAGCAGTTAGACTGTAGAGCCAGTATTCAATCCAAAACTTTGTTTACACTACAAGCAACCACTTGATAAAAGTCAACCAGTGCTCTTTCCCAAACTATATGATCAAAAATTGGTAAGCAATTACATGAACACTAAAACAATGCTGTCCCAGCGACATGTGAAACGCCTTTCACCTTGTATGAAGTATTACCTCACAAGCTAGAAGATGGTCCATGACATCTATAATTTGTGATATAGTCAAGAAAATGGGAGCAGCTCCGCTCTCGACTGCTTCTTCTACAGTCTTGTAACCTGTTGTATTCATACCGGCGTCCATTTTGGGATCCATAATCTAACATTGAACGACAAAAGCTAGTAAGTTTCACATAACCTAATAGAGATCCGATTCAATTGTGCAGTGCAACCTCCTGTGCACCTCATGCCATATGCAAGAAAATGAAGGTCAATACAAGGAATACATTGAAAAACTTGGTAATTACATTCCACGGCAAGCCCTGTAACCTAGCAACCGTCAACGCAGTTTGCACTTTTGCAACAAAAGGGAATTTGCCAGTAATTACACCTCGAGAGCTGACATTGCTTCGAATAAACTGAAATTCTCGCCATGTATGAGTTCTCCCACACCAAGGTCTGCAAATCATATGAATGCAATCTTATCAAAATATCATCACCAAAAAGCACAGTTTTGAATCCTCGAGTAAGAGTTCTGAACAAAAAGGATTGAACATTCTCTACGATGGAGAATGCCAGACGGCATGCTAAAAGCTGCAGGCTTGGAGCTCGTAGGCTACTGTCAAAAAAACATAAGTATCTGAGCCAAGTTCACGGCGACAAGAATTTCTTTGAGTGAATGACTCTCCACCACCGACTCAGGACAGATATCACAGATTAGGTCAACCCTTTGAACGAATTTCGACAGACACTAGCTGCCCTTGGGCATTGTCAACTATATTCCGCATCGTAAGTTCGTCTCGCAGCTCCGAAATCCAGAAAGGTGAGCAAAACTCAACAACACAAACAGAGAGCAACACCGCGAGCTGAGAAAAGACGCATTCAGAAACCTGCTTCACTATACAAAGCCAGGCGCTCAGCACAATCTTCCTCGCGACAGCCATGAAATATGCCAGGAAGCTTCACCGAGGAAGCAGATCAAAAGCCCACATACCATCGCACGCAGCCTTGAGGAAGCCCGTAGCATCTGCCCACTTCGTTTGGTCTACCACGGGGAAAGTAGCCGTTGCTGCTGACTGCTGCGCCATCGGTGAAACCTGTGATGTACCATTCCCAGCCAGACCCAGCCCCGGATCCATTCGACCCTCTCACTTACAGCTCTCCATCCATCGACATTCGAGTTCCCTCTCGCTCTCTTCCTCTCGGCCGAATTTCCTCCTCCTCCTCCTTCTCCTTCTCCTTCTCCTTCTCGCCCCGGCTGGCTGACTGGCTTGCTCGCCTGCCTGCCTGCCTGCCACCCACCAACCCACCCACCCACCACTCTCTCGTCGTCCTCCTGTCAGCAACTCGGCATCGGCATCTCTCTCCGCCCCGACGCCTGAATCAGGACAAAATGTGCTCGTTCCTCCGCTCGCTCGCTCTCGTCTCCTCTCGGCTCGAGCCGCGATCAGGCAGCCGCCTGTTCTTGACAGCGTATGTATGCAGAAGAGCGAGCGACAGCGAGAGCAGACAGTCTCACGGACGAGAACAAGCCTTCGTCCTCCAACTCCTCCTTCCCAAGGGAAGAGGGAAGGGAAGGAATGCGGACGACGAGAGGAACGGTGAGGAGGACGGGGCCGTGTGATGACGAGGAAAAGCGGAGGGCGGAATAAACAAACGGCGCAAATCCTGTCTCTCTCTCTCTCTCTCTCTCTCTCTCTCGGGCAGGAATGATTCGTGCAGCATTTATTGGGGGATGAATAAATCTACGTGGCATAGTTCCAGGACCGCGAACCTATTTTGCAACTCTGCCGAGCGACCCTGGGCCGGCCAACGTGACCACCCTCCGTGGTGAAAAGTCCACCCTCGTCAGGTGACTGACGGCGATCCGTGCCGTCGTTACAGGGGATCTGACGGTTGGAGTCGCCCGACCGCTTTAAGTTGGTGCGTCGACGTTGGTGTGATTACCGGCACCCTCCGTCAGCCCTCCGAGGTCCGTCCGCATCTTCTTCGGTTGTGGCTATGTCAGCATTTCCTGTTACACGTCATCGTCTTGGTCCACGTGTCATTCTCAATTTCGCGGATTTCGCCGTGAAGAGGTTCAACTCCCTTCCCTCAATCGTGTCCCGCCACGTCATCGAGCTGGCTCCACACTTGCTTCGGCCGAAATGCAAACCTCCCAGAACTCCAAAGCTGCAGGAGACATGGGGATTGCAGACGAAGCACGCACTCGATCGACGGCCCCTTTGGCACCTCCCCCCTCTCACTGGATCGGATCACGCAATTTTTTCCTCGGCCTGGAGCCGACGGCTAGCCCGCTACGAACTACTCTGATCAATTTCTCTGTCGGATTACGGTGTGACATTGCGGGCCCGAGAGTTTGACTTACCATTGATAAATTTTTGGTGAAACGCGGAACTTTCCACTCGGGAAGGTTTATCTTGCTTCCGGAAGGAATTCAGAGATGGAGAGATCATGCGATGCTCGGTGGTTTTTGACTTTTCCTTGTGACTGCTTAGTTGGGTCGCAATTTGAGATTTGAACGTCGTGTTTTGACATGTTCTCGCGATATCTCCGAGTTGCTTTTCCCTGACTCTTCCATCCGGCCGTGGCTCTGTACTTGCGCTGGGTTGGTCTTGAGGGCTTCGTGCTCTCGCATTTGCACTTTGCAGTTTTCTGTACTAAAATTCGAATGCTTTTTCACAAACTGTTGGTCGCATGCTTATTTCAGGGTTGAAGCTTCCTTCTTTTTCTTCTGATCTCATGATCGTTCTTAAATTGTTTGGGAATCTGATGTGAGCTATTTTGGAAGGATTCGATTGCAGCGAGAACATAATTTGATGATGTTCAGGTTTGAGATCAGAAGTTCTGGAATAGGGTACTGAACGGCATCGTACTAGATCAACTGGCCTCCAGTCTAGTACCGAGAGTGCAATAGAAGCTCGCCCTTGATATCTGTAAAGAAATCTAATCGCGATGGCTCGTAAGTATGGTCGAGTGGGTATGAAAGACCCTTTTATGTACACAAGTTCTATCAATCATGGTTTGCTTACCGAGAAGGCCCTTCGAGATGTCTTCGAAATTACATCATATATTAACTTCGGCACGGCTGAGGAGCCGTTGCCGTACCCTGTCAAATTCAGTAAGTTTTCTCAACCTGCTGTGAGTTTCTTCAGCTGCTCAACAAAGCACAATCTTTATAGAATACCCGTAGCTTAATCCCTTCTATAAACTACCGCTCCTCCTTCCCGCTTCCTGTATTCCAATAAAGTTTGTTATACCACTCCGGCTAATTAGAAGCCCAAAAAGATTCGGGAATGGAAAATGGAGCACTTTGCATCACCTCCGAAGTCCAGCTAGGTATGCGAAGCCTAGACCCTGATATGACAGATGATGATGCACTCTTCGCATTCTTTGGTGATCGCAGAGGACAGGGACAGCTTCTTTGGCAAACAGATTATGACCCAGACCCCTAAATGGGGATTCCAAACAAATGATGTCTTTTTCCAGAAGGAACATCCCTGGGTTTTCGATGTACGTTGTCAATTTCGAGCTTCTGTACATATTTGAATTGAAGCATTAGAACCCGATCAACCTAAGTGCACAGAGGAAGCGGGACTAAATGCAAGTGGTTTCTCGCTGTGGTCATCCAAAGTTCCAGTGTTCTGTTGTTCAAACATATCACGAACTTTAAAACGAAACTCTTTCACGTACACCAGTCCTGTCTACACATCATATCTTCTGCAGGCGGGTTTTAATTCGAGAACTTGACTCTGCAGGGAGACCTCTTCGTTGACAGAAACATGTATGTTGAGTCTCAACCTGATAGATACAAGGGCTTCTGGACATCTGATTTCTCAAAGAGGGATGAATACACGAATGTCATGCGTACTGAGCAGTATCGAGAACAGCTGAAGGTCCAGTTTATCACCCCCGCACACTCTCCTTGTCTCAAGTCAAGTTTTCAGTGACGCTCGTCTCCTATTTGTTGATCAACGGTAATATAACGCAGCAAAAAAGGTTAGTGTCTTCCTGGTGTGTTAAGAATGCTGCTTGACTTCCGCGCCTCGACATCATTACACTCTCTTACTTTATACTGTCGTTGAAGTAACAGTCCTGAGCACTCCCTAAAATTAGCATCTCTTGTTTCAGCAAAAAAACTTTCATGATAGCTTTCTACCTGTGCGTGCTTGTTGAGACCTGGACTGACTGCAGAGTCTATGAATCAACTTCTTGAGTATATCTTAAACTTCTGATGGTTGTGAGTGCTGCATGCCTTCTGCTTACATATTTTTGACAACAGTTGGAGAACAAGCATTCCAAGAAGTCTGTGGAACAGTCTGAAGATCGCATCAAAGCGATCAAAGCGCAGTACCCTGATATTGACAAGCCTCATCGAACAAGGGTGATAAACGATTGGATCCTTTCTGCTTTACATGATGCCTGAATCTCTTGCTCTCTCTCAATTATGGTTTGGGTCCCTTAAGAAAACCGTTGGCTCAGAACCACATCTAGGAAGCTGCTTGGTTTCTCAATTACTGATGCAAATTAACTTCCTCAAAATGATGGCATAAGGGAGGATAGATATTTCCTTCTTTCATGTCGATGGACTATGTATGTACCAATGACTACATTTGTCCCACAACTTCATGCGGAACAGTTCGATGGGCCAAGGTATTTATATGATGTGGGAAGAGCTGGACTTGCTACCACAAAGCATTGTACTCGCTGCCATAAACAAACCTACTATTGCCCTCACAATGCTGCATACTGTACAAACAATCCCGGTCTCAAAAAGGTGATCACCTGCCCCGTACGCATGATTGGAGTAGACATGCTGAGATCTGTGTCAGGCCGTTACTAGAGACCTGGAGAGTACACGTACGAGCTAATGAGCTAGTTACTTGAGGAAAAAAGAAATTTGAGAGCTTCGTTCAGCAATTTGTGAGCTAATCACCGTTTCTGATTGTAATGTCATAGGATGTCATGATTTTCACTCATAACGGAATGTGCGGTGGAAGAACGTTTTTGAATACAAATTCGTTTAGGCTATTATTTTCTCTTTCTTCCCTCAATGTCATGGTCCGAGGTGGAGCTATGCGCACTATCAGATGCCTCTTTGGGGGTTGGTGGTAACTCGAAGGGAGACTAATGTTTTGGAAGGAAACTTCGCAGGATATGGGCTTCCATAGGACCTCATCTCAGGACTACGGACGAGAAGCTGACACAGCTAACTATGCCAAACCGAAGTATGGCAACAAGCCAGTCATTAAGCAGCAAATGTACAGAAGAACGAAGATCTTCTTTCCGGCAAAAACACTTCTTGGATTTCCTGCTTAATAAACTCCTGGAAGAGTGTTTTCTCTCTACATGGGTCTTCTATGACCACTAAACAGTACGTACTTTTGCATCTGCGACTTCCTCCATTGGCTTCTCTTCATTCCTGTAAAATACAATGAACTTTGAATTTGTGATCATGTGAATAACGATTGGTTATTTTCGATAGTTGTTCTCTGGCCATTGTTCAGAGTAATTTCTATTATATATTCAGTCAAAAGCATGCAATCAGCGAAATCCTGATGAAATCAAGCGTGAAGTTTGCCTAACATGTTGTATTGTTGAGTATCAGTTTTACATCACTTCAAACTTCCACTGTATTCTTTGTTTATCTACTTATGCTCGACATCCAACTTTGATATCTCCTGGCATAATCTGAAAATTAAATATCTCTAACCAGAAGTGAGTCAATTTCTGTTGATGATGCATATGTTTAGTGTAACAGTTGGCAATATCTACTTTCCACCATATCGACAGGCATAACCTCAGAACCTGTTCTCCAAGAAAGCTCAATTTGAACTCGACCTCATGAGTTATAGGTCTCATACCCTAGCTATTGGTCCTAGCTGCAAGTATAGTGCTAATCACTCAATAGGATATAATTGATGTTTTGCTCATAAAAAGTATATGTTCATCACTAATGATGGCACTCCGTACGACATCAAAACAATGCATGTTAGTGCATGTTTATGAATTACATAAGCATTTTCACACAATCCTTGACCATTATTGAGTTTAAACAGAAAAAATCGATTGTTTCAACAAATTGAGAATGTCTCTCACGTTATAAAAATCCATGACTTCATGACATCGTAGTAATTTCATTATTCTAGCATGTAACTTCCACTCTGAGCAATCTCATCTTATGAAAAAGATCTACACTAGTGCTGTCAATACCGAAAGTAACCCAGATATCTTCTCTGCTTTGCTATAAATGGGTATCAACCTCAACGCATGGGGAAACCCGAGGATAAACAACTTGTGTACATCCACAACATTACTATGCATGTTACTTGAAGAGTTAATGGTCCTGATTGCTCCGCTTTCAAGTAGATCAACACTAATCTCCATCCTCATCCCTCCAACATGTGTTTTACAAGCCATGGATGAGGTGTTGAGTGACTCAAACAAAAGAAAGATAGACAAAGTCACCTGCCAACGAGCAATTCTACAGTCGATAGTTTTTGCATAAAAAGTCAAAGCAATTGTCATGGTTGCGATTCTAAACACATGGACTATTAACACTTCCAACATGGGAAATAGATAAATTGATTTCAGAGTCTAATCTTGAAGTATTTATTCGATAGTTTTTGCATAAAAAGTCAAAGCAATTGTCATGGTTGCGATTCTAAACACATGGACTATTAACACTTCCAACATGGGAAATAGATATATTGATTTCAGAGTCTAATCTTGAAGTATTTATTCGATAGTTTTTGCATAAAAAGTCAAAGCAATTGTCATGGTTGTGATTCTAAACACATGGACTATATAACACTTGGACATGAAATAAATCAATTGATTTCAGAGTCTAATTGGACCCATCAAGTTTTGTTTTAACCTATGGGACCCCACCGACGTACTGTGTGACGTAGCCAAGCTCTAGAAAGACACATTGGGGTGATTCTAGATTGTCATGTGAACTTCTACAACATGCCAAAATTTCGTCCATTGGAAATGTTCGGCCAGCAGCAGTAGCCGTTTCATTTCCTCTCGAGAAACATCGTAAGTGGCGTGACTTGGTTCCTGCTAAGATACATGGCGATGGAGTTCGGCAGGTTGCGGTTTAGTGGGCACGGCTGTGGAGAATTCCTAGGTTTTGTTTCAGGATAGACAGGTCACTTCAATATGCTAGTATGGGTGTTTCAAGTCACTCCAATCGATCGAACGTCGAGAGTCGTGCGATCATGGTGTTCCACTGCCTACATCTTCTGCTTAGATTAGAACATGCGTGACATGTGGTGTTCACTTCCTGCATCCTCTATTGATATTAGAACATGAGTGACATGTACCATGATGTTCCACTGCCTGCACCTCCTGTTGATATTAGAACATGCATGACATGTACCATCTCATAGGGCAAATCTAAAGTCTCCTAGTAAGCAATTTAGATTCCCATCAAGTAAATACCATCTCTAATCTCAAAGATTAGAGAGGTATTTCCCTCTCTAATCTTTGATGTAAGTAGGGCCTTATAATCTCCACTTGACAAGTGAAAATTGTAAAGCCCTAGTTACTTAGTTCCACTCCGTTCATGTTCATCCCATATTTTTACTCATGCTTTGTTATTTGACAAAGGATGGGTACTCTACCATCAGTTATGTCACTCGAACTCTTTGAACCCCTCAAAAGTGCATCACATAACGCTCATTTATCACAACTTAAACCAAGGTTGAAACATAGACATGTCTCATTTTGACCGACCTCTCCTGGCTTTAGTCGCATTCAGTTTATTGTTCTTGCTTAAAATCAATGCTATGCTGTTCGGGAGCAGTGTCTCAATTTGACGGAAAGGCCACGAGCACAACCGTTGACCATAGGCATACAAGCTGACTATCGTGACTTCATCAAACCTTCTCAGCCGAACTTTAGTGTTTGTTTAACTTGTTCTGGACTACATAGCTTGATTGGGTGCGATTACTTGCAGCATCGCGACAATATTGTGTCAACGAGCCTTCGCAGGTTCGTGAGAGAGAAGGCTGACAGACACTTCCAGCACTATCGACCATGACTGACGAAAATAATCCAGCGCGTCATCAAACATCATCGTCAGGCATTTGATAAACTGGTGTAACGATACAAGGACCACTTTGATCATCTAGATCAAAGTGGTCAATTGTTAGATGGACTCGGAAAACACATCAGATACTTATATCACGCAAAATACAGCAACCAACGCATATTGGAGCAAACAGAGTCTATTGAAGATCGTCAATTTTGAGGTGCGATGATTGGGATCCCCAGATTACAATCGCTCCAGAATCTCATCTACAAAATGTGAGGAAGAAACTGATCCACATAAACCAGTCTCTTGGATTTACAACAGAATGTTCGTGTACATGTGCACTTAGAACTCGACTTGGCTCATAGATATAGAGCACTTCTATATGTAGCCATGGAAGTCCGTTGTTATTCATCCTAATTTATGTGGCAGAAACTTGCACCAGCCTTGCACTCCTCACACGTTCTAGCGTTTGTTGTCTTCAAGTTGTCATATGAGGGAGACAAACTAAAACTCGAGTCACTTTGTCTAACTAGTTTTTGCCTTCCTCGTCTACACAAACAAAATTACAACAAGCGAATGTTAGCGAAAACAAAATTGATATTCGACTTGGAACATCATTTGCGAATTCCCTCTGTGCAACAATTAAAAAATATTTTATTGAGTCAGACCTGAAGAGAACCAAAACATCCTAAGCGTTACAAACTGTATACAAACTGAATAATACATTAGCTTGAGCATATCCATAATTTCTCAATGAAAGCTAGCTATACAAAAAACCGGCGGGATATCAAAGCAAGAATACGCTAGACGCATCAGACACGATAATACATCTGAGAAGAATTGAATTTTCTCCAAACAAAAAAATTAGTTTCATCGTCAGTATGTTCCTAATTAAAAGTAAGAACGAAACGAAACAAAACTTATCCAGATATCTGAATCAAGCAGCATAGAAGGCGAAACATATATCACGGACATCATCATGATTCCCAGTTAGTACTAGTGATGCCCGTCAAATGAAGCCGAGGATTGCAAAAGAAGAGATCTAGAGAGAAACAAAGAGATAACCGAAAGAATGAGGAAAAACGAACGAAAATATCCAGCATGCCACAGAAAAGCATCGGGATGTTGATGAAAAGAAAAATCGATTGTACCTTCCTCAGCAATTCCTTTTGATACCTGTAACCCTGCAAGATAAACAGAAAACATAAAAACGAAAATAAATAAGGCTTTAATCTTAGAACGAACACAACATACTCAACTTCTGCTTAAAACGTGAAGGCAAGTAGTGCTCATACATAGTGCACTTCAAAAGGACAACCGATTGACTTTTGTGTCCACCCAAAGTAACTACTTTGGGAAGGGCATGTTTGTAACAAGAAACATCTGAACAATAATTCATACGATATACGATGCTAGTTCAAAAAGAGAAGACCCATCTTGAAAGACCAAAATCTTGGCTCTTGTAATCACTCGGGATCCTGACTTCAGATCATTTCTCTGGCTTGCACCCTGGGTCTCCGGATATTCCTCCTGTCTTAAAATATGTTGACGTAGTACATGCTCTACCAACTGTCCGATAGCTTAGACGTAAAGGCTGCGACATTTCGACCATAAAACTACAACTCTGACCTTGGGCAACGATAGATAGCAAAGTTGGCCCCAAAGAGGTATCTTCCAACCCAATATGAAGTCCACTTGCCACAGCCATTTGACGGGCAGGTTGAAGGAAGCTTAAACGATGAAGAGCATGTCACGTTCTGGCAGCTACCTTCCTTTTCTTCAACCGTCTGTCCTTTAGTTCAGAGTACTGAGCATGCAAGGAGCAGGACTTTGCGGGTATATAACTACATACCTTGTCTGTCCCATAAAGCCAGTCGCAGTACGTGAAGACGGAGGCGAAGTTACTCTGGCTTTTGCCACCGATGTAGTGATGGTAGTCATGATATTCAGCTCCTCCATAAAAAGGTATCAGTTTTGTCAAGGCGAACGGAAAATCGTACCTGCGCTCAGGAACATTCACAATCAGCCAAAACACCCTTGATTTGTTTCCAACGAAGCGGAATACGGGGAAGACCAACACGGACGAGAGATCTACAAACTGTGGAGCTATCCCCAACGCGCACAACAAGTAGTTGCAGGACATCCACTGCACTTGCGAGAATTGTTTTGTAAGATGTCATGTAAGACTTTTGTCAACTCAAGAAGCTGTTAAACTAAAGGGAAGATCCTAGCATTCGCTAAAAAGTAACTGATTCATCTTCGTCTTTTACTGACACCTGAGAACATACCCGCTGTGTGTGTCGATAGCTTCGAGTTGCCGTAAAGCTATCCATATATAGAAAGTGATTATGTGACCCGGACAAATAGCTGGACCCAGAAATGTGGGAATGCCGAGCAATAGCATTTCGGCGAAATGAGAATACACAGACGCATAACTCTGTGGGGCGGTAAATTCGTGGTGAACTCGATGAATGTTGTTATATCCCCACTCCGAGTGAAGCCATCTGTGAAGCCAATAGTTCGTGTAATCCTCGATAAGGAAGTAGGTCAGCAGCTGGAGGAGTGCGGTTTGAAGAGAGGGAAGTGGTATATCCGAACTTATACCGATCATCTGCTCCGCAACAGCAAAAGATGAGATTCAAGGAATTCACAACTACCAAACCAATTACCTTACGTTCTTTGAGAAAACGAAACACCCAATGTGCGAACGTTGCGATCCAGCATTGACTCTCGTGAAATGCTATGGGAATTCCATCTAAGCGGCTTCGTAAACCTCAACACAAAGTGTACACAAAACTGAAAGGATAAAGAGGTAAATACAATCTACAACTGGTGAATCAAGTAATCGTCCCGATCGGCACATTGTTGAGTTAGATTAAGGAGAAAACAACTACCTTGAACGTGGGGTACGAAATCACATTCAGCGGAGCGACGATGAAGAAATAAAGCATCATGGTGTCTTTGTAACATTGGATGGAGGCCGATTTGGTATTGTGCACGCCCGGTTGTATCCTGTACTTCTCGAAACTAGTCACTTGATACACGTCCAAGAAAAATGACGGTAAAGGGGCCACATTGTAGATGATCAGAACAAAGACCAAGTTCATCATGTAAAGGTTGAAATCGCTGACATTGGCGGTCCATTCAAACCACATCAGCTCCATACTGCCCAGCGTCCGGTTCAGGGCAGCCTCCGCATGGGCCACACTCTCATACTCTATCATCTTCGCCTCTGTCGGAAATCCAGAACTTCTTCCTCTCCCCCTCAAGTCCAATGAGGCCCAGAGGAATCCAGCAACAAAATCAAACCCTCTGCGGTAAGACGGAAGAAACCATCTAACGAAGCCGCATTCGTATCTCGAGCACCGAAACAAGGTCCGCCCGGCGCCCACCAAGTTACACCCAATCTACCCACCCACCCCAGCGCTCCCTCCGTGCGAAGGCTGTCACACTGCGCGTCCGTCGACCAGAAACAATCCTGAGTATCAAAATCGGTCTACAACCACCAAACGAACCAACGTGCACTCACTCACTCAATCTGTCTCAATGGCCTCGCTCCCTCGATCGCTCTACAAGAATGCAGCAAGAAACATCGACCCGAGAATCCGCGATTCCTCGGTCGACGCGACCCGAGACAAATGCCACCTTCGCTTCCCTCCCGATCGAGTGCAGCATGTGATGTAGCTACTCAAATGTCACGTCGATGGCCCGTGAACATCGCCACACCAGACAGTCACACAGACTGACAGTCAGACTGACAGACCGACTCCCGCCCGCCCGCCCGCGGGCCGGCCCGCCCCGCCTCTCGCCTCTCGTCTGTTCTGTTCTGGCGTGGGGGAGCGTGGCGCGTCTCGCGTCATTTCTTGTTGCTCACTTTTCCGGCCGATGGGCACATTACGGAAGCCCGGCCGGTCCCTGACCCTGCCTCGCTGTCATCGTCGCCGTGGCGCTTCTCATGGCGAATTCATTGTCCATGGCTCGCCCTCGAAAAGCGTATACTCCAACTCACGTACACGAGCGCCGGCGGTATCTTTCTGCTTTTCTTTTCCTCCTTTGCTCTCGAGGCATGTTCGCAGTTTTATTTTTACTCTTAGTCTTTCTCTTATTGCGAGCAGACTTTGGGCAAGAGTATTGTACATTTGAATATTCCCACGATTGCTTTTGCAGACCAATTGTGGTATTTGGACTAGAGCAATTGGAAAATCCTCTCCAATTCAAGCAAAAGCATGCAGGACTGAGACAGTAATTGTTTTTATCAGATTCTTTTAAATTGTTCAGGTATCGCTCTGAAAAAATTTACTGCAGACTCCATGTCGGGGATATCTGATTAGTCTAAACTAGACTTACTTCTTATGGTCTCATGTTATTTTACCATACAATATAGCAAGCAACAAGTTTCATATGTTTATCTATGTGATAAATTTTAAACTGGACGATGAAAGATAATGATGATTCGTATCGTCATTCTTTGTACATATAAAAGCAAAATAGTCATGAAAAAGTTTAAAGTGGATTCTAAAAGATAATGTTGATGTATATCTGCATTCTTTCTAAGTATCCTAAAAAATTAGACATTAACGCCTTATAACAATATTTTTTTTCTTGTTAAAATATTAAGAACCTTGAGTATATGTTACTTTTTCTATTGAAAACTAAGTACACATATTGAGAAAAAATATTGAATTCTCGATGCGATTTTTTCTCTCAAAAGGTCAGACTTTATTTACACATATTTGATGTAAACGCAAATTATTCTTATTGATCTTATATGTTCATTAGGACATTTTTATATTATACAAAGACTAAGATCGTCATTGCTATTAAATATGTTAAATAACTTATTGTGTTATTCGTGTTAGAATACTTATCGAACCTAAATATTTATATGAGATATATGTACTAAAAAATAAGGAAAAATGTTATGCTATTTTGTACATAATAAATTGAAAATCATTGTAAGGTTAAGGGAGGCCACGTAAGCCTCTGCTTTTTAAGCCGACGCTTCTTCCGAAAAGTTCTCCATGAAGAGAACTCTTTAGTGAAAGTGCTTACGCACTCCACTAAACTCGAAGCTTCAAGGTCCAAAATTGTTATATATCCCTTTTTAAAAAAAAGAGACCTTAGAAAAATGCCTATGTTTAGCATAGATAGGCTAATTTTTCCATAACATGCAATTGAAAAAATTATAAAAAGTTTCAAATTTGAAATCATACAAATAAAATCTAGAATTTTTTGAATGCTCAAAAAAATATTTTGTATGGGAAAAAAGTTTAACGTTGTAATAAATCCTTGAATTTCAAATAAAGATCTTTCACGAGGAATATACATGCAAATTTTAAATTTTATAAAAAGTTCATCGATTTTTTGCTAAATCTCTCTGTGGATCGTATGATAGTAACGTCCAGACTGTCAAGTAACTTTGTCACATTGAAATTACATAAGATGTAAATCAAGTGATTGTTAGAATCCGATATATTTTTTGGGATAACCGGTTAGAAATGCCATTTCCCAGCCTAAGCATTGGTGGGCGGGAATCAGAAAAGGTTATGAGGTAAGCCGCTTTGTTCTACTATACAAAAAGTGCCAACGTAAGTAAAAAATAAATGGAATGAATGTAAAAGTGAAATGTTGTAATTTTGAGGACATTATGGTAGAAAAAGTCTTCGTTCTTTATGTGGTTTTCTTACATTCAATAGACTTCAAGTTTTTATGGATGTCTTGCGATGAAGTCAGACGATCTCAATTCAGGCGAAAATTATCACTTTTAGAACAGAACTTTGACTTTACTGTGCGGGTGTTGCATGCATTAATTTCTTACTATCTTGTCTGGACACTCAAAAATTCTTATTCTAACATAATATTACCCAATTCATAATGCGATACATTGATTGGTGGCTAAGGGATGTTCAGTGAAGTAAATGATTTATCTATAAGGATGGACGAAGGAGGGATTCTCAAGTGGTGTACTTTGCAGCCGATATAAAGCTTATGTCTTTCTCAACCTCTTCAATGTATCTCTGTTTGGTCTGCCAATAACGGGATATCACAGCTCAGTTTGGGAGCAGATCCTACAGAAATCTAATTTTATAATCGATTTTGATATCTACGGTACTGGTACCACGACGACTTTTACTCCAGCAAGTAAGATATAAAAGAGCTATTTTTTGTCTTTATGCCTACATTTATGATATGACCGTTATATAATCCTTCAGACCTACAGGACCAAGTGAAGTACTAGGAAGTATCGGAATACTTCCTTCTCACAAGGAAGAAATGAAACGGGAATCATAACGTAGGGACCAAGTAGATTGACAAGATAAAAGCCATGTCACATTCTCAATGTCACAAGTAAAAGATAAAATTGAAACAAAGGGCTAGATCATATCAATACATTGTTAAATAAAGTGGGGAGTGGCTAGTTATCCATCACTAATTAACCCTAACCCTAGTATAGGGACTTCAGTCATTGAGTGGAAGGGGTTGTAGGGTGTGTGTGAGAAAAGGTGAACTTTGCAACTATATTTTTTTCTAACGACCAAGCAACACGATCGGCAGCGGCAATGAATATTCGCCGGTCGTTGACAGGCTAGTTGCTCCCTTTACCACGCGGGAGGGAGCGGCAATTTAAAATATCCTAGGTGTCATAAAAAACTATTGCTGCAAAATACCAAACACTTTTGCTGGAAATCCAGTTTAAACGTGAATACATAAACACCACGTGTATTTTTGTGCATTTTTCAAGTTACTCATCGAGCTTACTCTATTGGAAATTTGTTGACATTTTCCTGACACCATGGATTCATAAGAAACTCCACTTCATGACTTCATGCATCACGCGTCCGCTTCCAACAATCCAGCTATGGGATCGAAATTCAATGCGCAAGTAACTATCAGTCCACCTTCACCTTTTTTTGGAAGTTTTCCACACCAAGGTGTTCAAATGCCCTTTATTTTTCCACAGTCCCTCTTGATGAAGTTTCCGCCTGCAAGTCACGTCGCTTCCAGCATCCCCGTTAGACTCAATAGTGGTTTTGAAAAACGCAAATTCAGTGAATGTGATGCAATACAGAGCAAGAAGAATATGTGAAAATGCATTATGTCACAAGGTCATCAATGTCTTATTAATCCATGTGTCTCTTAAGTAATTGCATATTGTAGAACATATGTGTAGATGATTGAATGATCTTGTTTCTATGCGGTTAGTATTTTCTTTGTATGATTTGTTTGTGTTTTTTAATACACTTTTATGCTTTTGTGTTCTATTCAGGTGTTGATAATTGATCACGGCTTCACACGAAGCTTGTGTCAATGTGTTCTGATTTCAATAAAGACAGTGAAGCATGTAGAAAGAAGTGGAGTACAATCTATACTGAATACAAAGAAGAGAAGGCGATGAATATGAAGTCTGGATCGCAACAATTGGAAAAATGCCGATGGTATCTTTTGGTGGACGAGTTTATGTTTAACAAGGCGAATGTTGTTTCACATGCCCATTCCAGTGTTATGGACGGAGATGGAGTGAAGTCGAGCGTCACTTTGGAGACTAATACAACGGAGCAAAAAAGTGGAAAGATTTCATCAAAATCACCGGAGCCAAAGCAAAAAGAGGATTTGTTTTTGGAAAGATGTCTTGGAGAGCTTAAATAGAGTTATAAGATTTTGATAGATAGTTTGAAGATCAATGATGATATAAAAATAATTTTATTAATGAGTATGCAAAAAACCATGGAGAAATTGGTTGATGAATTCTAGGTGAACATGATTTGTGGAAGTGGACAGGATTTCCTATAAGATTTCAGAGAAGTGCACTTCAACTTATTCTCTTTGTCTTCACGTCATGAAGTGACACACCTATTCTTAAATGTGATCTTACTCCTAGTAAATTGCAGATGTTTTTTTGAACTTTTTTTTAGACCTTTCGAGTTCTTTTTGTTGCTTTTTTTAGTTGGATATCCAATTTGGTCACCAAAATTTAAATAATGTAGTTGGCTGTTTCTTCCAGCACTTTTGAGCTTGTTTTCATGTAGCATAATGTTTGTTGTCATTTGTATACAATTGATCAACTTGACCCAATTCATTTGAGCTGGAAGATCAATGTAAATCGTTGTGATTTTACTCCACGGAGCTAAATCTGTAAGAAGCTAACATAAGTGAAGGCCTCATCACAAGTAATCCAATAAGACCTTTCTTTTCCTCTTGCATGCAACATCTTTTCTATGGTTGAAGATTCCAGCTGTGATGTGTGTGTACATTACTAAGACTACTAGCTTAAAATATCCTTCACGTTGGTTCTTCGTTGTACGCTTGTCCTTTAGTTTGCTTGCAAAATTTAGTTGCCTCTTCTGACCTACTGCATAGATATGATATCTTTGGGTTTTTGTTCAGTTGGGTTTCTCGCTAGTCACACGTTGCAGGACTGGTGAGAGACTTGATCTTCTCTTCAACTCTTTTACTTATCTGCACTAACGATCTTAATCAATGGCCGTAAGATCAACTTGATGTCCTTGGAAAAGGTTCATGGCAAGATGAAAGGGATACATGTAGTGAATTCTTGAAGACAAATGATGAGCTCGTTCTATTACAAGGTTCTCAGTCTGAACGTCTGAGTTCTCAATCCATGAGTCTAATCAAATTTCAACAATTCATGTTTAACGGATCTATATTGAAAAGTTTCTAGTTTCTTCTATGTTTCACGGAAACAATACTTAAGTACTATATAGCTACTGAATAGCTAACAAGGTACTGAATGATTAGCGGAAAAAGTAATGGAAGAAGCCGGATGCAACCGATGAGTCTCAAGCAAGATATTACATCATCTATAATTCTCTTCAATATGAATTTGAAATAAACATAGATTATACGCTGTGTTGACTCGAGGTCCATGATAGATGCCTGTTGATGTGCGTGATGGGTCATCACGCACCATGTGATTGCGCATCACGCCTAAAACCATCACCAATTTGAAGCATATAGAAGTTAAAATAGTGGGATCAAAGTGTGTCGAATGTGCATGAAATTTCAAGGAAAAATGAAATCTGCTGATTAGGAGTCTTGGTAAACATATTATCAAATGTACGACGAATACAAGTTTAAGAAACCATCCATCCGGCATCAATCTTGAAAAAAAAACAGAGGGTGTGTATATATTGGGTCCCAATATCACGCAGCATTGCACTCAAATATTTTCTTATCATAGTTTCATCATACAACAGGTTTGGCTCATAAGGTATGAGTAATAATCTTTTACAAACTTATTGAACTTGAGATTGTACAAATCTTCCTAAAGCCACATGCAACAAAGTTACAAGCATATATGTGGAATTTGCATAGATCCTCATAACAGATGTCTAAAGCCACAAGTCTAACTAGTTCATTGAGAACCTTACTACTTGCTAACTTTAGAAAATGCACAGAACATCAAATACTAAGCTAGGCTAGTCGACGTCCATGGAAAATGCTTGCCAAACACTCTCTTGTTTTAGCCATCCACAAACTCTTGACAATGTCATTCCGCCTTGAAGACAACTCTTTTGCAGTTTTACCTCCAATTGTCATTGAAATTTGGTATTCTCTTGCGATCTTCTATTTGAAGTACTCCATTGTTTCTTGGAATTTTTCTTCAATTCCAACAAGGCTATGTAAAGCGTGGTTAGTCACCGTAAGCTTTTCTTGTCTCGCAGGCCCCAAGTTGTCATAAGTGACAATCCATTGTGCACTTCGTCTGATGCATCTTGCAACCACTCTGTTTTCTATAAGTTGTCTCCTCGGATGATGCATATGTTATGTAGCACAAGTCAAGACTCACCAACTCAAGCACGTTCTTAAGTTGCATGTCAATCCTTTTTAACAATATTCGCTATCTATACTTGAGCATTCCAAATGCTCGCTTAATGCACATATGAATCAAACTCTGAACAAAATTCCAGTTGTATTTCTCTCGAGTAAGCGCGTCTTTGTGACCCCTGAAGGGGACTAACATCCAAGCGCAACATCCATATGCCGCATCTCCAATCAAAGCATAAGGAGCAAGCTTTCCAACTTCGCAAAATTGGACAATCGCGATTTTTCCTCATAGGTTAGCGTCATGCATAGATTCGGCGCATCCTATGTCAAAATCTCACAATAGACATTTGCTAGATACAACAACTTGCAATAAAATAGAGTGAAATATTTTTCGATTGTAATAATCAACCGTATGTAGGCTATATGTCACGATTGGTACGTGAGAATCATTCACCGCAACAACCACATACGATATTCCATGAATATCTTCAAACTTTTCAGCAAATTTATCCATAGTGGTGGTGGAAGATCACCGAATGTGTTTTTTGAGAATTAGCAATTTCACAACATGAGTGAACTGGTTGACAACCTATTGACTTGTTCAAAGACCAATACTATATTTATCTGCAATTCTGTTCATAGAGTTACTTGTGTACAATCTTGAGAAGGGGACCACTACCTTCATTTGAACCGGTACAGCTGAACACATGTTGGTATCTTGTCTCTGCAATGAAGGCGCGAGAGTGGAACACAAGAACTCAAATGTGAAAACATTTATTTGCATGTTACTCTTGAACTCCCTCACATTGAATGATCCAAGTAAGTTTCAGTCAAAAAACCTGGGTTCCCCCAGCCCTCTATCATGGGTCCATAAACGTCAAAAATTAGTCACTCTCCCCAACATGAATCTTTGCACCATAATCAATATGCAATACGTTTGTTGCCAATGTCACATCAAAATGATATCTTCATATCTATCAAGATATTCCATTGTGCAAAACAATGTGAACTGCAATGAAAGAAGAAAAATGAGACCATGGAGTTCACTATCCATTGTGGTAATCTATGGAAAGAAGATGAAGATAGAAAACTTTGATGAAAAACACATGGAATTGAGGAACTAGGGTTTAAGGTGCATGAGTTTACTGTAGAACGGAAAGAAAATGAGCACTGAAGTTTCGGGTAGGATAGCTCTTCCTATAAAGAGGATTTAAAGAGAAAAATATTAGGAAGTGACAGTATGCTCTTGTTTTTGATAGGTGTCCACTAGCAAACACTTTTCACTCCGGAATTACTGGCCGTGTGGTAGCCGTTAGGGGTTTATGTCCAGGTGGCTGAGCGAGGCCTACGAAGATTCCCTTATCTACTAGCAAGGAGGTAAGTGTCGGTTGCCGGTTGTGTGACAATGGTCTAATGGACTCCAAAGATGACATGGTGTCACCTGCCACGTAAGAAGATGACTGCCACCTCCGCGATCTAAAAGTCACGTCGAGGTTTGAAGGGATTACAAAAACGGGTTGATGGGTACAAATATTTGGTGAAGTTGGTGTTCAATGCGACTGCAATGGAATTGGATTTTCTGGATGTCCTAGCTTAGGCACTACAAAAGGGATCATGCGCGAAAAATCAACATCCCATTTATACTCATGATTGTTTCAAAAATCAGGCTGCAGCCACAGTATCTATATCTCACTGAGTTATTCCATCAAACTATGACAAAAAACATGTGTGGTGCATCATAGCAAAAAGTTCAGCGCAGTCATTGAGTTATTAGACGCATTTGCATTGAGCACCAACGTCTAAATTGCCACTTGTGCATATTTTCTTGTTTGCACTCACCAGGAACCTTGATGTGGCTTATAGATCGCGGAGTTGGCAGTCAGTTTCTTACGTGACAGGTATTTTTGGAGTCCATTAGAAAGAAGTGTAGTCACAAAGTTCACATTTTCCCACACATATCCTATAGCCCCATCCGCCCAATGACTGAAATCCGTATCCTAGGATGATGGTTAATTAGCTCCATGTGAGATATAACTAGCCGCTCCCATAAAATGGAAACAATTGCTCAATGAAAAATTATGGATTATCCCAGAAAATTGTACAAAGATTAAATCCATACTTTTAATCTTTGTACAATTTGGGGTTAGGGGCTAGCACCAATATACTATATTATTAGATTGAGAAATATGGTGCACATAACCTACAAAATCAAAATTGACATATCTATAAACAATAATAAAAAAATAATGCTGCATTACACATTTGACTATTCTCTTATACTCTGACTTGCGAGTTTCATTTATATGAGAGAATGTTTGGAAATGTAAAACAGTGAAAACACATCATGCAGATTAGGTTTCTCCAGTCTACTGGAGAAATATTACCCCATATATATGATGTTATAATTTAAAATAATCAAAGTGGGAAGTTAAACTTCCCGCTTTCATGAACATTTATGAATGTATCAGATCGTAAGTATATAGATCCATATGATCTTAAAGTGAATGCGAACAGAGGGTTATGTGAAAATCTCCAGTTGGACTGCGAGGTCGAATAGATATTTTATGTATATCCATCCATAAAAATCAGGCTGTTGCCGTACCATTCGCTTCCCATCCCAAAATATGGATTATTAAATTTTGAGACGATCTTTATGCAGTATCCATAATCATCACGTTTGGAGCCTAAATAATATAAACGGTATTCTTGCACAATTTTAAACTTGTTCTTACGTTAGTCGACTTCAACATATAGAAAAGTGAATGTCCACAAACAATTGAGTATTATCTCAACCACCATATGATGCGACTACATCAAATTCATAGCTATACTATCTTTCATGTGAACAGTTGTTAAATTTAGATAACACTCACACTTGTGACTGAAGACTGTAATGAGCGTGAGTCGAAATTTATCGATTGAATACTATGGGACATTTGATTATCCGAGACAAAACCTTATGTAGACCAATATGGATTTTTGTGACAAATGATACTATCATATACATTTTAACTAGTTATCAAATAACTTAGTATATAACAAGTGTGATTAATATCTTTACAAGAGCGTTGACCGGTTTCTTAAGTTTATGATTTGTTAATTCAAAGTTTTACATAAAAGTGAGAACACATTTGTATGGCTGTTAGTAAGCGATACTGAAGACACTACATGGAGATGATACAGGTACCAGTGTACCACTAATTCGGTATGAAGCTATACATCATTTCAAATATGTACAGTAAGAAATGTAACAGTGACTTGTAGGGATTATTGATATGTTTCACAAACGGGATACCACGTGATACTTCTAAACTTTGAATTTGCGATCGAAAACTTTTAAAGTAAATGATTTCTAATTTAAAGACATAATTGTGTACACTTCACAGTTCGCTATGTGCGCCTTTTCAGCTTGAGTAATTTGATGAACCAAATCCTTCAACTTTGACCTTGGGCAAAATTCTAACGCGACTGAGAAACTGACAGATAATTCATACACGACAAGATAAGCTTCAGGTCTAAGACACTAGAAAGAGAGGTAACCAGCTCAGCATGGGGAAAAATGCAACCGCCTAACAGTGCGGTCGCTTTCAATATGCAGATATCCAAACTGGCTCACCTCCCCAGTCGGAGCTACCTTTGACTCTTGGGGATGTCATCTGCCAACAACTCTTATTGATGCCGTTTACGACAAAACCTTGGCTCAACGTCACAATACTTGTGCTTATCGTGGATTATATTTTGTTCCCCGAAACTACTGAACCAACGGGACAGTCCGGACTTGGTCTTTCCAAGTTCGTTATTACAACTGGATCTCAAGGGGATCTGAAAAAGATGCCTCCAAAATAAGAGCGAAATAAGAGCTGCACAACATTCGTCCAATAAAATTTTGGTTCTTCGACCACAAAAAAGCAAGAAAGAACCTTCTGAGTAACTAGAAATGTTTCCTGTCGAAGCACACTTGCCGAGCTCCTCAGAGCTTTGTATCCCGCAACTCACGACAAGAACTTGCAAATTTAAGCGATCCTTTTAACCGGAGACATATCTCCTTGCATAGTCAAATCTGGAGTCATAACTTTTTACCAAAACTGAAAACAGAGCGGTGCTTCCACTCTTAGAGAAACAGAATGGATGGATTGAATAGACCAAGTCCCATTTGATGACCGGTTTATTACAGTGGACAGAAGCAAGCATTTAACTATTGGTACCTGCATAACTCCCAAAGTTGGGAATGGGATAATCAGTGGGGACCCTTGGAGCCAGACTTGTCCATGAAAGCCAAATCGGGGTGCTTTTCTCGTACAATGCCAAGATGAGAATCGTAGTCATCACTTTGTTGTGCGACTTTCTTACGGCGCTCAATATCTCCTTCAATCTGCTCAAAACTCTTTGCATTCTCCTCGGCATGCGTGGCTCCTAACCCTGAGTAATTGTCGGCTGACTTCCCAATAAAAGCTCGCTCCTCAGCCGATAAATTCCTCAAAAACCTTGCGGGGTTACCCGCCCAAACCTGATAAAGAAAAAAAAACATCTTGTATGATAGAAGCCTACAATCAAGACACAAAAAAAGGAAAAAAGACGAAATCCAACTCGATGTGCACTGATAACAATATTTGCCTTGCCGTAGACCTACAAATCTACGTGAACTCAACCGAATGCATATTTGTAAATTTGGAAGAAGTAAAAGACGAAACTCGGATCCTTAATGTGCTGTCAATAGGCCCTTTCAGCACGGTCCACATATTTATATAAATATATACATAAGTTTATATATTAAGCTTAAATGGCCCACCTGTCCTGCAGGGACACGAGTGTTCTGAGTGACGAGAGCTCCAGCAGCGACCATGGCCCCCTTTTCAACCACAACACCGTCTAAGAGAGTTGCACCCATTCCGACGAACGCTTCGTCTTCCACAGTGCATGCGTGTAAGACAGCATTGTGCCCTGCTCAATCCCAAACAACAAATGAGCCTACGATGCATGAGCTGTCATTACGACAACTAGCGCAAGATAATCTGGTAAACTAACTAGGAAACAAGGGGCAAGGTCCACAGTTGTGTTCGATACCAAATCAAAGCTTATAGTACTCCATTCACTGGTCAGATAGAACCAAAAAACAGCCTAGGTGCAAAGTCCTATAGAAGTACATAAGTAACCTTAATAAAGCAAAACTCGATCCTTCATATTCAATTGTCGGTTCCCTGCATCAGTCAGTTATTGGCAAATGAATGAGGGAAAGAATAGTACCAACGGTAACTTTGTCGCCAATAATGGTGGGAGCAACGTTTCCACTGACGTTTGTTTTCGCCACATGAACAAGGGTGTTGTCCTGAATGTTCGTCTCCGATCCGACACGGATGTAGTTCACATCTCCTGCGAAATGGAAGCAAGCGGTAAGTCACCACATGACCTTTTCAACGGAAGGAATAGCTGCAGGGCCCAGTAGTGGACTATTTCACCCCTGGAACAACATTCGTAGCTCCTCATCTAAACATTATTCTGCACATTTACAGCGTCTGTGAGCACACAATGTCTTAGTATTAATCATGTTAACCACAAGGAACTTGCCTTAAAACTTACTCAGGCTTTCGTAGACACTTGGCCCTCTTGGAAACAAAGTAAATGACGTCAAAAAATGGCGCCAATAACTATCGTTTAGTCAAGATGGCAACAGTGGGTCTTCTATAACATGAAAGAAAACAGAACATACAAATTCTTACCTCGCAGCACACAGCCGTACCAGATTGATGATCTTTCACCAATCTGAACATCACCGATTACAGCCGCACTGGGAGCGACGAAGGCGTTGTCTGAGATCTCAGGCTTCTTGTCAAATATGTTCATGAGAGTTCGGTGCCTCGACACTGCATATGTTACACAGTCAAATGATCAGTACATAGTTCTCGTGTCTTCCAAACAAAGATTTGAGTGATTTCAATATAGTATAGCCTCAGAGCGGTGAGAGACATTGCTTGTGTCGGCAAATCGGCTCTTCCTTCGTCTTCGTAGTCACCAAGTGCACATTGTTGGTAACTGGTCCGATTCTAGGCCGTTTTAATGGCGTACCTTTGTCGGCATTAATAGTTTAGAAATATTTAGTCGATGCTCTAAAGACATGCTCGTTTCACACGATAAGGCTACTCACCATAGCTTCATAAGTGTAGGACAAAAGGAAGGCTCCGGGAGCATCGACATAGTCGACATCTATATATGTTGCGAACTAACTGCCTTTGAATACGTGCGTTCAGTGAAAAATATTTCGCTTAACTAGGTGTCCTTGGATCCCTCAAGCCCGATCTGACAAATCCGGCCTGAAGTCCACAGTTTCGAGGCGCAACACCATCCCAGCGAAAGAAGAGACTGAAAACGAGCCCACGAAAACCCACCATACTTTGTGCACCCCAGACTTTTCACTGGCAGCTATAAGATTCAAACATAGTGTACGGAGATTGAGAATTCCACCATACATCAATACCATGCTCAGAACAGAATATCATAGAAGAACGCAACACAGAAGCTGATGTCAACGTAGAAGTAGAACAAATATAAGCTTCGTGACCTCAATTGAAAGTACGAAACCTATAAGGGTTAATATATCTAGCTCACCCTGAATTCAAGCAGTGCATCTGAGATCAATAATGTGGATTTTGAAAATCACTACAAGGAGGGCTGCGGGCAACATGAGGACTTAGTTCCAATTGTCCAGCTCCAGTTAACCAGAGGTTCAGTTCACAAGGATTTGTAATGATTTGGAAGGGCAGATGACAAGTACGAATTTTTTTACCTGAAAACGCAATGGAAATAAAGAGGAGGCTAGACGAAGAGGAGACGGCCAGAAGGGTATAGCGTCACCACTTCAAATGAAAGCAAGTGAAGGACGAGAGAAAAGTAGCAGGTACTGCAATCTAGTCAAAAGTAGAGAGCTCAAAGTGCATCCCTTTGAAATTAGATGCAACCAAATTACGATGCAAAATTTCATCGGTGATCCCCACGGACAAGGAGCCCGACCTCGGACCCTATACCCAAACTCGGATTCAAATCGAGCTGAATCCCTAATGGACAGAAAAAGCGAGATTTGCGAACACCGAAAAGGTCACGATCAAGCACAGAGCACACACTCACATTGCTCCTTGAAGGCATAATGACCCTGCAGCCGAGAACCAAGACGATCCACCGCCTGTCCGGTCTCGCGCACCCAGAAACCCACAGTGTACAAGACGCGGCCCAACGTCCCCATCACGGAAGCCTACACGAAAGACACGCGCGACTGGGGCGAAGTGCACACAGATTGACGATTTTCCGACGAGCTTTGCACCTCCTCAGGTTTGGAGTCTCATAAAGCTCCTCCCGCACTTCCTTCCTTCCTGCCAGCCTAGCCCGTTCCTTAGGCCGATCGACCGATCGATATATGGAGAGCGGCAGAACGCAGCACCAAAAGCGAACGACGAAGAAGGTCCAGCAGCAGCTGCTGCTCCTGCTCTGCCCTGCCCTGCCCTGCCCTGGCCCCTCCGGTGGCCCGTGGAGGGCGTGTGTCTCCCCGACACTCGATGACTATGTTGGCCCAGTCCCCTGCACTGCGCTGCACGAGTCCAACTATGTAGAGGATAGTATGGTAGGGACTCCGGATTTCCAAAACGAGAATCCTATAGATGCAGCGATATCCTTTTTCAATCGCTTCTAATTATTTTGCATAAATAAAATAAAATATTGGCAGTTTTTCCTTCCTTATACTCTACTAATATCGCCAAGTGGCCCGTCTCTGTGATTGTAACGCAAGGATTATAAAAAATGAGAAGGTCTCTCTCTCTGGAGGTACAATTTACATTCTTGGACTTTCAGATTTCATTATCGGGCGGATTAAGATTCAGTCTGGGTTGTCTAATGCCTTATCATCACTACAATTTTCTTGTAAAGAGCGATTAGACTATGTCCATTTGTTTCCAACATCAGTGACCTTCTGTGAAGCTCGGGTAATCAAGGGGAGAGTGTGCGAATTGGGCACAAAATAGAGCACAGGTTGTTTGGTAGATGTGACCATGTGTACATGTTTGGTTGTGTATATATCGGCTGTTGGCCATGTATGAATAATATGTTTACTCATCTCCCGGCGGTATTTCTCGTCATGGGAAGACGGTGGCATCGAATTTGCCTCTGTGATTTTCCGTTTTATTGGCCCCAGGTCTGTAAGGAAAAAATGATTTTCAAAGTTTCTTCCAGCATTCTAAGTGGTGTTTGGAGAATTTTGGCAACTCGGGAGGTTTGGAATTGTATATTCTGGAATAAGGCAACGTTGGTTATTTATTTTGATTTGTATATGGATGAATGCATGTCTAGAGAGAAGGAGAAGAAATGTTTTGAATTTTACCTTCCATACATGTCTATAACTAAAGCACTCATGTTAATGAAAAATTGCATGCAACCTAATAGTGAGAGAATTAGGGTTTAGGGTTACTTTCAATGTTAGGTCATAACCAAAAGCAGTGAACAAAATAAATCAAGTCCCTTATTATCTCACAAAGATTTGCAAGATTGGCTTGTTCAACAAAGCTATGTAGAAGGGAGATCAGATGCACATGGAGGCTACTAATCTAATTCTTATCATGTACTACTACATGCGGCCTATGAACAATGAACAAAAAAATCCATTGTTTAGAAGTCAGTGAAACATGTTAGTATGTGCATTACTGGAAAGAGCATTAAATGCAGTGTTATACATTCACACATGACTTGTCAGTCTCTAAATGTGAGCCGAACCTTCCCACCCTTCAGCGTTTGTAGTCCAGGTGGAGGTTCGAACTCCCATAATCTAACTTCGCTGAACTCAAGCCATGTGCTCTAAGTGTATCCAAGACAACGAGATCCTAAACACTTGCTCTTTCACAGACAAATTATCCAGAACTGAAAATAATAACTTGCTGTCTGCTATTTCCACAAGAGCAGCAGACAAGCTCTTTGTTAGATAAAGATCTAACCCAACTCTGGGTGACTTTCTCAATACCACAGCCGCTGTGGTCTATCCTAGCTCCGAGTCCCACTCCCAATTCCTACTCAGATTTCAGTGTCGATTTCCCAACTTCCACCTTCAGACCCCACCAGATTCCTCTCTTAGATTCAACTCTCCCTTTTCAGTTTCAAATTCAGATACCGACTGTCAGATTTCAGTGTCAGATTTCACTTCACTCTCAGCTCCCATTCTCAGATCTTCCACTTTGATTTCAGTTCCCATTCACAGATTTACCCTTCAATCTCAGATCCCACTCACAGATTTTACACTTCAATCTCAGATCCCACTCACAAATTTTACACTTCAATCTCAGATCCCACTCATAGATTTTACCCTTCAATCTCAGATCCCACTCATAGATTTTACCCTTCAATCTCAGATCCCACTCATAGATTTTACCCTTCAATCTCAGATCCCACTCACAAATTTTACACTTCAATCTCACATCCCACTCACAGATTTTACACTTCAATCTCACATCCCACTCACAGATTTTACACTTCAATCTCACATCCCACTCACAGATTTTACCCTTCAATCTCAGATCCCACTCACAGATTTTACACTTCAATCTCAGATACCACTCACAGATTTTACATTTCAATCTCACATACCACTCACAGATTTTACACTTCAATCTCAGATACCACTCACAGATTTTACATTTCAATCTCAGATCCCACTCACAGATTTTACACTTCAATATCAGATACCACTCACAGATTTTACATTTCAATCTCAGATCCCACTCACAGATTTTACACTTCAATATCAGATACCACTCACAGATTTTACATTTCAATCTCACATCACACTCACAGATTTTACACTTCAATCTCAGATCCGACTCTCCACCCACGAGAGTTTGCTTCCTCCTACTTCAAACTCTCCACACTCCCCTCATAATTCTCACCACTTCCTTGCGAAAATCACTCACATCCACACCCAATTTCTCCTACAGATTCCACCAGCGTCTTTCACAATGGCACACCACACGATCCCAGCTCGCAGGCCGAATAATCCTCTCCAACGTCCAAGGGCCGAGTTGCCCGCATGCCGCTTGAATGCCGTTCCCGCGATGATGGGGAACGGCCTGGTTCCCATGTGCGACTTTATGTCCCGCCGTCCTATTTCCCACGCTTGACTTCACGCCGCCGCCACTGCCACACCTCTACAATCTTTATTCATGATCACGCCAACATCCGCCGTCCTAAATCTTCTTCCGCGCACCGCCGAAGGCATCCTCCCGCCGAAGACACTCTTCCGCACCTTTGTCTATCTATAACAGTCACCCCCGACGCTCATAACTCACAGATCCCTGCTTTGTTTGAAACGTTCTTGGGCTCGTTGGAACGAGCGTGTTGAGATCTTTCCAACAAGCCCCTAACTAAGTCAAACCGTAAAGAATTGAGAAAGTAATCACTGTTTTACTTTTCCGCCGAAGGCGTTTGCCTATGCACAGGCTTCCTACACGCAACTCGCATACTCGCAACTCGCCTATGCGCAGGCCGCCTATTCGCAACTACTTGGGCCGAAGGACCTTCTATCTGTTATCGCCGAAGTCTTCTCTATCTGTTATCGCCGAAGTCCTTTCGCCTAACCATGTCAACCGCTTTCGACGTTCATAACTCAGTGACGTCTTATCCGTTTCAAAAGTTTTTGGTCTCGTTGGAACGAGCGTCGCGAGCTCTTTCCAACAAGACACTAATTGAGTCAAGGCGTCATACATTGAAAACGTTATGAGGGTTTCACTGTTTCGCCGAAGGCCTTTCCCCGAAGGGACTTCACCGAAGGCACTTCGCCGAAAACCTTGCCCTGAAGGCCCCCTTCCGCACCTGTTGATCCCTAACCATCACACAAACTACTAATCTTGCCAAAACTTTCAGAAAACTCCAAGCATAATTTTGCAAGAGCTTAAATCCAAAATTATAACTCTCATAAGGGTAAAAAGACATGTGAACACAATTTTGTGCTCACACTAAAGTTGATATGATACATGTTTTATCATGCATACAACCTTGTCAACTAATGTAAAAAACCTTTATCAACATTGACACATTGAAAAATTATATATATATATATGATGATATGTCTATGTATATCTTTTTTTTTTTTGTGAGATTTTACCTCCATAATAACTATAGTAGTCTCAACTAAATAATCTAAGCTATAAAAACCTCCATTTACAAGCTCAAAATGTGATGAAATCCAAATGTACAAATTTGAAAATTTAGTTGTTTTGTTCAAATCAATATATCAATAATTATTCATACAACCAATGATGACAAAGTACAATTAAACAAAATGACACATCACAATATGATTTTTGTAATCCTTCTTAATCAAGAACCATTTTTATTAACTGGTTATGTCATTTTTTTTGCATTTTCGTATTTCGTCTTTATATTATAGTACAATTCTCACACGGTCTATAAGCAAGTCACCTTGTTTGATAAACTATAAATGTTAATATATGAAGAAAAAAATCCTCAAATGCTAGTTGAGGAAGATGCCACGATTTCTTTTTCTTTGCATATGTAGCTTAAATAACATGTTAGTCTTTTTTTCTATAAAGAATGTAGTTTTTCCTTTTGAAAGAATTTTTTTGGTATATTTAGATTGAACTTCATTTGATTTTAAATATTGATTATTCTTAACAGATTGATTTCATATATGGGTTGTGAATTGAAAAAAAAATTTACACGTTAATATTCTATATCATAGATTTTTTTCTTCCTAAGTAATAAATCTGTTTACAAAAAATTGTAATTTTTTTTCATCTTCAAAAAATTTCAATTAAAAAACATTCTAATAGTTTAAATTTTCCAAAAATCATAATAATGAGATTTCTACTCAATTGATATATTATTTTAAATTTTATAATTCAATAATATAGTCATCATAAATTTATCACTATTCAGATTTTACTTCTTGAAAAAGAAATAAATATAAATAGAATTTATTTTTTAATGATATTTTAGATTTAAAATACAAAAAATTAAATTATTTTCATATAATAATTAATATTTAATATATTTTTATAATTAATGGAAAAAATTGTTTAAAATAATTTATTATTAATGAAAAAAAATTTGAATTCCTGGCCGCTGTATTGAAAAAAATAGTCAAATTTTGGTTAATGTGTAAAATATTATTAATAGTAATCTTAAGTGCAATTCTGATAATGTTAAAAAGTTTATTTTTTCAAGTTTTTTGAGATTTAATATTATGAAGGTTGTTTGAATCTGAATCTTAAATTTTTTAATAAGTATACAATGTTCACAAATGTTTAAGTCTTATATTAAATGTTCTTTAAGTTTATGAACGTAGATAAAGTATCAATATGATCTCCCCTAATATATGACAAACTCAGATTTGATCTTACGTCTTCTTGTCTTCTTGAAATTTTTTTCGCAATACTTGTTTGAAATATCTTCACTCCTGAACCAGTTGGTCTTACATTTGCTTCCTGTATACCATATGAATTTGCAAGTTAGCTACTGCTAATTACTGGCTAACTTACGGCAGGAGAAATGTATCTCAGCTTCCTTTGGCCGCATCTACCGCTCGGAAAATATGTCCAAACAATATAAAACAATCTTGAAAATATCTATGTTATTAAATTTGCATCAAACTCTAGAATCCTTTAAAGTTATTGATGCCATCTTTATCAAAAATAAAATAAAATAAAATAGTTTCAGATTCTTGGGAAAAAAATCTTTTTTATTTATACGTAGGATATCCAAATGCTTTGAAATCCAAGAAATTTTTTGATGATTATCTCTTCTATTGAAAAGGGTGTATAACTTTTCAAAGTATTAAATATAAATATATTCAATTGATAAAAAAATAAATATCTTTAATTCCAGAAAATTAAAACTTCTCTCTACCATTGGAAACACCTATATATTCACATATGAAGATGTATATTTTCTCAAATAATTGGTATTTGGTATTTGGTATTTTATTTACATATAATTCAACCATGTAAGATTCACAAATTTTGATCTAAATGCTTGATCCAGATTTATACTGTATTAATATATTTTTTGCAAAATATTATACACAGAAGTATATCATAAAGAGATATTAATTACATATTTTAATATGTTTAGTCTTCTGTCAGATTGGAATTTTAAAATTGCTGTAAGGTGCAGGGCTTATGAGTCATTTAACCATATCTTATACAAACAAAAGCAAAATTTACGTCTTAAAAGTTAGAAAAATTGAAAATTATCATCGTAAGAAAGTTGGACACTACTGTTTTAAATAATCTGTGTAATCGAAAAATTTCCAAAGATATATTTGTATTGTGCAAAACCTACATTGACAAGGATAAACGATGCTGAGATTTTTTCTCCACATGACTTGCTTAATCGATAAGTGATTCGGATAAAAGAAAACTATATTTTTCAATGATGAAACAACACATGCATGAAACTAAAAGTTACAAATAATTACGTTTTCAAAAGTGATTCTACCGACAAAAACAGACATATGAATTCTATGGTATATTTTAACTTAAAATTCAAAATTATCATTTTTCAGGACTAAGAAATAGTATATGTATATTCAGTTTTGTAATTTTTTTTTTAAATAAAATGTGCCAATGGAGTAACAAACTCTATTCTTGGTGAAGATATGATGGATACACATTTCAACATTTATTTTTTGAGAAAGGACCAAAACTATAAACTTGTATTTTTTCATATTACAGAAAGTGTCTAAAATACGTTCCTGAAAAAAAGTGGTGAAATTATTATTTTTAGATTAAGATATATATATGGATGTCAATACAGCTAGAAATACTTCGTTATTAGTTTTCATCTGAATGAAGAGGACCGCTTTATTTCTGGATGGGATGGAGGCAACATGCTTCTATGATGAAATGGCACAATGTTCACCAATGACAGCCTGAGGAACCGAACACTCAACGCGAATGTGGCTTTGGAGCACAACTAGACACAAGGACTGGTACCAATACGAGTCAAGTTATAGGTTGAAATTTGCATTGAGGTTTCATTCCAAATATGCATGTATTGTAAAACAGTTCAAGATAACAAACTTTACCAGCTACATGATCTGCGGATAAAGTGAAGAAGCATAATAAATATCATCTGGTCTACAAACTAATGCTGGATTTGGACTTCCTGCATGTGGATCGCAGGGCTGCTCACATAAATATATTTTCAGCAGAAATGTGAAGCAATAACAAACTTTTTGACTGTGCCAAATCAGTGGTGAAAAGGTTGCAAGTCCTGGTGCTGTTTCTGGCCCAGATATATCGGATTGTGCATACATGAACGTACGGCCAGCATCTTCGAAGTATGCCTCAGATTCCATTTCTGAATGGACCCTAACAGTATCTTTCAAAGTGACTAAGTGAAAATATATATGATAATCTTGCCAGCATTACTGATCAGTCAGTCATAGGATCAAACACAATCGCTACGTAACAAATAAATTCTGTTGAGTCCATGAATGCGAATTTTTTTATTTTTTTTTACATATGATAATAGGAAACCTGGTTCTTATTTCCTCATAGTATCCGCATCCAGACTTTTAGTTGATCTTTATGCCTAAAAAGCTTTATGAAGTTTTTTAGGTTCTAGATGCAAACCAGCAAAATCAATAGAACTAATCCATACAAAAATGTGATTTTATAGATTGTTGTCATAACTAACCTTGATTTTTTCAGTTGATAATATGCTCTCAATGGACATATTGTAGGAGAGAAAGAAGAGTCAAATGGAATATTTTAGATTTTTAAAGATGGAAAAATATTTTACAGTTCTCATCCGAACTGGATTTGAGAGTTTTGGAAGCCGATTCTCTAGATGAAAGAATTTGATGTTGAATTATATTTATTTCCTAGCTTTCTACCCCAATGACAGGACCTTGGAATTAAACTTCAATAAAACAACAGAGGTAGAACAACAATTTTTTTTCAACATGGCAACTCAAATCTCGTCTGATAGTTTTCAAGTGGTATGGACAATCACACTTAGAATTCCGATCACAAGTCATAAGAACTGCATAAGAACCCCACACTCAACAAGCCCGAGTACATAATCAATTGGATGACTTTAAAGTCTTTTCTGTGCATGCATTGCAAGAAGGTAGATAATCGGAATTCTGGATTTTGTCTTTTTTGTTTGTTAAATTTCCAGCAGTTACGTTGATTTGACTTATTTCACAGCGTTAACGCGAGGACACGTTCGAAGCAGAGACTTCAGTTGTAATCTCTAAGCTGTATCTGCCATTCTAAATTCTGCAAGTGATCCCGATTACCTTCTTACAAATCACGAGAGATCGCATGATGCCATAGAGAGTCGAAATTTAAGATTTTCCATTAAAATCTGCTGTCCATGTATGAAACCGTCGGAAAATTTAAAGCATCCCTTCTTAGGTGAATCCGTTCATGGTTGGCTTACCTGTCGGTATTGTGGCTGACTTGGCAGGGCGGGGTTGCTTCGGGCTCACATGGCTGCTCTTCCGTTACGTTCAGTGCGTAGTGACAAGGGGCAGGCGGAGGCACTTGCAAGTTGCGAGCATGTTGCGAGCACCGCTTGCATGATCTGATGTGGATCATTGCAAGTGGTCGAGCAATTGCTGAATTGAATCCTATTCATCCGAGACCTTGAATCCGGTGGAGAAAATTGGAGCTCCCTCCGATTTTCATTCCATGTTCATATATACATATCTTTACCGCTCTGGATCTTCGGTGCTATAAATGAGATTCATATATATATGAATCTCAATTATAGCACCGAAGATCCAGAGAGGTGGTTCTACCTGTTCCGCTCTTGTGTTGGGTGATGCTTCCTCGATCTGGCAGATTGCCCAATTTCTGAAGAAACTCTCAGATCGGATTCCTGCGTGAGAGCCCGTGTGATTCGTTGAGGGTGATACGACTCGCAAGGGCTCGTTGGAGACTGCACGTTAGGAGGAATACAGTCGAAGGGATAAGCGGATTCTCTGGATGGAGCTGCCAATTTTCATCAAAGAAAGTCCACGGTGTTTGCAGGAAGCAACGAGGAAGATCGGTCGAAGGATATTCCAATGTGCGAGAGGTCGTCTACCAGCCGACCAGCATGAGCTGCCAGCCAGTCTACGCCCCTGGATCCATGAGCACATGGTTGTGGGTTTCCGTTCCGAACGACGCTCACCCTCAAATTCGAATCTCGTTTGAATTCGTCATTCAGACGAATTCAAAATTCGTCTGAATGACATATACACATTTAAACATCACAGCTTTAAAATGCTTCGAACTTGCGGTAAGAAGTCTGAGACACAATTCTGAACATGTTTCCAGCGCGCGTGTTACGGTAAAACTTGGTGAGAATATTTGAGGCTTCGGGTTTGACCTCGAACCGTGGCCACGTTCGAAGAACTAATCCGAGACTCCATGTGTCCCACACCAAGCTGCAGGAGGGATCTAGATTTGGAGTTGCTGCAGCATTTTGCCGTTCAGCGACATAAATTTTGAATTCAGTCATCGTTTTTACGGGCAACATGATTCAAACGCACAGCGACCTCCAACGATGTTCTTGATTCAATCCGACGAAACGCGTCCAGATGGGAAAGTGTCCGTTTTTTCCAAGGTTGCCGGGTCGTGAACGAAGAAAGAATTACTTAAGCTCCAGAAGACAAACGATCCGATCTATCGATCATATGTTTCATCGCGAGCTCGAGTTCACTGCCGTCAGGCGGAGGCGGAGGCGCATGTTCATGGTGAGCGAGCGAGTGGGACGAATTTCGAAGATTGGAGAGACAGCGAGGGTCCTTCAAGCTGTGACAAGGCGAGAGGACTGAGTGCATACGAATTTGGGAGATCGACGAAGAAAACGTGTGGTGAAAATGGGGGCTTTCAGGAGAACATGGCTTATAGCGTTCCTTTTCATACGTCTGAGCACAGAACTTGTTCCTGTCGTCAGCGCACACACAAGGAAGCTTGACAATAGCTCATCATTATTTTCCGTTTACCCTACTCCATGTTTCCCTGGAACCTTCATTTTCGGGGATTCTTTGGTAGACAACGGGAATGCCATGGCCGTTTACCCGGACAGGTTTGCTCGACTGGAACAGGATCCATTCGGAGTTTCATGGCCTGGACACGGAGCCGACCGCTTCTGCGATGGAAAGCTGATAGGAGATTACTTGTGTAATTGCTTCCAGGCTTCCCTTCCCGCCCATCTAATTTTTGATCTCGAGCTATCAAGTTTGCCAATTATCTGACCATATATGCTTGCTGAACTATTTCCCCATGATTTGGCTTCGAAGTTTCTCAAATTCCTGCTTGAACTTTTGCACATGCTTGCAGCTTGGGGTACTGGGGGCTTTCCCATGTCCGCCTATTTGAGAAGCGTTCAGACTCTCCTCTTTCTGGGAGTGAACTTGGCCGCATCTGGATCCACGGTGCTGCCGGGCCTGACTTTGAATCCGATCTTCCAAGACGACGAGGTCTTCCCGCACACACCCTTCACGTTGGATCAGCAACTTCAGTGGTACAAGCATTTCATGTTTAGAGATTCTGAGCTCTCCAAAGGTTAGTCTGCAGATCCCTCGTTTTCAACTTCTCGTCCAAATAAAAAATTGAGTATCAGAAGGGTGCTAGTTGCCCAACTTTCAAGAACCTGCATGCCCATATGAGTTGTGATTTTCGAACTGATATACTCTCACTCATGCCTAACTGTGTTCGTCGTCCTGCGCTAAATGCAGGGCGTTCTATGCAGAACGTGATACCAGTGGGTTCCTTCAACTCGTCTCTGCACCTTATCATCGCAGGATACACCGACTACATTCTGCAATTTCTATCCGGATGGCCGGAAGCTTTAGTACTTGCTTCTGTGACCGGGATCGTGAATGGAATTAGTGACACTGCGGAGGTACATAAACGGGAACATCGGGCGTGATCCATATGTAGTGCTTGAAGGGACGATGGCTACGTATCCAGTTTTGGAGCTTATATTTATAACCATTTTCGCTTTGTTTTGTTCGTGCCTTCACGAATCCATCTAATGTGGTATATATGCCGAATAATCTGTTCCCACGTGCTTGGTCTCTTGCAGATGTTACACACTACTCATAAGGTGAAGGATATCGTGGTCGTTAACCTGCCGCCTTTGGGCTGCACACCAGCATTCTTAACCATTTTCCCCGGAGACCCTGATGATTACGATGACTATGGTTGTCTCACGAGCTTTAACGCTGCAATCGAGCTTCATAACGAGGAGCTCTTTCGCGCTGTTCTTACCCTGCGAGCCAAGTATCCTGATCTCTCATTGAGTTATGGAAATTTCTATCGAACATTCCAGGATATACTGAAGCACCCTTCGAAATTCGGTGAGCCTATGCAAGCGTCCAGCTCCTTTGCATTCAGTCCAACCCGATCGGTGTCTAGTTTGACTTGAATTTATACAATCAGCTAAGCATTACCTGATATTGACCTGAGCCGGATACATGATGACCTTGAAGTGGAAGCATTGACAATTTTCACGAATTGAGAAGCATTAAATAAACAGTGAAGGAACTCGGACTTGCTACCACACTATCAGCCAGCTAGTCATTCACTCTTTGATCATTGGTTTTGCAGGATTCCATTCCACTCCGAAGTTGCTGAAAGCGTGCTGCGGGGCTGGAGGGAAATATAACTTCGAGCCGAATGTGACGTGCGGGGCTTCAGTATTCGCCAATGGCAAGCTGCACAACGGGACAGTGTGCAAGGAACCCACCAAACATTTATTCTGGGATGGGTTTCATCCTTCTGGTGCTGTCAATAGAATCGCTGCCATATCCTTCTTGAATGGAACAGCTCTATATCCATCAGATGGTCTAAGGCCCCCGAACTGCAAGCCTGACTTTTCTCAATTCTAAGATTAGATCATTCACTAGATCGTGTGACAGTTGGGCCGGCTTAGCACTACTGTCATGCCAGAACAGGTAGTGATCTTCTCAGCGTAAACCAGAGCTAAAAACTGGACTAAGTAGATAATAGGCTCAGGCATGCAGACCTTATTGCAGCTGCTGGTGCCGAGAAGGTTTCTTTGCAGAAGTTGTAGATGCGTTGATCTCGTCCATTTTACGTTAGCAGGTACTGGACTCGAACATTCATAGTTTCATGGAGTGATGCAACGGTCGTGCTTCAGCTAGAAGGCCTATGTGATAGAACAATAGTCACCAGCTGCATGGTCTGTCGTTCTCGAGGACCAATGTCATCGTCAGGACAAACTTGAATAGGCAACAAAAAAGTTGATCATCCACTGACAGTGCTGTCATCGTATGCGATTGCGCCGCCGATAACAAGGCCTGCTTTGGACATCATTTTTTCAGAAGCATGTATATCAAGGGCGAGTAAATTTATTTCTGGAAAGTTATACTTTCTACTTTTTCTAAACGAGCAAAATGTGCTGTCTTCTATCATTTTGTGGCTTTCGTCTCAATATTCAGTGAGTTGTACTCTGTGCATCTGAATGAGACACGCAGCTGTAAATCTGTCATCGATTTAGCTCATGCATTGTACATTTGAGGCTATGAACTTGGACTACAAAAATGACCAATAAACCACTTAATACATTCTAAAGTCAATTCGTATAGATAGATCACTAGGGTGAATCAATGCTAAGAAGAAGTTAACCCAAATGATGAGTGAACCAGGTACTGTCGCCAGATTTTTTACCATATGGAATGTAAATCTTGTATATTTCAGTACGAATATTACTTGCTTGGGTCCGTTAAATTCGATGTGTAAATAATGTTGTGAGTCTTCAAAAGACCTACTCGGACCCCTCTTCCTGTTACTGCGGTACGTATAATTTGCAAAAGATTGGTTGCAGAGAAAGTCTTTCTAAGGAGAGAAAATTGATTGACCCAGTTGACTTTTGAACATTGGCAAGATAGATCTTGTGAGGAGATGCTGATTACCACGATGTCACGCATGAATCATGAGACCATTATAGGTCTGTGACTCACCATGTAAAGTGAACCTAAGTTGGGTGACCTTGTGCCAACTTGGGCTGCTAGATGTGTTATCTTTTCATGCTAACTCCATACCGGTTAAATCCAACACCGAAAAAAGGCGAAATGGAGGAGGATGAGCATTTGGAACTGAAAGAACTTGAAAAAAGGTAAGAAGATTGTAATATGGCTCATAATAAATTCTTTAAATATACAAAGTAGAATCCAAATTTCCAAGCTTTCAAAAATATAATGTTCAGAAGAATATTGTGGATATAAATTAAAAAAGTGGGCATAGGGTTCCCATCCCGCTAGTTGTATCCTCATTTTTTGGGTGTTGTCACCTGATTGGAAGGACAGATAATATAGCTCTACTGAGGTGGCCAAAGAGTCAGATAGCGATTGCACATCTACTAAGATAAAGAAAAATCTACTACGTTGTTGCTGTTTGTAAAACATCAAATACATACAGAACTGAAGAAATGAAGAGAAAAAATATTAGGCCCTCTGCACTCATGCACAGCGATTTAAGTAATTGTTGGGTTTGTTTTCTCTTCTTAACGAGCAATCATGCAATACATCATGACCAAACCTATTGTTTTTATGCCACTTCATAGTCTGCGAAAGGCATGAGGAAAAAGTTAACAGGTATCCATTTTGAAAAATGTAGAAAATTACTCCGTGAAAGTATGGAAGTAACTCCAAGCTTATCCACAAGTGCTCTGTGAAATTGCAAACAAAATACTTTGAAATTTAAGTGAGCATTAAGCTAAGTCAGAACAGTGAACCCGTCTAATTCGGTGTAAATCCTATTCACATTGGCCTGACTCTCAAATTAATTAATTTTATAAAAAACGGTTTTCATGGTGTTGCTACAAATGTTGAAAAGCTGACGCAAAGTGGTTGATTTATCATATATTTTCTGCCTGTATAATAAAAGAGATTCTTTCACTGAATGCTCCAACAAAATACTCGCACAGTAAGAAAATACGTGAAGTAAGCCAATGTTTTATTGAACTTCATATTAACATCAATTAGAATTATGGACTTAGTCTTTTCGAAACATATGATTCATGCTTTCGCAGTACATCATCATTCATACATCGCAGTACATTTCGGAGTACATGTGGCTTCTTGAAAGTTAATTTATATCAAGTTCATCCTATACAATCATCCTTAGCTGCCCATTTTGATCTCTACGCATTTCCCCGTTTGACCAACAATCCGAAATGTTGCAAATGATCATTTGATATTGCTACATAGAAATGGTAGAGCGTGTGTTAGTGGCTGGTGCATGCGTATTACAGATTTGCGTCACCTCACTCATACGATGAGTCCGACATGATACATTATTACACTGAGAATGGCACCATCATATACCGTGACAGAGCACTTGACAGATCAGTTCAGTCACAAGCAACAATGAGGAGAAAGCAGACCTCATGAAGATCATGTTAGGATGTCACCAAACTTTCTTGCAGCCACCAGAATTTTGAGCACCAGCAATACAATAGCGTGGGCGCTGCCCAGACCAAAAATCAGGAGACTGCATCAGAATCAAATTCTTTCGAAAGAATGGCCACTGCATAAGAAAGAATGGCCACAAATGGAGCGAGTGTTGGGCCCCAGAAGACATCAAAGAGAGGTCGAGTTCTAGTGGTAGTAACAAACTCGCACTAAGAAGCAACAGACCTTGAAATTCTCGTGGAGCATCCGAGCGAAGTCGATAGGCTGAAAGCAAGGCAGCATTGAATGACATCGGAAACATGCATCGGGGAGTCGTCACGAAGAGTCCATCATTATCATGAAACGTTTATAGGTACCAAAAATCAATTGGCCTTTGATATTGACACATTCTCTCATTACATAGATTGACTCGGCCACTAAAGTCTACCATATCCGAACTATAAGTTCAGGTTTCAAAGGTGGCACACAACTACTTCTACCATGAGGAAATCTTTTATTTTCTGCCTACATCTTTGAACATTTGAGTTCAAGATCAGGACCAGTCAATGACTTTCCGATGATTGAGCAAATGCTTTAGCTATTGCAATTACGATGGAGAAAGCCGTATGGGCGAATCACCCTACTTTTCGTCTCGGTTGTGATAGAGAACCTATGTGCGTAAGCTCAAGGCTGTACCGCAACTACATCCATGGTTTTCTAGGTTTAAAAGGTACATTTACAAAGAAAAGCTGTTTCTCATCAGTTGAGTTGCATAACTGGATGGTTGGGTTCACACCGGCCTTTTTGACTGCTGAAAAACAATAATCTCTGTTTGGGCCAAGTCCGTCGAAAGCATACGGTTTGATTTGCACAATGTAGCCGTTTTTGTTTTTGGGAGCACAACCTGGAGCCCTTTTAACGAAAAGATACTCGAACTCTATGAAGTCATTGGGAGAATTCCATTGGCAAAAATCTGTACCAAAATTATCTCCAAGCTCTCTATCATAATCCACGTAGATACAGTCGGGACTGTATTCGTCCGGAAAATCCACGTTGGTGAAGTTCTGTGATATCACGTAGCGAGGAGGCTTATCTGCCAATGCCACGAGCCCAAATTAGTACGAAAAGAAAGAAAGCCAGCTGAAAGAATCATGACATTTATTTATCTATGCCTTTATCTGATATATCTGATGTGTTACAGACCATTACCACTCTGACCGATTTATGATTTACTTCTCAAAGCAGGCTTGCTAACGAGATAACAGCGCTAAAACTAAAGCTCATGAATGTGCAAACACTGCAGCCAGTGACAAAGGTGAGGTATATGTTGGTCTAAATTTTCAAATGTGGATATGAGAGGAGCAATTATCTTGCATGAACTAGGAGAAACGCTTCAGGTGCTGGACATGTTTCTGAAGAAGATAGGTTAAGCTCTTACCTGTCTTACCTGTCCCCTTCACGAGAGTCTGGTTCCAAGTGTAAAGCCAACTGTTTGAGTCAACAGTCTCTAAAAATATCTGAAATATCGTTGATCCATACCGATGTTAGATTTCAAAGACTGAGAAAACTTCTGTCAGACACGGGGAAGTAAGGATGTGTCACAAGCACAAAATCTCATCAGAAGACAAAAGGTACTGACAGACTTATAATCTAGACCTCAAGAGCAGAACATACTCCTGGACCAGCAAAGAGTATTCAGTTGAAACCGCAAGCTCAAGCTCAAGCCTGCATATCATTGTATTTCTGCCAAGGATCTACATGAATGCATTCCAAGGTTGATGCGCAGAAACATGCAAAGGGATGTGGCTCAAGAAGCAGTAAGGGTATTTTACCTGAAGTGCTCCGTCACCGGTGAGAACGAGAGGCCGATTTGGTCCTAAGAGAAGAAGTTTGCCAGAATGGCAGTCGCAGGTAGCGTTCTGGTATGTTACTATGTAGCTCCTGGGGTGGATCACAATTGGCTCTGCATATGCGCTCCGCATGCCTGTCATATTTTGTTTTTTCAGTTTAAGAACGAAGATGACCAGGTTCATCGTAGTGATACGTTCACAACATTCGACCTCAGGGAAGTATCTTTCATCTGGTCCACTACGACACTGATTTAAGAAATTCTGCACTATTCAGTACAACCAATCCTGAACAGTGACTAAAGCATATCTTGTACGACTGACTTGCAAGCACTGTTAGTCTAACGTGCTGATTAGCATTCCTGAACTTCCTATACACAAATGACATCGGGGGTTGACATACGCAATGAAGGACATCAGAGTGACCTTCTACACTGCCAAGCTCTTTGGAGGATATATCATGGACGGTATGAGGGTGGAAATACATCTGCATTTTTCAAATTTCCAGCGCAGCCTTTGAATTGCACAGCATGTCTGCTCCAGAAACTCCTGCCCTTGCATTCAGGTTTATTAAGAGAAAGCTCCTCCTCTCTAGCAATAAACCTTCATCCATAGGACATATCACATGTCATGTGGACAATACAATAGCAACCAACATGATATGCGGGATGTGCAGCAGAGAGAACTTGCCTGGATGTAGAAAAGACATTCCCAGCACATACGCCGTGGCCAGAAGTGGAGACCATTTGATGCTTGACAGATCCATGGTTAAGGTACTGAAATCAGACTTGCATGTGCTGGCTAAGAGGACTTCCAGTTCAGAATGATCGATGGAGTATACTGCTAGAGTCAGAAAAGCAAGTCCATTCTTCCCAAAAGGACCACCGTACGGTTCTGTCAGAGACGGATGTGTGATAGAAGGGCTCTCGCAGCTCTCTTTATACCTCGGTTTTGGCGACACTTAAGCTGATTGAGGGGCCGAAGGTGTTTTTGTGTGACTGAGCAAAGTTGGTCGTCGTTCATCATGTCGTTCATTCTCGTGGGCAAACACGCACAATACGCTAGAGCACTTGGGTTTACAATAATATTAAATGTCTAACTCACATGGCTTTCGGCACCAGCTGCAGTTGTCTCTAGGCACTGTGCTGATAAACTAAGGGTTCATGACATTGTGTGTTTCTTGCCTTTGAGCAGTGGAATGCATGCGTGACCAGCCGGTGATTTTATCCCTTTGACTTTCTAAGCTACGCTTGCATGGCTCTGAGAGTCAAGGGGATAATATACAGTACAAATTATTAATGATCAAATCTAAGCACCTGGTAATCGGAGTATGGCTACCATGGACTGCACTGTTTTGAATAAGAAAATGATCTGAGAGAGAATAAGGTCCAGGTTTCAGTTCATCGTGTTGTTGCTGCGTGCTCGACTTTAGAAAGACTTAGCTCTACAAGTTTGAAGACACAGGGACGTGCGTCAAAACGTCTGCACGACTGCGACCTTATGAGGAATGGAGCTCACATGAAATTTCAGTTCAGGAAGCAGTTGATTCGTGTTGATATTGCATGCTTAATAATTTTCGTAACTTCGTAGGCTCATTGACGTGCCTTGTAGACTTCCATGATTCGAACATGTTTTACATCATGCGTTGACGCTAGTGAGCATTCAATTACAGTAGCCAAAACCCGACCTGTTGTTGGGACTTCTTTGCTATGAAACAGTTTATAATCATCCTATGGATTGATTGAATATCCATTTCAGTTCAATCCGTACAACCAGCTACCTAAGCCTTGCTTTTTATTTGGTTATACTCAATGCACTTAATACATTGGTGGTGACTGCATAGAATTGAAGGATAATGCCGGTCAGTACACAGTCGACACGAGCAGACATTGATGGGTTGACATATTACATTGGAAGATTACACGGTACAACAAAATTAATGTTTCAAAATACGTTCATTACTGTTCTACAAATCCTTGTAATGACGGGCCGAACGAGGTTGGGGACAGCCCCGTGGACATCTGCCTGACACGATGGAGACAGCTGTTACTATTGAATTCATTCGAAATAGTGGATGAATTGATGGTATCGATGGATAGTTGAACGAACCAATATTTGCAAGTTTTAATGAACGAACAGGTGCGCAGTTTTTCTCCTTTGAATGCTCGTGTTTATTTTCAATGTTAATTTTCATATTCTCATGTGAATGGGTTGATTAGTTTCATTTCGATTTTTTGACTCTTCTTTGTACTTGTGCTACTTGAGGGACAGAGTAAGCGATTGCCACTTTCTGCAGATGCAAAAGATTCGTTGATTAATCATAACTTGCCATATTTGTCAACTCACTTCTTGCATATATACCACTAATGGCAGATGCCCTTCCCCAGCAGTGAGAAGACGCAAGAGTACTGTACCTTACGATCAATCCCTTTCGGTGTATCTACTGTTCTAACAAATTCGGGAGACAACTTCATTTTATGAGTTTCTTCAACCGTGATCTGCAGATATCTGCAAAATTTTTTCATTATCGGCAGACCAGACAGTTTACGCCTACAAGAAATCACAATCAGTGCTACGATCTTATACAACAGAGAGCATCGACGTTCCTACGAATCTGACGAAGGGAGTAAAAAGCATGGCCTCTGTCACACGCACACCAAATGCCGAGCTGGACTCGTAGACCATAGCAGGCTCGTTCTCAAGACAGGAAGAGATCCAAAAGACAGATCTTGCAAACACTGCATGCATTTATGGTCTCCTTTCGTATGTTACATACCGAGCCCCAAACTTCGGGGCCTTAGCTTCATCCGATCGATCTATCGGCCCTCCCTCAAGTAGGACTCCATCCATATTCACAGGCCTTCAGCGCCACCATGGCTGGGAGTGATGTGCTACTTTGCACATTCCATTACTACTGCTACTGTACTACGTTACAACGGCCTTTGGGTCCGAAATGAGGTGCGGTGACAAGTTTCTACATCTGTACATCATTCCTACATCTTCTGCTCGTCCTCTCTGGGGGAGCAACCGAGTCTAGCAGAAAGGCTCGTCCATGAAACAAGAGGATCCGCTGTTGAATCCCGTCACCAGGTGACCGAAGCGCTCTGTGAATGAGGATCCGTCCAGCTGCCCGAACATGCTTTTGTCGAACACCACCAAGCCTGAAATGCCATACGACTCGGCCTGCACACATCCACATTAAACGACGGGTGGTCGAGTTAGTAGTACTCGGAAGAGTAGGCTGTCCTTCAAGTTCTTCAGATTCTCCTCGTACGGAGTTGCACACTCGTCTGTGCTCAGAATGAGAACCTGTGAGGCGTTCGAGAGGTTGAGACCAGACAGACGAGAGGAAAACACACGTCCCCTAAGTGGTCCTTGGCTTGTGATATCAATTCAGTCAGTTGGCTTCCAGTACTGCTCAGTCCACTCTCTAAAGAAGAAAACAGTTTCGTCACCTCTCATTCGGACCAGAAATTCGTCGGATCCATTACGTAAAGCCCGTACCTGAGCTCGGTGCAAAGAGTTGTGCCGGGACAGTGAATCGTCGAATACAGAGCTGGAGGTGAGCGCTGCATCTGTTTTCTCGTCGTGGTGAAAATGCTGATGAAGGGCATGGGAAGCCTCAGAGTTGAACAAACTGCAGAATAGACGCGATGTCAGGGATCGACGGGACGGGACCGAGTTCACTCTCTCGGTCCATAAACTCAAATTAAAACACATTTGCAGCTCGATCACAATTCTCCATCAGCAGCAGCTAGGCAGGAAGAGGATCTTACGGGTTCGATCGCATGCGCAGATCCATGTAAAACCCATTCAGCCACTGCGTTTGGTTGCGTGTCTCATAATGAACGGCTGACAGACTCGAGCAGCAGTCGTCCTCGCCCTGCACCACGAGCAGGAGACAGACAAACATGAGCGCACATGAGGACGTACGTTATCGTACAGAACTTAAAACCTCGACCTCCATACAGTTGAGTATTGCACTGTTCGCGAGACGCAGGAGGAGGAGGCACTGGCCACGTGAGAAGGCAGAATTTTCCTATTGAATGGTGCAGCACTGTTATAGAAAAACCCAACAGCAGGAGCGAGCAGAGCAGCAGGCAGGCACGTGGGGCTTGCTACTACTCCCGAGTCCTGCCTGCACTGGTCTACTACGGCCACCACCGTACGTTGTTGGGGTTCAGTTGACATTCTGCATGGTTCCTGGAGGGCAGGGGAACGAATTCATGGAGTTTCTGACGAGAACTGTCGGCAATCTGGCAGGGCAGCAAATCGTATCATGTCCTTCTTGCACTGCCCCCTCGTTCCATGGCTGACAGATTTCGGATGACGTTCAGAATAGGCGAGTGGAGTTCAGACCGAGTCAATTGAAAGCTTCAAAACCGCTTCAACTCTCCCCTTCCACCACCACTTCAACAGTCGAGTCATAAGCTCGACTGCCCACATCGACTCTGCTCTACTCTGCAAATCAACTTCCTGTGTACGATCTCACAACTGCCCCTGACGTAGCAATGTCGCAGCACTCTGAGCTCCCGAGAGAGTCAGAGCAAGGAGATCTAGCCTGCCTGCCCAAGGACATCTGAGCGTATCCACCAGCAGCTCGGAACTTTCCAAAACAGTCCACGGTTCGGCTGGAGACATAAATCATAGGGCGCAGGAAAGAACGAACACCATAATCCACAAAGAGTACAGGACAGAATCGAATCGTAAGCAGTTGAGCTAACCTGGGACGGGGCGACTGAGCAATGTGGAGACGCAACAGAGCGCTTGCTTGCAGAGTTGGGATTGCCGCTGGGTCGGCGGAGTGATTCGCTCGGAACAGGGTGCGACCACGAGCAAGGCACGTGCTGGACCCCGATCTGCATCGACGCAGGCATGATTTCGTATAAAATGCAACGGCGGGAGGTTCAGGCGACGGGTATCGTGACCTCTCGTACTCCAAAAAAATTTCTACTACGACTGCTTTTCTATTCAATTCCGATCCAACGCCGATATTACCGCCGCGCGTTCTCACGAGCGAGATCGAGACCTGTGACGAAACGATCGATTGCACGCTCTCGCTGCTGCTCTTCAATCCCGATGGAAATTACAGTACGAGTGATTTGGTTCTCCCTCATCGAGCGGGGCGCGAACAGTTATATGTGCCCCCCGTCCGGAGGCGGGCCCCACCGGGATCGAACCACGTCAGCGTGGCCCACCAAGACGGGGACGCGGGGAGTGGGGATTGGAAAAGAAGACGAGGTTTCACGAGCTGCGGCTGACTGGATCGCCCCCGTGGACACCTGTCCGCACGACGAGACGGAGCGTCGTGACCACAGCGTCCAGGAGTGTGGGATCATGTACAGCGTCCGTGACTCGGATCCGAGGTGGCCTCGTTTGTCCTGTCCTGTCATTTATCCGGTCCCGGTCACGATTCTGGAAATCTGTGGCTGCAACAAATTCGAAGCTCGGATCGCAGATCTTCCGGGAGTCCGATCGCGGCCGTCTTTGGGGCGATGAGTGGCCGTTGACTGAATCTGCATCGCCCCTCTCCTCGGAGCTGCTCTTGCCATGGCACCTTCGATCGCAATGCAGGTCGCCTGGACCTTCTCGAAGACTATACGCCCAGCTGTGACGATCTTTGGCAAAGTCGGATCTTTGGAGACGGATGGATGGATGGATGATCGATCGATTGATTCGTGGGAGCTGGCCATCGATGCAATTGGAGCTCGTTCGTTTCAGCGTGCCTCCGTTGATGCAGACTCTTCAGTTCTTCCAGGGATCGACAGCACTGACAGTCAGGATTGACAACCGAGCAATTCCTTGGGAAAGAGTCCACGCTCTTCTTCTTGGCACCGTGCCTTGCGAGTACGAGTGGTGAAGCTGACAATCCTGGGACTCCGTCGACAGACTCAGAGGTGAGTGTTTTCCAATCTTGCCCTCTTGTGAGCCCTCACCTGTTGCATGGACCTCACGAGATCTGAACTCACTTGAACTACGGTACCCTCGAGGCTGTAGTTGGACGAAGTTATGGCAGTGGTAGCTGCCTGAATGCATGCCCTATGATTGTGAAGAAGTTGTCGATGAGGACAGCGCGAATCTATGTGCATGCAAACTTAACACATTTTCTCTTTGCATTAGTATTGCACCATTCATTGGAAACACAGAAGGCTGGCATAAAGCTTTCTTATTGGACGTCGGAACTCAGTGAAAGATTCAATGACTAATACCGTTAGTGAAGCCAGACAGTACGTCACATGTTGAAAATATGGAAGGGACTTCTTACAGATGGATCATATGTAGCTTTGCTCTAACAAGGTTCCAATATGACAAATGTAATTACAAGTTCTCTTTTTTTTGTTAGTTGACAAGCTAACGTTCTTTCCGCATGTTATCACTCGTCACTATAAAGAATTTGAGTTTGACCATTATTGTTTTAATGGTCTGCTGAAAATGTATGACGGGATGAGGTATATGGCTAGTTGGAAGGGAAAATCTATCAGATATCTTTTTTTCTTGATAAGTTCTCAACTTGCCCATCTACCACAATAAGGTGATAGAAACTGACTCCATGATCATGATTGTCTAAATTGCCATGGAAACTATGCAACAAGAGTCACTATCATGAATATAACATGATGTTCTCGCAGTCATCAGCTCCATTTTACACAAGGTGTTATTGTGATTTTTAAATTTTAGCTCCAAGTCAATGACGGAGAATAACAAATGTGATCAATAAATAACTCATTGACAACATCACCTGGCCCAATTGAAGAGTCAACAATATCACTCAGTTTCACCTCACTATAATTTACAGCCTAATGCCGAGATTTTATAACACAGTAGATATAGCAAGTAATAAATAGCCTCTACAGTTTCAGCGTGATGAAAATTGTAACTTTAGTGAATTTCTTCCACAGGTACCTTCGACACTCGCGTTCCTTTAAAAGTCTTGTTACAGTCTATAAATGAATTTCTGCTGTATGATGTATCATTTTATGATGCAGTATATAAAGCAAGTAATAAAGAGCCTCTAAAGTTGCAGTGTGATGGAAGTTGTAACTTTATTGAATTCCTTTCATAGGCACCTTCGCCACTCGTTACTGTATTAGTTCTTGTTAGATTATATAATAAATATCTGCAGTCTGAGTACATAGCCTCTATAGCACAGTGGTAGTGCGTTCCCTTCGTAAGGGAAAGGTCGAGAGTTCGATCCTCTCTGGAGGCAATAATCCATTTTTAATTTCGTTCTTCAGCGCAGCTGGAGTTAGGGATGGGCACGTAGCCGGCTAATTTTCGGGTAACCGGCTGGGCCTGGAATTTAGTCGGCTAGCCGTCGGCTAATCGGCGATCGGGTGAAAATGCAATCAACCGAAATATTCGGTTGATTTGAATGCATATTAGTAATTTCGGCCGAATCTTAGGAAATAAATTCGGCTCGAAAACGTAAATTCGGGTCGAGTTAACGGTTCGTTTTCGGCCTCGAATAGTGGTTGCTGTGTGTAGCGGCGAGCCGTCGACTAATTGACTAGCCGGCTGTATTATCGGCTAGCCGGCTAACCAAAAGTATGAGCCGGCTAGCCATCAGCCGAGCCTTGCCCATCCCTAGCTGGAGTCGAAGCCATCGCCCGCGACGCAGTGCCACATCTGTAAGCCAAAATTCCACCTTTTCTGGACAGAACAAATGACAGAATAACAGCTGAAGGCTATGAATTTCTCATCGAAGAAAGCTGAAGTAACAGAATTTTCGATAGATTGCGTTCGAAAAAAATACAGAGCGAATAGCGCACAGTTCGTAATTTCGTGTGCGTAAATTCGGTCTCGAGGTGGCCGAAACTAAACAAGGAATTGATGCGGTCAAGAATTCAGCGACGTTGCCCAAGAGTCGTAGGTTCGTCAAGGGCGATCTGTAGAAGGATTGGATTCCGAGAAAGCAGACGCAAAACTTGAAGCTTGATAAATGATGGCCAAATGTGCACAATGTCTTTCCCTCTGCCCCCTCGAGAGGAGTCCTACCGTATCGTCGAAGGGTTTGTACACTCTAAGGACTCTCTGCAACTTACATCATCACGATTCGATGCGATCAGCACCTCGATTATGGTCCTGCAATTTCCACTTTGACTTGGGTCCCCGAAACTCAGAACTCAGACACCGGGCATGCAAGTCGACGTATCATCATGATGGCGGCTCCTTTCTGCTGAGCCTGGATCGACATTCATGATCTTTTTGGAATGCACTCGAACAACCTCCCGGGAAACGAACAATTATTGAAGCTATCATGATTTGTCCAACACCCAAGTTCTCGATACGCACGCGTGGTTTCCGGGGGGAAAGCCTGGAGTGCAATTCCTGCGTTCAGATCCCCGATCTTCAACGACACAAAGAGATGGCCCGCAGTCATGACGAAACTCGAAGCAATCTGTGCACAGGTCAAAAGTAGGTATTGGTCAGTACAGTGAGTATCAGGCCGGGACTGAAGACGATGAAACTTCTCATTCGGAAGAATTGGATATGAAAGCATAATTTTGGAATGCCCTACGAGTCATGATGAAAGGTGATACGTTTGCTGTAGATATCAATTTGGCCACCATCATTCGAAATGTTGTTCGCCTACGGTGGAAAGTGTGAAGGATATGTGACCCAACTGGATCTGAATAAGGAGCTCGTCTCGAAAAGATGCACCATTTCGGTTCAAGTGCATGTAGCATTGTACCCGTCGAGGAAGTCGAAGCGCCTGTCCTTCATCATGAAAAGGGAGACAGACAGGTGAGAAGAGATTGTGGGCTTCATGGCATCCGGAGAATGATCACTTTTGACATCGTAGAGATGTGCAGCCCAGACTGACATGATCATTTCTATGATCAGCAATTATGTTCTTGTCCGTCATCCAGTCAAGATCTTCACCTCCTGCAGTACATGCACACGTTTCGAGCACATGTCTCGCGGAGCTTGTGAGCGTTGAGAATCACAGGAAGGAAGACTGTCATCATCACATTCTCTCCTGTTTACACTCGATGACATGCATTTCTGGGGGGAAATTCCCAGAGGGATCACTTCAACGTACGTTGCATTACCTTGTGCACGTTCATGGAGTCCTTCTGACTGTGCGTTTATGCTTTCTCTGCAGGTTTCACAAAGTAAACTATTGCCTCCCGACGAATCTCAACCGCACCTGGCAGAGGTCCATGCAAAACTTCAATCTGCAATTACATGCATACTGCGTACCCAAAAGAAAATTGTATGCATCTCTGGTGCTTTGAGAGCCTCGGTTTGTATATCTATATTAAATATCCACTGATACATCTCGGATATCAAGCAAAAGCTGGATACAGTACCTCTGAACCGGGTACTGTGTGCACTTAAGTACACCTCCGTTTGATCGTTCTCGCTCATCCGTTGAACCATGTTGTTGCTTCACTTTTCTAGATACGGATGTCGTCAGGCCATATCCAGGCTTATGCGTTCATAACCATCTGCAATCGCAGGACAGAGGAAAAGGTAAACTGCTGCATTGAATACAACAACTTTTGCTATACAAAATCATGACAACTTGCGACGTATGTTACGCGAAACATTATCCACCAAGATTATGGTGATGATCACCGATATAGTCTCCTATCTTCGGCTTACTTCGCTCTGTTTTGAGCAGTCCACTCGCAAGATCATGAAATGCTATGACTCATAACGAAATTCAACCATTCCCATCCAAAAACTCATTGTAATAAGTTAGATGAACATCAGACATTGTATTGCAAATGAAGGACCAACCACTCTGATCATCAACGTAGTATGAGGACTGAGACAAAACCCTGCCCTGTCAGTGTAGATTAGAAGGGCCGTTGCCGTAATCAGGTTCTCAGCTAAATTCTGAGGTCAGATCTTGGACTGAATCAGGTTGTCATGGATTGCAAACATGTAGAGTATAAAGAACATTGTCAGCACTAACTTTCTATACTTCCATGAATCGCCTCTTTCAGTTACCTTCCTGGAGGAGGGGAGACACATTCACTTCCAGATCTCGATCTTATCAGATAGCTTAACAATTCAAAGTGGTGAGCGATTCAGAACGTTAAGTCCAATGATGTGCCTACAAGCTGCCTATCACTCCATGACAGCAGAGAGCATGTCAGAGCCATGCAAGCAAGTGAGAACGCAGGTCTAGACAGTAGTATCTACGTCGTCAGCTTCTGTATAGCGATCAAAGGCGAAACAGGTTGCAATAAACCGGGAAAGGGAGTTGGGGGAAGTTCAAATTACTTATTAGAGTTCTGCTGACAGTTCTTGCAGCCACTGCCCCGTCGCAACAGTCAGAATTCTCAGCGATCAGCAACATTTGCTACTCTTGTTCTGGTATTCGGACTTTCTCGATGGGAGCGTTGTCGAAAGGAGTGGTGGAGTTTGAATGCTTGTTCCCAAGGATTCAGTAACGTAAATGCTTTTCTTCGTACATTGGGCGATACACTTGGTGAAGTTCAGAGGGCCTGAAAGTACAACATGCCCATATAATTTATCCCCTAGTCTTGCCCGATCTAAGTTCTTCTATGTCATCTGCCAAACTGGATGGTGCTGAGACAACGACTACCACTGCAGTGATTGCTTCAGACGCTTGGCTCTTTCCATCGTAACGCTACATCACTGAACTCCTCCAACATACGACTGAGTTCACCCATACACTACCAAACAACGAGCTGTAGCTTTGCTTGTTTGATTGTTTGATTGTACCTAAGCCTTACTTCATCTGTGAAGGTAGCTTGTCCTTCCACTGGACTGTAGACCTCGAGGGAGCTCTGCAGGTAGGACAGTTCGAGTTTTACAGAACAATGAACGTTCAGTAGAACAGCGAATGGCACTTCGTAATTTATATAATACAAAGACAAATCGGATAAATTTTTAGTATTATATATCCAGGTGTGGACTAAAGGTGTATAACTTCCGTTGTACAGCACACAAAAGCTTTGAAATTTCAGTGCTCTGGTATCGAGCAGGAATTGGGAACCTATTATTTTACCGAAAGTCAAATTCAAGCTTTACCTGTTTCAGGTATATATCTGAGCGTGCTGGAACCCAAGTGCTCTCCTCGATGGGCAGAGGGGAGATTGCGACTGCATTGTTACCATCCATCGAAAAAGGAAAAGCTACTCCCAGCCTGAGACCTGAGATTCCGTAACTGGGGCGTGATTGAAACTGGAATACCTCGTTGATGCGCTGTAATATTGCATGTGCTAATGTCTATTTACCGATTCATGGTCAGAATAAGAGATCGCGGTCAAGTTTCTTTCTTTATCTGGACCTTAGGCAGGAAGGCTGGAATCGCTGAAGTTTTTTTCTTCAAGAAGGAAAATTGTCTTTGCACGAGATCATTCTGATTCCTGAACCAGCCATAAATCATTCTATCCTTTTGTTGTGAATCTCTACGCCATCATCGAAGTGGCTGCTTGCAAAATATCCCGCTCCTTGCATCGGGCTGGTCATTGACCAAGCTGAGCACGCTTCTTACATCTCCAGGTTTGAAGGAAGTGGATCACTTCAACATAAAAAAGCTTCTATAGGTCTAAATCATCAAATTCAGACTTCAACAATCAACGAGAGCGCAGAATTAATGATGGCAGAACAGTTGGAGCTCATATCGCACATACTGCGAATGCATGTAGACCAACCTTAAGTAGAACCCCTCTTAACTTTCAGCACTCTGCACTAAGAACAGACATGTGCTCGAATATGATGGGGGCCTGACAACCTGTAGACAAACTTGAGGAGACCAACATTGCTACACCTAAAGGAGCGAGCTGTCTGTGATTTAGTTTACTTAAGAAGAACTAAAACTTTGGCATAGGGCAGAGAAGCAATTCTCTTCAAAGGCTCGAACTATTTCGATCTTGTTCGAGTGAAAGTGGGTTCGTACTGCGTCCACACACTGTAATGTCCCCTAGGAATTTCGAACACTAGCAGCAAGGAGGTTTGTGTGTAATACAGGAAAGACACAAAGAAACGTAAATATATGCATTCGTCATTAGGCGCCTTACTCCAGGGCCGAAAACCTCTGCTTCATTCAAACTCCTACTTCTCGGGGAAGCTACGGTAACCATTGTTCAAGTGATTTTCTTGATAACGTCCAATCGGTTATGCCACGCACAGTGAAAAGTTCCGGTGCTCACGCGCAATAAATACGAATTTCTGCCTCCATAGTAGACTTAGAAGGCTTTGAAAAAGCATTCTCCAGTCAAGATTAGGCGATTGCGGGGTACCTTGAACCTGAAGAAGCAAATTCATCAATTGGCTGTTGTTATGGAAAGTTAGAGGCTGTGTTACCAAAGGTTGTCCCGAGTGCGTTGGAGTTATTGGTCTCATGTCTGAATTGACGCCTGGTAACACATCATCTGTTGCCAACAGGAGTAAGTATGGGTGTTTCAAACGATTCAACACCAGAATTTCAATACCATTTGTAGTAAACCTAGTCAGGAAATGAAATAATGAACGATCCCTCATGACCTAGCAACACTGACAATGTAGATTATATGTATTGACATGTCACCTTCTAATTTGTAGCTGAGTGCGCTATGCGACCTGCCAAAATGCGGAAGCGACTGATCTCCCTCCGGAACATGTACCGTTCTTCAACTATTTGCCCTTCGCCCACATGCACCCGACTTATGCGTACAAGACTTGCGCAGATCGCCATACCGCCAGTTGATAGACTATGCCCACGGACTCCCACCAGTTGATAAACTGCCATAATTCGTAGCGCTATAAGACGACATTCGGGAGGGCTCCATTCTTCGACATCTCCTTCTGTTCATCTGACGAAGCTCATGAATTGAAGTTTTCATCCTGACTGCCACATGTATTGCTCCTCCCTCGTCGAGCACTAGCATCTTGGCTCTTTTATTCATCAACAACTCGGCAGCTCTTACAGAGCTGTAGTAGAAGTTGCAGAGAGCCAAGATGTTGATGAACAAGAGAGCAAAGCTGGAGCACAGATCCCTGCGAAAACTGAATCCCGTGCAGAGATCTTTAAAACCTTTCGATGAATCCCCATAATACCACAAAAATATGTCAGATCTAGAAACACCTCGCTCGAAACTCACAACAGTGCATCTGATTGGTGGAGAACGAGATTGTGTCATCAAACGAAAGTTTCTATGCGCGGTGTAAATTAACAATTTCGCGTTTACATTGTCCGACTGTCGCACCACAGACTGATGTCAAGGAAAGAACCCAGCTGGCTCAGTGGGCACACACGGAGCAGATCTGGATGTGCGTTTCATTGTGAATCAGCCGACCAAGAATCATACGACGCCATTAATTGGGGCCGGAGGAATCTTTCGCAGAGAAACTGAATTCTTCGTACGCGACCACGTTAGACCTGTGGAATTTTCAAAGCTACAACCAACGCAATATTATGAAAGATCACTTTGAGTGCCTTGCTGTTCAGATTACGCGAAATAATTCACGTTAATAAATTCGAAGGATCCTGTACCCTTGGACACAGCCAATCCACGTATTAAAAAATCCGACCACAACCAACCTACTTCGCCTAGATTCAGTATAGACACTGTAAGAGAGAGAGAGAGAGAGAGAGAGAGAGAGAGAGAGTCCGTTCAGAATGAAAATAAGCATAGCTCTGGATTTTCGTAGGTCATAAAGTTCACAGTTCACTAGATAAAATTTTACGCGTGACTTATATTTTGTCAAGTGCCGTGTACGAATGAGCAAATCTCCTGGAAAGCTAGTGAAAAATTTCATAAACTAGAAACAGAATCTGTCATCGGTGTTCAATGAATACACAGCATCTAAAAACTGTTTACCCAACCGGTAGGCCAGACTACTCTGCCGCACTTCCTGCAAAGCAAACGTTTCCAAATTCTCTATAACAGAAATCATATAGCTGTGAAAACGCCGTGATGTTGTGTAAGCGCACATGCAGGTTGACTAGCGCTGCGTCAAGTAAGAGATGATGGGCTTGGGTGGTTCCCCCGACACTCTTCTGGCCACCAGTCTAAGAAGAAAATACAAGGACACGGATTAATTGAGAAGAATTTCTCACTACAACAGAAAAAAGTTCTCCTCTGACGCTTTTATGTGCAAAATTGAATTCCCTTCCTAGCTGGAAGAGGATCAGCACCATGTACAATGACAGTACTTCTCGGTGGAAATCTGAACCTGCCGAATGTACGCTGGTAGAGTGACAGGTTGGATCAGGCATCACATGTAGCTCATGTAGATGGGACGGTGAAATCTTATCAGGCCTTTAAAGAAGCTCAGTACTTTCAGCTTTCAGACATAGGTTACTTAAATACATTAATTTTTACTACATCAAGCTGAACATGTCGCAAGGACCAGCCTCACGATGTGTTCAGCAGATTGGAAAATTCGTGAAGGAAGCCACAACATACGCTCGCTGGCAGAACCTTACTGTTTAGTATGGACTCTACATAGTCAGGAAACAAAATTCTAGAGTACGTGCGCCTTTGAGACTGGAACTCGCTTGCTTTATAAAAGGCAGTACCACTCAAATGACATAATTTTATTTGGCTCAAACGTAAAACTAACTACAAGTCCTAGATCCAGCAGACTCTAACACATATTGGCCCTGTACTGTGCATGGAATGAACTACAAAATGATCAATCCAAATACGTAATTTAGGCCAGAGAATAGACGCTGAACAAGTCGTGCAAAGTGGCTAGCTTGACTGAACCAAAGATACGACTTAGGCAAGAACGGGAGGTAAATCAGCCTCCAGCGCTAAGGTGAGCACCAGTTCCAGGCGCTTGGATCGAAGGGTCCTGGCCGGTATGAAAATACGTTATCTGCCAAAGAGAGCACATGATACGGTAAAAGTAGTCATCACGAGAGGAGAGGCCCAACGATCAACAGTACAGCAATATCTTGGCCGGAGGTCTCTTCTTGTGCTAGCCCTGCTGGTGCTGCTTCTTGCTCTTCGTCGCAACTGGCTTTGGCCGCCGTAAGATGGTCTTCCCTTTCGGTATGTCGGTCTGTCCGTCGATATGAATGTCGACCCTCCTCTATGGCTTTAACTACTGTACACTACAGTAGCTTTCTTCAATTAGAAATTCTCAGACTCAACGAACGACCCCTTTAAAATTGCCCCTCGAGCGAGTTTACCTGAGCACGAGACGATGAAAGTCGGAAGGATTATGAGAGCAAACTGTACGAGCTTGCGACCCAGTCATCCCTGAAGACGACCAACTCCGAGAAGGGACGGCTGAGATGTTGGCCACGCAGACCAGGATCTGGCATGGCAGGGAAAACGAGTTGCCGAAGTTGCGAGTAATTCACCTCATTATACATAATGCATAATGTAGATCGTTCGATCTTACGTCAATCTCACATTATTTCTCGTAGCCACGTCGTAGATGTACGCAGTTACTCATGCTACACTATAATATGTACACCACTCCGACCGATTTGTCCTGCGTCTTGTCAGTCGCCGACGTTTCCTGTAAAGCTTGGATATATTTGTCTCACTCACTCAGCGTGGGCTCGAAGCAGACAGAAGATCCACAGAAGCAGACGTGGATCAACTGTAGCGTTTTGCTGAACTCTTCTAGCTGCTATGTACTACGTACAGCAGGTGATGAAGAATGATGAACCTGGCGACCTCTGGCCCCAAATGAGTATGATAGAGTTAAGGTAAAGAACAGACTCTAAGTTTGACTTCCTCAAGGCTCACATGATGCGGATTGTGGTTTCCCACGATAAGCTCATTCGGTACTATACACCTCATCACCAGATGCGTCTTGGACTAATTCTTCAACGATCAGCCTTTTGGTCCTTCTTACTCTGAAATGGAAAACCTCGTCATTTGAAGCATACATACATGGAACACTTGAACATTGAAACGGTAAACAATTGGGAAGTGCTAAACAGTCAACGGAGAAGCAACAGAACATTGAAGGACAAACGTGAGTTTTAATAGTTTTTTTTCCATCCAAATCTAGTTTGCTTTAGTTCTGATATGGTAATGAGTGACGGAATATGTGCCTGAAATAGAACAGTTGAATGCACTCTCTTTCTAGGGTAAACTGTAAGCCCTAAACCCCAAAGTCATCTCAACCCCAACGAACTGAATAATCTTCTTCTCCGTTCATCAGTGAGACTCCGGCGGTAATTTCCTGTAATTGTAACTCACAGGTCAGTGCTTATCATGCACACAAAACCTATTCGGGTTTTAGCCGACGACGAAACTAACATGTACAGTGAATGACAGTAACTACAGTAAATGACAAGAAATAAGAACAGAACTTGCATCATGAATTTTGAGAGTCGAGAACGAAGAAGGGGAAGAGTCCGGGGGGATCCGGAGGGTAAGGTGTTAAATATGGCCTGCTTTGTGGAGTCGTTGAGCTACGTACGCAGATATCCGACAGCAAAACTACGTAACATGCAACATGTACAGTACATTACTGTCAGAGACTGTGTAAAATCATAAAACTTGAACAGAAACAGATGAGAGGTGTGAGCTGTTGCGTCCTGCCTTTCTTCTCTTTCTTATTCATAACGACCAGTGGTGCTCAGCTGGTCTGGTCTGGCCATGGCCGTGTGGAGGCAGGAAATCTGTCAGGTACCCACTTGCGATACTGGAGAGCAGGAGTAGAATGTGTGCGGAAAGCTGCGAATTGGAATGAAAGTGAGTCTTGATTGATCGATTTACCAGGCAATTATGTTATGTCCAGGAGTAGATCCGTCGTATCACAATTGGAATAGTTTGGACGAACCGGATAGGACTGCTGTGCATTTGAATGCGCCTAAAAGTTGGGGGAAAGAGCAAGTACTTATGATTTAGCCGAAGTTCCTACAAATGTACCTTGTCGTTCGCAGTACAGGGTAGTACAGGGTAAAAGTCTGTCGATGTATTACCAGCAATCTTGTAAATCTGGGCGGAGGACGACCTGCACATCATCATACAAATGTCAATACTGACCGTCTCTAAATAACTTTTGAAGGAAAGAAATTATTATATGGCTGCTGGCACTTGATCTTCCAAGGTTCAAAGAGTCCACTAAAATGTATCTGAGGTCTGTCTCGTGCTGGTGTGGATGTATCTACACAGAGCGATGATTGCACTTCTCAACGTCATTCATGTGCAGAGCCCAAAGTGACCTCAGCACACAAAGTCAGCCTCTTCTGTTCAGGTCGCACCACATGTCTTAAGATCTCTTCGATCTCACCTCACTCATCGCCGTTGGCATCGAATGCAAAGAAGGCTGAGACTCCTAGTGGGCTCCACCCACGAGGAATCTCAATTGCACAAATATGACCCATAGTTAATAGTTGGCGGACTCTGATAAGAATTCGAAAATGAAATCCTCAATTAGCGTGAATAAACTTCTGTGGTACCTGCATGCAGCTAATTTTACATCTCTCGACAAAGATTTGCTCCGACACCAAAGACGAAACTTTGGTTATTTGGAATACATATCGCCATCAGTCGACGGTGCAACATAGACGAGAATTGTGACAGGAGGTTGACAAAAAAGGAGAGTGGATAGACGATTCCCTTATATTCTGAAACTAGAGATACCGGGAAAATCGTAAATGTTGTTTGTAGTGTTTCATTTCACCAGCCTTCAACCCCAAGATCGAGAGTTAGTCAGTTGATCACATCTGGATAAGCTCAACAGTATTACAAAACTCATCAAACGGATAGTTCTGAACCTCCATCATCTACATATCCTCGTAAGCTTTTGTGTAAAAGGACGGATTTTGACAAATGGGGGAGTTCACGGACGAAATGGCTGAATGTGCTGAGGCTCAGCACATTCGATTTTGAACGGCTTATTTTCCTCTTTGCGAATGCTGCGGAACATTCGTGCTACAGAAACTCGCATTCAAGGAATCTCACCGTGAATGCTCTTCACAAGATCAGGGCCGCTTTTAACTGCTTGGTAAAAAGTGAGTGGGTATATCTGGACATAGATATGCTTATGAACTCTACTGCTTGGACCAACAATTCCAAGAGAATTCCCGAAATTCTTGATGGGGCATTCCCATCCTTTTTGCAATGTTCTTGGCTACCTCAAAAACTACTAGAAGAGGAAAAGGTTGTCCAGAATGATTAGAAGTACATTCTTAAGTTTACAAGTATATGGATGCAATCTTTGCGGCATTGTCATCATCGATCAATACTTTTTGGGGCAGAAGATGAAACGGCTTTTTGTTCACCTTACAACCTACAGTAATAAACAAGGGCACAAACAAAAGTGAAACACAATGACGTGACCGACATCCGAGTATTAGCACGTGAATGCTATGACATGAATTTAACAACAAAGCTACAGTTTCAGGTATCAGAAAGAGCATGATTACCAAGAGTGCTCTCGGCGGAACCAACACTCATCCAGGAAGTAAGTACCTTGTTAGGGGAATCCTCCATTCCGATGTACTGTACTGGGATCGACTGTTGCGACTTCCTATCAAATCAACTGCTGTTGGGCAGCGTAGCCATCTCTTTCGTCAAATATACACTTTGCTCTTTTCCTTATGGGCACGAGTCATAACTACTGCCATTAGTGTTACGATTCTGTCAGTGATTGAGAGGGCCATCCTTGCAAAGACCCCGAATGCCTTTTTTCCACTCAACCAATAACAAGATGCCAAATCAAGATGAAGATTCGCGGTCGTCCATGCGATTCCATGGCAAAGGCATCTCGCAGAAGGCAAGATGTAGAAGCCAAAGTTGTCAATTAGTCGACAGTTGTTCAGGTTGCCTCATCACTTGTCTTGGTCTCTCGTAACTGTCAACAGTAACTCGGGTGCTGCTTTTGATGATAATTTGCGCAAAAAGGGGAATCCTTGCTGTGGATCTCTTAGTTTACTGACCAACTGTAATTAATTTTCGTGTCATTATGTCTGGACGTTCATTCCGGATAAATACAGCGGCTTCAGGTACTCTAAAAAGGTATTAATGACCAATGCACATGAACCCTTCAGCCTTTCACAATATCGACGATATTGGCGTGAAACTCCAGTTTCAAGGAATGCCTAGTAACAACCGCCGGTTGTTCACCGAGTTTGGAAGTCATCAAACACGGCAGCAATGATCCAGAAGAAATACTTGCACGGAAGTATCAATTCACCCAAGTTCATGAATAGTATCTTTTTCGCCTGTCAGAAGATCACAATGCTATCTTGAAATAAATTGAAGTGGACTCTACATTGATGATACTGTGCGATTCTACGGCTTTAAGGATGGAACATTGCTACCTTAGACTTCACTTCGGAATTGATAGAGCATTCTTAAACGAAGTTCTAGAACTAATACTATACCCTTTTGATCCAGCATTCCCTGGAATTGAATTCAATAGGTTTGAAGCCTGTTTGTTTCGAAAGTTCAGTTTCCTGCTTTTCCTCTACGGACTTCCTGGTCAAGGTTATCAAATATGGGCATTGTCAAATGTACCGTCAGTCTTGTCTCAAAATGGCAGCCTGGTCGAGTACAGAGTAGCGAAATCATATGGAATTGTCCATATATTCATTTGTACTCAGCGGAGGTGAAGTTAGCAGGCACTTGAACACTAGTCAACCAGAGGCCTGGGATTGGTCCAGGTTTCTGCGTTAGCAATACTGACAATGTAGGTCTACCTTTTAGTCGAGGTCCACAGATGCCCATGCACGCGATCGGCTTTCCATATATGCAATTTTAAATTCTGGTAAGTCAAAGCAGTCGCGAGAGGTTGGATCTTGAACGTGGCTTTTCGGCATCAACCGATCTTATCATGCTCTTACCGTTCCCCCATTTGCTAATTCGCTTAGGGGTTGCGGAAGATCGGAGAGGGAGATAGAGGAAGTGATACAAGTCTGGATTTAATGGCGTGACGTCTACGAGCTGAAAGATCCGTGAGAGAACTCGGGGGACTTGAATAATCCTGCGTAGTACAAGAATCAGAACACTACGACAACCTGACCTTTGGCAAGGGAAGGTCATTGGTCATAAATTGACTTCTAATGTGCCTAGCCTGAGCAGTTAAACAGAATAGCCCGCAATGCGGAAGCCGAAACTAGCAGGCGGACGTGAGGTTGTTCAGAGGTTCCGGTAGCGAGAGCCTCGGGAGGATAATGCCGCTACTTATGATTTGGCTCAGCGCCTTTGCAGCCGGCAGCACGGACATGCGCAGCATGAGCGAAGTGCAGTATCACAGCGCACAAAAGGAAGGAGTAAAGGTGAAACACACGATCCACGAAGCCACCTTGGCATCTCCTTTTCTTGCTAGCTGTACAGAAGAAAGCAAATCCTCCCCCTAGACAATCTTACATCTTAAACCATCTCTAGAAGACAAGCATTTCTTACGAAAAAGCGCTCACCTACACCAGCCTACAGCCAGTGGTCAGCGCGGGATGTGTCCTCAGAGCGATCGGCAAAAGTAAGAGGAAAGGTACTCGGGGCAAGAAAAACAGAAAAAGGCATCGATCCGATTCGCTCCGCAAGAACGCAGACAGCGCCTAGCGGCACTCAAGTGATGCCAATCGTTCGTGCAGTTTCACCTTCATGATGGTGTCACATTTCACTCGATGAGAATATGCCAGACATAATCTCGCCTGGTGCAAGCCGAGCGAACGAGCACTCTCCCTCTCACTAAAAAAACCCCAATTCATCCATCCATCACTCTCCCCATCCCATCTGGGCCACGGGCATCTCCTTTCTTTATCTTCCTCGCTGGCGCTGGCGCGCACATTGCATCAGTCCAAGCATTCGAATCGTGAGCCTGGCGCCGCGCCCCTCCCTACCTGGCTCCCTCGTCCCGCCACTTATCTGCTGAGCTCTTATGGTTCGATATTCGAGGGCTTTTATCGCCTCGACCATTATTTGGCGGTAATGGAACCAGATCTATGACATCCGACAGACAGACTGCGCAAGTTGTCAATCCGTTCCGTTGTCTCCACTTGCCATATGCGTTTCTACAGACACACAAGTGACACACTTTAAAAAATTCAGTCCTAGGAAAACAGTTTCCAACTTGTCGAGACTCGAGAGTCCTGGCTTCTCTGCACAACTGTGCTCATCCTTTAGCTCCATCCAGTGTAGCAAGGCATAGAAGGACATTATGAAGACAATGGCACCTCGCACCCAGAGGAAGGAATGTCTCTCATATACAGAACAGCAACTGCAGCAGTCAGGTCCCTCTTCTTACTACGCTATGGTCGTCGTGGTAGTGGTAGTAAGAGTGGGCAGTCGGACGCCATGAAATCCTCGTTGCTTGGGTTTTTCACCAGACTGGCTGCTGGCGAGGCTGAGGGGGTGATAAAACGCAACATGAATTGCGAAACGAGACAGTTGTCTTGCGAGACACAATTGTCATCAGGTTGGTTTCGTTCAACTACCTCAAACTGAAGCTCGCTGGTTCTTGAGGGTAAAAAAAGTTCTAACATTATCTCGAATTTCTTGTCCTCTCTGGTTGCACTGCACTGTACTACGCGGCCTTTCTTGCTTGTAACCTGACCAAGGGACCAATGAGCTGCAAAAGCTCCTCCTCCTCCTCATCATCATCATCATTTATACCATAACACATGACAACTTTCAACTCAATCTCTTAAATTCTGCTTGTTTTTCTCGTCCTCACCCTTTTTTCTTGATGATCGCCATAGCATACTCGGCCACTCTTTACCTTTTTGTTCCGAGATTTGTCGACGAAAGAGCCCCCTGAAAACTTTATCGGGTGACTGGTTTTTCAGAAACAAAGAATTGTGCTACATTACTAAAATTGACGGTGCTGACTGTACGGTTACTCAGAAAAGATGGAAAGGGTCAGAAAGGGAAGGATCTCTATAATAAAATAAAAACATGAATGTGTGTCCAAGTATGTCGAAGTTAATTTGAGAAGCAAAGACGATTTTTTACAGTTTGACATGTAACACTTTATGCTCATGTGACCCATGATACCAGTTTACGGCTTGATGGGGTCGTCCACTCCTTTTTGCTATATCACTCGGTCCACCCTTGCTCTCTCACTTTGTGTTCACTTGTCAACTGACTACATCTATGAAAGCAGATCACACAGGGCCTCACTCCTCAGGACTGGGCAAAATCTATGGATGGAGAAATAGAAGGAAGTCACCGCTCTGCGAGAATGTATGTCAACCAATAATGGCTTAAGAAATGAACAGTCGAACACAACTTCCTCGTGAAACTTTTGGTGACAGTAGGTCGAATTGCAACCACCATAGCATGATTGCTCGATCATTTACCTACTCACATAATCATGTGCCGTTCGAAGGATAGAACACTCTAGGCTTCAGACGTTCGACCTAGTCTCCGAATTTACATTGTGATATTGAAATGCATCTAGGTAGAAACCTGAAGAAAATCAAGTTGATTCTCAAAAACTACGAAATTTGAGGCGTGCCTTCGATGTGAGTGTTTGAGAAGCATGATTAGGTGTACAGAAGGTTTCAACTTTCCATTCATATTTCACATTCGTCATCAGAGCTGCTTCTGATTCAAGTTAAAACTCGTTCATGACGATGTGTTGCATGAAATCCAGAAGATTCAACAGTTTTCGAATTCCAGCATTTCCAAGCTGAGTTATCGAAACTTTCTCATAACGCCACCTGATTCTTACTTTTTCTTAGCCCCTCCTTCTTTCTTTTTCTTCGCTCCTTTCTTTTTACTTCCTCCAGCTTTGCCCTTCGTCTTACCTCCTTTCTTCTTCTTTTTGCCGCCTTTACCGCCCTGTTCACGGACGACATACAGATCAGTCCCTATGGCAATGGTGGACTGTGACCCCGCCAGGCCTCAGCACTCTCATCACTTTCTTGAAAATAAAAGTCTCAGCTCCAACAATATACATATAAAAAACATACATTTCAATCGAAAAGGTGCAGGAGCATATCTAACCGCAAGATTGTAGACATACGACTGAGACCCTGAACAAACTTTAGTGCGTCTATCATAACTGTCCATCACTTCGACGACAATAAAATAGAACATGACTATCGATCGATTTGTAGCCCAACCTAGAAAACATTGTAGGTTGGTGTTACGTAGAGCCCTCCGCGTCCACTTCTCTCCCCACTCCGAATCGAACTTTTCTTAAAGACGGTTTCTAGCATAGTAGCCTGTAATCTTACGACACTCTTCCACACCGAGCATACATGCTAAACTGTAAATCTCTGGAGAGTGCATTAACAACATCTTCGGTTTGTGATGCATTAATCTGCACTGCCGGTTGTGGTTCATGAACCATTGATGAATCCAGTTGTTCATGATTGAGTAGCCGCTAATGACAGCTCTTCGGGCTGGTTGAAATCAAGATGACTGCCGTCTAATTTCTTCAACACCAAAAGTATTGTCTGCAGACCGATGTATCGAATGGACCAAATGAAACTAGGTCTCGTTTCTTCGTAATAATAGAAGGCACTGCAAACTGAAGAACTAAACAGGATGCTATCTTTGACGATGGTCAAAGATGCACTATACAAGTTGGAATGGTTTTCTCCCGAGAAGAAGAACCTGGAAAAGTTGCACCAAGTGGCTCTCTGGCTTTAGTGCATATTCCTAAATGAGGTCCGCTTGCCCTAAAGGCCAGTGGGTTGTCCCGGTGCTGTATGCCACAGTTTGGTCGAGAGCACGTGCAATCGAATGTTTAATTCTCTACTACTTTATGGTCTCACTCTCCACAATTCTACGGTTTCACGAAAGGGCAATTTTTGGCCGTATAATTTGGTGTGTTACACGAGATGCATATCGAGGCCAAGTCTTGCGAACTGGGCTACGCGCATTGTAATGAGTACTGAGTGTAATCCACTAGGACAGAGAACAAAGCAATGGCCAAGGGAAGTGGAATGAGAGAGGGTGCCAGCCTCTGTCGAGGTACATCCATGTTTCGGATATCCGCTGGAATTCTAGAACAATTTCGAAAATGATTGCTTTTCAGGCCAATCCAAAGATTCGAATAATGTCAGTGTTCAGTAGATCACTGGAAGTGAAATTAGTTTCTAATGCGAATGACACGATTAGCTGAAAAGGTCTCAAGGAATCTTGGCAAACTGGTTGAAGATGCACAGCGATCTGGTCAACTTTCTGGTTTTAATAAAGGCAATAAAGAGTTGCAGAATTTCTATTCCGGAACGCCCTAATAGCAATGGCGATAATGATGGATGGGCCTGGATTTGTCTGCACTCCGATGGATCAGATTGTGTAACTCCGGGTCGGACATCCAGGCCTTGCTAAAAACAGCAACGAGGTATGATCTTGTTCCAGAGAGCACGGCGATGAGCGAAATGCTTCAGATTCTATTACCACGTGGCAGCGCATCTCGTGGAAAGGGCAAGAACCTGTGGCATGGATCGAAGAAGCCCCAAATTCGTCTTCGGTAACGTGTGCGCATTCGCATGTGATGTTGTCTTCGTCTCGCGTCATCGTCGCCTTTCAAATACATGGAAGGCGGGAGCGCTGTGCCTCCCGAAGTGCTTCGCCGCGGTAGGATGATTTAGGACGACACGCAAGACGCGCCGTCGGTTGTAACACGGACCGGAGAGAATCCGATCCTCCGAAGAGAAACTCTCGGGCACTTGAGATCAAACTCCTCTTGAGACATTTCTTTCGTCACAAGAGCATCAATCAAATCAGAAGACGCTCTTCAGAGCCAGAGACTGCCCCCCCTGATTCGAATGAATTTTGAGCTACCCGCGTTTCCTTCTCACTTTTACGGAGAAGTGTAGAAACCAGTCGCGATTGCTCTCGAATAAATCCCCACACCTTGCGATCGAGGGTGCGGTATTCTCATACGAGCCTTTTTTCTTTCTTGCCATGGAACCTCGTCTCATGTGAGCGGGAAACGGTCCCCTTGAGAAATTTCGTCCTCAAGACAAGAACAAGAAGCCCCTCACCCTAGGAAATGAGATTTTGTACTTACAGTACTCTTCTAATCTTTTGCCATCAAAATTAAGATTAAAATCCACTACCTTGAGAACAAAAGTTTGTAGAAACTTTTCTTTCCGTACCAATGTAGGCCATCGTAGTGAAGCTGGAAATCGGAACTCGAGGTTTTTCACGCTGACAATAGATCCATAACTTCGCACTTTCATGATCTAATTAATTGTCAGTATGAAATTGTTCAGACCCAGACCCAGCGCTATTTGACATGTTTCTCATTGTCTGCCGATTCTTGTAATGGATGCATCTTTCTTTTGATTCCACTTGGCCCACCTTTCATGTTGTGGGAGCTACAGCCCGCACAACATCACGACCACGACCACGAGGCTCGTCAAAGAATCAGATCTTCGGATCCAGAGGCACCCGAAGTCCTACACAAATCTACATGTGCAGGAGCTGGAACGCAGCTGGGGAGGTGCTATCCAATTCGAGGCGGCACGAGTCACAAGGCCACGACAAGCAGCACGTGCGAGCGAAGGAAGTCCATCGGGGAAAGGAAAACCAAATACTGTATTGCAAATGGATGAAAAGCGCCCCCCAATCAGTAGAATCTTAGCGGGATCCTCGTCTCGTCGTTGACGTACTGAGAATTTATCGTCTGCGCGAGGATTTTCCGAGCTCCCGTCTGCTGTGAACGCAAGTCGCGTTCGCTCGGCCAACGAAAGCAAAGGACAGTACAATAAGCGCGTGAATGGTCACCCGGCAGAGGAGACAGGAAATCTGGCGATGCTAGAATCATGGTAGCATGCTAGAACCTCGTCGTGGCTTGAATGCCACCAAAATTGTACGTATGGACTGCGGATGAGGTTCCATCGTCCACGGTGTTCGGCATCTGGACGGTCCGAGGCGAATTATGAAGCTAGGGACGGCAAGGACGCGGGCACGCAGGCTCCTGACAGATGCGAAGAACACAGGGTCCGAGATGGCGATCCCGGGTCTCGAAGCTTGGAGACCGCTTTTGGATCAATCATATGATTCCACTCATAGAATCCATGATGAGCAGCTTGCATTTGTGCTTCATAGAATGGCACGTATGAAGTCAGACAAGAGTTTGTCCTGCTGAGTGTGTTTCGTTGCGAATTGATCCGTGAATCGACATCGACATCCGGCCTACTAGCCGGGCTAAGAGCAGTGTGCCAGATCTAATGAAATTAATTGTGGGCTGATTCTGCACTGGCATCATCAGATGTAGATAGGAAGGATGGGAGGCGGTCAACTCACATCTCGGACAGAAACTACAAACCAAGGACCCTCCACCTTCCCTGAGGACTAATCCTCTCGAATCTGTCGCAAGTCTGGGTTAAATGCACAAGGACAACATAAATCCAAGGTGCCCCACTGGTGGTTGAGGAACTGAGTCGCATGAATTACTTTTCCTTGCTGCTGATGCTATGGACTCAATGACCCTACGATGCAGCCATGAGCTGTAGTCTACACCATCTTTCTAGTTAGGAGGAATCAGTGAAGAAGCGGATCCCGCAGCATCTCTAACAGACATCCGCAGTGCCCACATTGCTTTCATCCCTTGAATCCTACTCTTCCTACTGCGAGAAAACTTCCTGCCTATTATACTCGGCTATGATTCCCTGCTACTGAAGCCCTTTACACTGGCTCTTGGAGCTTTACAGCAAAGACTCGATTGTGTTCGACTACGAACCTTCAACCTCAAGGTTTCATGCTGATGTCAACATTCTACGACTCATGTCCAGAAACTATACGCTCGGGCCAAGTTCAACCTCATCTGAACATGTGCATTCTAGCCGTGTCCGGTATGTACAATGATCAACACGTTATAATCCTACATCCATCGCTGCTTTAGCCTGTACATCGTTGTCTAAATATGTAGTTCTCCAGGACTCCAGCAAATTATACATACGAGGTCTACCCTTCAGTTTTACTGACAAAGTGCTTGTTGGCAGTATGTACCGAATCAATTATGGGCATGCCTTATTGGAACACACAGTATATAGTGATTTTCTTCGATGATTCTACATGGACAATCAAGCGGATACTGAACTTGGCTCATCACCGTGTAAAACTGAAAGTAAGTGCACTTTTCCAGAATGTCAGAATCAAGGACCGATTTGGGCATATGATCTTTTGGCTGCCATTTTCCGACTTTGAATACATAGGCGGATAACATTTTAACTACTTTTGTTTAGACATCATGACACGGACAGTTGACATGAAGCGAATGGTGCATATATCCCACAACAGTGAGTGTCAACTTGTACACAAAAATGGTACATGCAAGTCTGGAGAGGTGATGAACATACTTTCTTTTTCTGCCTAGCAACGTACGCCTTGTGCTTCTTCCAGGCACGCTGAATCTTGCGAGCTGCATGATAAGGTACTTTTCGTTCCACGAATTTATTCTGGTCAAGTTGCCACGGAATTCTTCGTGTTAGCTCGTTGTTCGAGCACACTTGTGAATGCTCGCGATGCATCAGATGAGAACTAATTCATATTTAGGCGCAAGTATGGATCACACCTGAGCAAAGGACTAGCGAGTCACTTTTCAGAATACTTCGATCTATATATACCACATGCGGATAGTAGTGGAGTTGAAAAGATGAAGTTCAGCTACTGCATGTAATATACTCTGGTGAGCAGCCTTTTGAATGCACTTACACATATTCGTTCCCATGCAAGTCTCTCTTCTTCTGCTTTAACAGCCGCCTGCCCATCAAACGGTGAAAACTGGGTCACATTTGTCATGAAGAACAATGACAAGAAAGACTTTTGCAAAGTTTGACGTCAACCCGGCTATAGTCTCGTCAAGCACACGTGTGTATATTTTCCCCCAAGGGCCCAACAGAGAGAGTACCAGACGGGCTTTTTCGTCAAAATAGCCCTGATATAAGTTGATCTTCGCTTTCATATCTCTGTGTTCCTCCTGCAAAGCAAACGTCTCCGATTCTTCAGAAATTAAGAACATGAATTGACCGCCCATTTCATACAGCCAAACTTGCAGTTCAAGTTCTCATGCACTGTACGCTGGGCATACACAAAAAAACGGTGAAAAACGCTCCACATCATTCAAGAAATTATCTGGCTTCCAGCAGTACTTGCTCTATTACCCAGATCAGCTTCCCTTCTGTCAAGTTCAGTTAAGTCCCTACCGGACGCCAGTAGCTATGGAGCTAGTTTCTCCACTACATTTCTCAGTAATTGATAAAGGTCTTTGTCGGATCATGAAAACCACGATCAAACGGGATTTGGAAGCAAAGCTGGCATCAGGGAGGGACAATCAGGGTTCTGCCAGTCGAAACACCATAATGATCAGATTTTCACTCATCAGAAGAAATCAGGGAAGGAGAACGGGAGGAAGCCTATCTATTTTCCTACATCTGACGAAAGGCATACGACACTGTCTGGCATGATGGGCTGATGTATTCCTCATGGAAGGGTGGCATTCGAGGTAAAATGTGGACGGTGGCAACACCAACATCAAGAGCACGGTCTTGGTTGATAGCCAACGAGGTGATTACTTTGAGACTGATCAGGAAAAGGCCCAGGCGGAAACTTTCAAATAAATTCGTAAATCCAATACTGGAAACAGTACAAGAAAACGCTTTGGGCATCCGTGAGGAGGAGCCGCATTGTTGTTCTCCAGTGACAATTTGTGGACTGAGAAAAACTAGATAAATGATATATGGCAACTCTGTAACAAGAATGGGGAAAGGGTGCAGGAGAGACACGGAAGAAAAGCTGGTTTGACATGTGCGGCATGGAGGCAATTTTTATACTGATTTTTCATAAGCAACTAGAGGAACATGACCAGCAATGGACTTGTGACCTCGTGATAGCTCGTGTTCCGTCCTATTCATATCTGGAAAATTACTTTTCAGAATTATATACTAACTCTCGAAGCCCCAGAAGTACAGAAGTTGCTGATAGGGGCACAAGCACGATGGACAACTTTCCTCCATACTACTCGACCCACATTAGCGTATGAAATGCCAATCCCGTCCAATGCGCCAGGCTGCAAACAGTACAGCTGAACGAACATCGTACTGGGATATCCGCACGCACACAAAGAGCTCAAACAGGAGCAAGATCAGATTCAGAACTTGAAATTCGTACGTTTCTCGTAGAAGTTATCACTACGTTTTGGGCCCATCTCATGATAAGACAAATGCCACACCACCGGCATGCAGGAATTCTACTGGGGGATGTAAAGACTCCAAAAGAGCAAGATAGACTTGCTGAACCTTCTTTGCGTCAGGTGCACGACAATAACAAGGTAAGGAAATTGTTCTCGGTAGTAGATGAATGGGAGACACAAGCAAGGCCGATTGATACTTGATCATTGAAGTATATTAGTGGTCTCTAAGGAGGAAATGGAAAGGAATCACATATCAGACATCTAGTTCGCAACAATGGACCTCGAAACCTTTGAAATTAAGCCCTACACCGAGGGTGGTTCATTTTCCTTTCCCTTTTCAAATTTAGGGGCGCTCCCAGCACCTTATCTTGAACTTCCATCTGGAGGTCATGCCTCTCAATCATAAGAGCAAAATGGAAAACCATTCCACAACTTGCATACTGCGTCGCAGGGAGGACGAAACTCCTCTTCATTCTGTCATGATACCGAGCTCTCTCTCCAACATGAGAGAAAAGTGCTTCTCTCATGAAGGAGTCCAAGCTGTTTCAGGATATCACCAAACCTTGACCCAAACCCCAAAGCAGCCGCGTTTGAAACATATTTACTGGGGTTCTTATTCTTCAGGAGCATCAGCTACCTGAACACTTTTAGGTTGATACTTAATGGTCCGATCTGATGCAATGGGGAAGAAACTCACTACGAAGATATCCTCTTCACAATCAACCACTCGTCTCTCTTCCTTTCTACTTTTTCCGCTCCTCCCATCCCGCTGTTCCTCTACTACTCAATCTCTTCAAGCTAGCAGTGGCCGGCAAGGGCGCCGTGTCTATGATCTTCAGGCTAAGTCAGGCACATCCTCGTGATTACAGTCACAAATAAGAGTTTATATACTGCATCTTTTACACCAACTATTGCTAGGTTGTAAGCTGCTGTGGATTTAACAATCACTCCAGCAAAATATAACATCAGGAGCTTTGGATAAATGGATAGTCTTACACAGAGCGCATCGAGCTCAGCCTTCCGCGTCAGAATGCCCTGTTCATACTCCTCAAGCAAAGCCTGCACCTCCTCAACACTCTGGCCTTTCTTACCCCGTAGTGACAATTCTCTATCACGATTGTCGTTCTGCATATGCCAAAGTTCCAGTCAACAGTTTCTAAAAGTAAGCGATAAATGCAGATCATCAAACGAAATTGAAGTGTCTAATAATATGGTCAGAAGGCATCACATAGCAAGGTCTAATCTGCACCTGCATCTTTGTCAGGTTGGTACTCATCGTTGTATTCTCCGCGAGCAACATTGTTTCCTGCATTTCAAGCATCATCGTCAAACATGATAATCATTCAAATCTTCATCAAATGCTTTTATAACGATTACAGCTTACCTTCTGCTGTAATTTAGCTCATCCATGCTGTAACATCAAAATCAAGCTCGAAGACATGAAATATTGACAAATATTAATCTCCAAGGTCGTCAAATTGAGCATTCAAAATAATTGAGCAGGGAGATGCTCTTTCACAGGATTTATGGTAAGTGCACCGTGTGACCTCGGCATTAAAGGCCTTGAACTCTCGTTCTGCGAGAGAATCACAGTCGGCTTTAAGCTGCGCCTCTAATGCCATCCTTTGGGCGTTAGAGGTGTCCTTGTCCTCTGCAATTCATATTGTTGGTGATTGCTGTTACTGAACTTACTCCGTTTTAATAAATTCTGCATTTTGTTGGTCCCAGAGCTTCAAAGTAAACATAAGGCCTTAGGTCTAGGTTGACACAGATCGGTGAAATAATTCATGCGGGACATATACATAATACATATGGGACTCTTCTGAGTTGACATGAGTGCAAGGCGTGAATTTCGTAGAATATCGATTCATTCGAACGACATCAGTACATCACGTCTAAATCGCGACTCAGTCCTCACGAAGTTTGAAAATAGGTACACAAGGGAAGTCATAACCATACGTTGAATCTTCTTCTCGGCCTCCTTGTACTGAGCATACTGCCTAGCACGCTCTTTGCGTTCTGCATCTAGTTGTAACTCTAATGCTTGATGCTCCTTCATAGCCTGCATACGCCTTAAAAAAAACGTGGTCTCAACTTATCTTCAGAGGCTTCCTTTTGAAAGCAAGCTCATTCTGGTACTGGAGTATCTTAATCTACACTACAAGGATAGTGAAGACCGTCTGCTTCTGAAAAGTTAGATTGTTGCGAACGAACAAAGAGGAGACAAGCAAACAGGAGCTTTTTTCATCCTTTTGCTAGGGGCATCTGATTGGGGTCCTCCAAGTGTAGATCCTGATTCGGAAACATAGAACTCGCAACCAAACGGACGTACGCGTGTGTGCGCATGCTGCTAATAAGAAGATATGAAGTGCATTGGTTTTACTAGATTCACCACGCTCTGTTGTGAGGGCATGAAATCATTCGCGAGAAACAAAGGGGAAGAATAACAACGTCACTGCCTTTATCCGCTAAAATGGACTGTGAAACATTAAGCGAAGCAGAACCTTCTCTTCACGATAGTACATCTCCTTCCGGTAATCTTCAATTGCTTCCTCTTCTTCGAGAGATGTTCCCAATCTTTTCAGCGCTAGCATTCTGAACTGCATCAAGGAGGAGAAACTGATGAAAACTGCAAGACTTATCCAAAATGTTGCCCTTTCATGTTTACAAGCTCTACGACCAAATTTGAGCTCCTCACAACGCCCATTTTTGAGCATTTTGGTAAGAGAATTCCTTAGCAACGAGAAAGACAGAAGAAGCCGAAGAAAATCCCAACAAACACAGTACTACGTTGTAAAACATACCTTTTGAAACATCTTTTGAAAATATTTTCCTGAGCCAGACTGCTTCGTTTTCAAAGAGGCAAATATTTCAGCACTATCACTGTGTTGCTGGAATGAACCTAGGTGAACATAACAATCAGTTCAAAGGTTCGTCGAGGAAGCTGTCAATGAATAAGCTTCAGCGTTTTCTTAGTCTACAATGAGAGACAAGAGTTGCTAGTTTACATGCTAATGTGAGGAAAGTATGAACTATTCGACTCTAGCATCTCCGGCATCGACCCCACGTTTAAAACTCTTAAATAGCATGAGCGCAGATATGCCTCTGTGTGCCTTCGTTGCCTTTGTTTTCCTGTTTGCCTATAGCTACATTACAGAGAACCAAGACACTTAACAGAGAGTGGAAGAGAGACAGAGTACATATATAGTCGTGTTTGAACTTTCAAGGCATTTCATGCTTTCGACTCTGTCGTTGTGATATTGCATTTAAGCGTATGGAATTTCACATCCACTGAACTCCAGAAACACAAACATATTCACGTTCAGCATATTCGAATTCTAACAGGAACCTCAAGAGAATGTCGGAGAGGGATAGAAATTTCACATACAGCGAAAAGACGAGCGAGCACCCAAGCAGACCAGCTCAGCTGCCTTTCGGCATCTAATAAAGTCTCTTGTTCTCCTGATAAAACTGCACGCTCCCAGTTGAAAAGAATTTCCACGTGCACTAGCAACGCTTCGTAAACTTCCTAGACAGTAGCAAGAGCATTGGAATTTTGCTGTTCAATATGGAGAACGTTTTATTCCTAATTTTGAAGGCAAAGAACATGACAAATTGAAAATAGTTGCACAATTCATCTGGACGTTCAGCGTTGAGCTAAGGTGCATGAATGGTCACATGCTAATTGCTTTCTATGATCTTACTCAGCATCTCAGAAGCTCGATCAAACTCCCATAATATATATAGTCTTCTGCTCCGATACCATTACATCTCAAAGTTTCTAAACATCCCTGTACCTGTTCTGATTTCTTCATTCCTCTGGTCCCTTTATTGCAGTAGTGCTGTGAATTTCCCGATATATTTCAGGCATTTCACTCATGATACTACGACTCAACTTTTTAAGACTTTGATAAAGGCTGGTAAGCACCGGGACTTACGGGAGAGACATTATTCTTCAGGATTTCAGCATGTTGTTGTTTCACAGGGTCTGAAATCCTTCTTTCCATAAGGCTGAGGAACTCATCTGTCACATAACTCAAACCCCTGCAGATATACTGCTTCAGCAACGGAGGATTGCTGTGGCTTGGCTTGCAGATTGATATTTGGTCAGCCTACGGAATATGAGATCCTGACAATGAACACAAAAGGATGCAATGAAGCGCAGTGCATCGACTTATCAGATAAGGTATGGCAAAGATTGGCAATCAACCCACCACAACATCACCAGTCCCTCGTCGAGAAGGTTGAGCAGTGCACTACAATATATGACAGGAGGTTCTCGAGCTATTATCTCCTCGATGTTGTCTGGAAGTGTCGGCTCCTTCTCCACCTGGACCCTCTCCACGACCTGCTCGCCATCATCGTCCACAACATATTGCCCATACCTGGGGAAGAACCCAGGCAGAGGGAAAACATGATGAGGCTTCTTGGATGCCTTGGCAACAGAAGCCTTCTTCGTCGCTGCCGGTGACACCGCCGCCATTTGCACAGCTTGCTCGCTTCTATTCACCATAAAAGCGAGAAACGCTCACAATGTGAGGATCTCATCGCATACAAATTGACCTTCTCCGCAAACACGATCCGCATCTTCGGACATCCAATCATTCTCGCTGTTCGCTTCATCTGCAGTTTCTTCGCGGACATGGCTTGCTGTCCAAATCCTCTCCAGCATTACACAAACGCCCTGCCCTGACTGCCCTACCTCTCCTCATCCCTCGGGTCACCTCGCCAGCCCTGCCTGCCAATCACCAATTTTGAAGAGCAGGCGTCAATCATCTCTGACTGGGACGGACCATTTCTTGAGAAAGTGAAAGCTCCTCCGCCGTTCTTGTCGACCGAGACCTTCTCTTCGCTCCCTGGGGTAAGTTGCTGTCACCGATTCACGGCAAGGCGCAAGGCGCGCGACCAGATGCCATGTCTGGGCTACAGCAGTTAGTGTACCTGCGATCTCGTGGTCTCACTGCCTGCGGTTGTTTGTGACTCGGATTATTTGCCGCAAAGTTGTCAGCGGGCTGGTGTGAATGGGCCGGAAAAGAAAGACAGTGTTGCCATAGGTCAGAACTTGTGGCGTTTGTTCAGCTGCTGTGATATGGCGATGGCCACTATGCTCTGCGATGCTAATGCTGGACTGTAATGTAGAACGGAGACAAGTGTGGGCTCGATGAGTTTGGACCTGACGCATCCCTCGTGCGTATTCTAACACCAGCTCTGCATGAAGTGCACTTTCCGAGTGTGGCTGCCTCTCTCCTTTCCACTCGAGGCGTGAGGTTTTTGATGGCACGGGAGGACATGTATCAGCTGTTGAAAGCGGAATTGACCGGCCAATCAGCTGACGCAGCGGCCAGGATCGTGATTACATCCCAAATGTAATTCGCAGCTTTTTCGAGTGTGCATCATACGCCTTGGAGTATAAGAACCTACATTGGAGCATCTCAAATCCTCTCAGTGAGGTCCACGATTCGGATTCCTCTCATCTAAGTCAGTGTTCTCGAATGTTTGGACATGTAAGACTTGGGATTCATCGAATTGCTTGTTTCGGACCGCCCTGCCAGGTCGCTGCCACGAATTACACAGAGATTCATACGGGATAGCCAAGATTCTTGTCCAATTACAGTAGATGATCATGAACAAATTTGTGTGCAACTTGTACTTCTCCCTCCTGTGGGCTTTTCTGACCTGAGTTCAGAGCTTCTTGTTGAATAGAGGCTGAGGGTGTGTGTATTTCAGCTTCTGCAGCTAGTTTGTTCCGCGATAGAACATTCGATCTTATTACTCCTCTGTTTTGAAACTACAGCTGTGATATCCAGCCGAGCATGGTTGCTGTCCATTCCGCTCGTTTCAGTGATGGCCTCCCTCTTTCGAAGACTTGTAACGTTAGGCGTGGTGGCACTGCTGCTTCAAATGATTGGACTTCTACTTTTTGTTTTGGGATTCTTCCCTGTAAAGCCCGCATTAGATGGCATGAGGTACGTACTCTTCATATTGATTGCTGATTAGTGACATGGAGAGCAGAAGAGGAAGGAAAGCAACAACAGAATGTCTGTTCTTCCGAATCTACAAGTTGGACCTCATCGCTACTAAAATAGAAGAAGGCTGGCTTTCAGTGGTGCAGAGAGCTTCCTTCCTTTCTGTAAGGTCGACGACATCAACGAGCTTGACCGACCTCTCCACGATGAGCAGTATGATTTCCAAGAGGTGTGCTACTGCAGGAACACCATTCACTGTCCTTCCGAAATTGTTATCATTGTTGTGCCTAGCTTTCAATATAAAATTTTATTTTGTGATTCATCTTTGGTGAAAATATTTCAGGACTCATAAAATCTCTGTGTTTCTTTTTCCCGACGCGATTCTAAAGAGTACACTTGCACAATGACTCAATGACCAACTTTTTCTGTGCAGAGAAATCTTGATTTGCCTGCCAAATACGACCGATTGGTCTTCATGGTGAGATTCAGTACAAAACGGAAGAATCTTTTAAAAAAATTGTCTTTTACTTTCAAACAGGTCGTTATGGCATGCATCAGCTTTCTCTATTCTTTATGTTGACCTTTGGATGGTTGCTTTTGTACATTCTTTGTACAATGTCGTGTTCATTGACTCAAAGTCAGGTAGCATGTTTTGAAATTAAGTGCCCGATGCATCTGAACTCCATGTTCCTGGTGTAAGTTCATGCACTGACGTTCAGGTGTATCAGGTTGTGGATGGTCTACCAGCTGAATTTGTTCTTGGTAGAGATGGAAGGCCTCCTGCGCGGAATTTCAAGTCAGCGATGCCTTTTACACAAAACCTGTTGTCCAACGGCTCAGCGTTGGGGTATCATGCCAAAGCGGCACCACCAACCGTGACTATGCCTCGACTGAAGGTCAATGTTGACACTCGTTGCACGATGTTTTACTAGACCGCTGGTACTCATACGCAGTGTTTTAGGCTTTGGAAATATCCGCCGTTTCTTACATCAGGCGCTGAACTCTTCACAGGCCATGACGTCTGGAGCAATTGCTGGGTTCCTTGACGTTGCTTATAATTTCAACACGCAGAAGCTACTCGGAGATAATTTAATTGGTACTGGCTGTTGTTGAATGGACCTTATGAGTGTTCAGTGAACGATGTTTTTCTCGAAGTGATGTACATTACTGTTGTAGTCCGTTGAGTACGAAATACAAGTTCATTCATATCTGAACATGTGATGGAGGAAGCGTAAAATTCCTCAAGAGAATATATGTATCTTCTAAGTGTACCTTCTATCACAGAGAATCCTCAACAGTTAATATATAAGTGGCTGCTTGAATAAACCAGGACAACTGGCACGAGCAGGCTGGCGCATGGTCATGCTTGGCGACGAAACTTGGCTGAAGCTATTTCCAAACCTTTTCGAACGACACGATGGAGTCAGCAGCTTTTATGTAAGCTGCAGCTTCTCTTACTTCAGCCTCACATAAATTTGTTAGTAGTCTGAGGAATTATTTTTGGACCTCCGACGTGTGCAATGTCAAGTCACATAACATTTTCTTACGATACAACTTTGGCCGGAGATACTGAACAATATTGCAAACTCTGCCGTGCTCTGTATTGTCAAATAGGACAGGTGAAGGACACAGTGGAAGTTGACAACAATGTGACACGTCACCTGGATTATGAACTTGAGAACACTGACTGGGATCTTCTGGTAAGGAGCCCTACCTTTCACCCATGGTTTAGAGAGCCCTAATAAAGTGGTATTTTGTAAGAGTAGTTTTCGGAGCTTTATCACCAGTGTTGGTTTTTCTTTGGTGGATGTATTGAGATGAGTGTTCAATAATGTAGGTATAACAACACTTCGAATAATGTGATAATGTGAATCATCTTTAGATGATGTTTCATCACATTAGGCACCTGAAGACTCTTCCATGTTCCATCACTAGCTCCCACTCACCCTTACCCTTAGTTAGGCTACGAGAAGAAGTAAACTTAAATCAAACATATAGAAAATACTCCCCACTTTCAGAATTGAGACAAACTCAATTATCTGCTGCAGTATAAACATCACCCCTCCTCCACAACAATCCAATACTCAAAACATGTGATAAGCACCTGAGGAAATGATGGCTGGAGAAGTGTTTTGTAATATAATTGCTGTAATAACATGTTCAGTTCTGAGTATATTCATGTATATTACATGTAATTTTAGTGAAGCAATTAGGTGACTTAATCACTTTGACAGTGATCATTCGCTCAGGTACTGAGTGAGTAAAATTAGTCTAGAGCAGAAATTTTACTTGGTCAAGCTTCTGAGGGTGGGCAGTACTCTCCTTATAAGTCTCATCTCATCCGAATGCTAATAACTTCGTGAGGGCAATGTGAGTGGTAGCTAGTGATGGCAAGTTCAAGAGAGTCTTCAGGAACTAATGTGATGGTGAAATTATTTTAAATTGACAGTTCTCTTTAAAAAATTCTGATTTGTAAAAGTTTTACTTAGGAATTTCTTTAGTGAGAACAACATTTTATTGAAAGAGCAAACAAGCGTTTTGCAAGAACGGCGCAGTATTGTTTATATGCGTGAACCTCGCAGATTCTCCACTACCTCGGCTTGGACCATGTGGGACATCTTGGTGGTCGTAGCAGGTAAGGAAAGTTTTTTTGCATTGTCACAAGAGTGTTTTGCTGTGGAGTAGCTTTATGTTCTTGGTGTATAACGTGTGTCAAAAAATACACTGGCAAGATCTTGCTGTGTCTGAAGACAACCTTATTTCAGTTAGGGGGCCGATGCCTTGCTCGTGTCCACTTCGCAAAAAAAATGGCCTAGTAGGGATTTTAAGTTATAATTAAGGTAGTGCAGTGAGGTTTTTAATGCTTATAACCTGTATATTAGCTGTCCACTTTCCTTCCGACTTGTTTCTGAAACTTTAATCAGTTTATTTTTTAAACCCGCTCATGGCTCTGAACTGAGAGAAAGGGTCGCCGTCGTTTTTGTTAGATGTTATACCTAGGGACTTTATGTATCCAAGTAGATACTTAAGTTTATGTTTATTGTCTACAAAGGTATACATGATCTTCACACCAATTTGCTTTGTTTGAATTTTTCGTTGGTTTCGGCAGCCCCCTTATGGATTCTAAACTGAGAGAAATGGACTCGGTCATTGAAAGAATTCATCAGACGGTGCTCAGCAAGTCCCCCTTGTCCTCCCGAACTCTCCTGGTGAGTTATTAGAAGACTGTAGAGGATTTACCCCTTCTTACTTTCTTGAGTTGGCTAATGCTTGCTCTCTCAAAACATGATATGGTAGTGATCCAAAGGGTCAATCCTACGACTGCGAATCTTCGCAAACGAATCAAGTTGCTCATATTTGAAATTCTCCTGTCGTAAAGGTGGTGGTCAGTGATCATGGCATGACCGACGGAGGAAATCATGGGGGAGCCACGTATCAAGAGACTGATGCTCTTGCTCTATTCATAACAAATCCTTCTACGAAACCAGATTTGCAGGTTTCCCCTGAAGCGTCCGGGAGTACATTTCTACAGGACGCAGCCTACCAGGTACTTCAAATAGTTGCATGTTGAAAAAAGATCAGCGTAGAGCCTAGAAATCTTACCAATATGACTGGATAGAACGTTAATCGATAAGCCTTTTATACTTCTACTACAAGAGTCTCTTCTCTCTCAAATAGCACTCCCTGCTCCGCCTCCCTCTTCATCACAATTTTTCTCTTTTTCCTTCTATTACTGCTAGCACCGCTCCGCCAGGAATTGGTCTTTAGGTCTTTGGCCTCTATGACATGCAAATACGAATAAGAACATTTATCTCTAATCTAAAGTACGTCCCTAACGTTGCGTGCTCATAGCAACACTGCTTTCCTACCCTAGCAGGTAAATAAAGTATTGTCTTGGCATAAGATTATTAACGAAAATGTGGTTAATTGCAGGTGGATCTTGTGCCAACATTAGCAATCCTGTTGGGGATGCCAATTCCAAAAAATAGCGTCGGGGCTCTGCTACAACCTCTCTTCTCTTCTTTACCGCGTAGGTCTAACTGGGTCATGTTTCTCTGTTTACTGCTTGTCTTCGAAGTAAATCGTGTTACTACGAATTCATTTCAACTGTTTGTGAACGCTCGAAGAGCAAGGAATAGGTTAGTTTTATTGTGATGTTATCTCTTCGCCATCTGGTGCTTTTTGAGTAATCATAAACGCATTTTATAATTAGACAGATGTCATCTGCAGCTGAACTACAGCTGAAAGCGCTGGAGCTGAATTCTTGGCAACTTCTGCGGCTTTTGAGAAGAAGATCTCCTCATTCGGTGTGTATAGCCGACATATGTCAAAACCAAAAAACTACGGATGGAGATAGATCGTCGCCCCCTTCCAAGCAGGGCGATAATGTACTAAGGTATTGTACCTTGTTCAATTTGGCTGAGGAGAAGCGCAAGCAATGGTCAGAGAACGGAAAGGAAGCATCAGGGTTTGAAGAAACAAAGGAAGCTTACCTTCAGTTTATAAGACCCACGTCAGAGTGGCTGGCGAGCGGCAGTACGGAGGTATTCCATCACACTTTCCCATATACCTTCCTTCAGCATGGTTTGTTGGAATGTGAGTTTTGTAGGAGCAACTCCGGTAACTTACCACCAATCTCTTTTTCTAAAGTTAATATTCGTTTCCTGACTTCAAATTGTGTGAAACAGAAGCGACTGACCTTCGTGTTCAGTGGAGGGTTACTGATGCTCCTTTCAACAGTATTATTTCTGCTAGCAGTATATCAAATTCACAAGGCTACCTTCGAGGACCACTCTTCAAAATGTGAAGTTCTAAGAGTAGGGACCTCGCGTGTTTTGATACTGATAGCCGTTGGTGGAGTTAGTGTACATGCAGCAAGCTTTGGATCGAGCTCATTTGTGGAAGAAGAACAATTTACATGGCACTTCATGCTCTCAACTCTCTTGGTGGCCCTTGTTAGAGCTTCCTTACAACAATTCAAATTTGAGAGCGATGATGCAGCTGATGCTATATCAGATCCTAAAGACCTGATGAGTGAAAATTCAGACACATTACTCGCAGACTGCCGCGTGAAGAGAAAACACAATCCTGCGATTGGAACCACGGCGGACCAGTCCAGGTTGCTTCTTCTAGTGACAAGACGTAAATTGATTACCAACCAGGTCTTTCAAATATGCTTTTTACTGGTAGTTGGAAGAATTCTACGGAGCTGGCATCGCAGTGGTGTCAACTGGACGCATTTGCCAGATGTAGCAAAGACTCTTGAAAATACTTACCCCCCGGTTATCGCTTACATACGCGCAGGGTGTCTATTCAGTGTTACCCTGATGTGCTGTTGGATAGTTCCCAAATCACTCCCGGAATCCATACGTAGGATAACACAACTCTGTCTCATTCTGTCAGCCATGCTGATTTTGCTCTATTTTACTTGTAGCCTCCCAGGGTTAACCTCAAGAGCTGCTGCCTGGGAACTTGGAGCTTGGACAACTGTTAGTGCACAAGGCGTATATTGCCTACTAGGTGGAAGCTCGTTGTTAGCATTTGCCACCTTCCCATGGATTCTCTTTTCCAGGTCTCCATGTAAAGTGTCTTCAATCTCACAAGAGGAAATAGGGCTACTTGCTGAGAGTGTCCAGGAGAATTTAGAAACTTCGACTTTGGAGTATTCGGTCAAAAGATCTATGTATGCTACAGGCCTAGTGTTTGTCTCATGTTGGTCACTTCTGCAACTTCTGCTACAGCAATCAGTAAATGCTGTACCTATAGCTTTGCTCCTCTTTCAGCTGCTGATGGCTGTCAATCTGTTCCATACAGCACACGCTTGGGCTCCACGATGGATCTCGGTAACCTATTTCTTCACCTCAAAAAGCTAACGTTCAAATGACCATGGGACTGTTCTGTGCTGAGTGCAGAGTTTGTTTGACCTGATTCTAAATCCTCTGAGCTGCAGGTTCTGACTCTGCACTGGCTTGGAGCATCTGCTCACTTCGGACTTGGCAACAGCAACACTCTTGCGACTGTCGATGTGGCAGGAGCATACATTGTAAGTCACACTTCTCAACGGATTGTCATGGCATGATGCGAGTACGTGGTCACATCAAAGATGGTTTGATGTCTCTGTAGGGATTTTAAGGACAATGTTTACAATGTTATTATACGGATGTACGTTGTGAGAAAGTAGTGAGAAACTAGGAGTCGTTTTCGGGTCATCAGAGAAGCTTGATAGACTTGGCTTTTGAGGATGAAGAACTCACCATTTGGGATATTTCATTTGCAGGGCTTGTCATCGCACTCCACTGTACTATCGGGCATTCTGGCTTTCTTCATCACATATGGGTCCCCTTTGCTCTACATGCAAGGGCTACTTTTGTCCATAAATCGCCCAAGAGCACTGCAAGAAAAGAAGATATCAGAGTTCTCGCAAGCGTGGCTTCTGGAAGATATTATCTTGCCATGTATCCTACCCCTGGCAATGAACAGCATCATTTTGACGTCTTTCACAGGAGTCCTCTATATCATGCAAGATCATCTGTTTGTCTGGAGCGTCTTTTCGCCGAAGTAAGCACCACTCATTCAAATGTGTAGAGGGATTAAATTAAGGAACAAATTAAGATCGTCTCTGTTTGCTTCAACTTCTAATTCGAGAGTTTTCTTCTATTTTTATGTGGATAAATCCGTGCTTAGAGTAATTCGGTTTCTAACGAAATGCATGTCACTTGACAGGTACTTGTATGTGGTTGCAACCACTGTTTGCACGTACACTGGGACGCTTCTTTTTGTTGCAGTAGGAGGTTACTCTATATTCGTAACGTCGTTCAGGATACAGCAGATGGATGGAGTTGGAGTGGCCAAGAGAAAGGTCTGAAAAGGCATTTCACTCCTTTTTCTGTTCATTATGTCTTAGATTTGGAACTAATATTCTCATTGACATGTGTTCTATTTCATGGTTAGTCGAGTCTGTATCGGGTTCTTCCACATCTAATGGTATTATGGTATCGAGTCCAAAGTACTGTTCGTCAACAATCACTGGAATAGAGAGCAAACAAAATCTTATGATTACTTCAAAACCTTTGATTATCGTGACATGATATGACGCAAAGCATCAGAAGTCGAGGATGTTTCCCAGGTTGATAGCTAACCGTGTCATATCATGCTTGAGAAGGACCTTTACATTCCAAAAATTGCACGTTTTTGACCGAGGGAATTTGATGGAACATGGAGGACATATGTGTATATTTACCGAGTCATCATATTGTAGACCTGTTGAGAACACAAAAGTACCATAAAACGGCACTTTACTGCAATTTCATAAGAACAGGAAGAATATATTTGAACTCGGCGTATTCTTAGCGAAAAGCATACGAGGGAAAAGTAAGTATCACAGGCACGGTGGAGGTGTATACATTGAAACCGATGGTATTTGAGACGAATGTACAACAATCGCGTCACCATGTACGGGTTGTATGACAAAAACAGCTTGCACGTGGCAAAGTAAAATACAAAGAATAAACCACGTCTTCGAAGTGGCTAGATGGGAAAATTAGTATCTCTCGACGTTCTTAAATGCATCAAGACATGCTACGGCAAGGCCATACGTTTTGCTGTAACTCCGGACGAAGAGGTCTCACCTTCAGCTGCACGACTGCAAACTCTCATAAAGGAAACCTTGAGCTCTTAATACCATCATTTCAGTCAACTTCTAACCTGTCCCTCAGATCAACGTGACTAAATTAGACGAGGAGACCGAACACGAAAGGTGATCGAATCAAGGGCTTGTGTTTAACGACAAGCAGCACTCAAGGAATGTCGCGGCAAAGTCAGGATATTTTCTAGAAACAAATCCAGATCTGTATTAGATTCCAGCATGTTTGACAAGACTCTTGCGGAGAAAACTGACCAGACACTGAACCAGACAATATCAAAGTTCTCTAGCACATGCTTCTCAAGGCAACCCCAAGACAAGTGACATCTTGTGAGCAGCTTTAGCCAAGCGTGAGAAGGGAACAAGGTGATCAAGGTGAACACATTGAGGAAGGCAAAAATGGAAATTAGAAAAAATCTGATAAGGGTGAACAGACAGAGCTACTCAAAAGAGAGAGTTCAAGAAAATTAAGTGCAAACAGTGAAATAAATGGCAGCAGACTAAAGAAATTGAAGAGCAAAAGAACCCCGTGAAATAGTTGGCAACTCTACAAGTTCTTCGAAAAAGAAATGTTTTTGTTTTCATTGTTACCGGTTGCATCCAGCACAATCTACAAATTCAAAGCCCACATAGCATGCATTGCACGTCCGATGATCTTCGCTAAATCGAGGGCAATTAGTAATAAGAGAAGATGACGAGCATGTGCTGAGCTGCAATGCTGTTGCGTGGATGTACAATTACGCCTACAACGCAATTTTGAGTTCATGATATTGCTACTTTTTAGGAATGTTAGGTACAATCTACAAGGCCCAATTCGTCAAGTGATCCGAACTTGCTACAAAACATAGTAAATCGAAAGGCCAACTTTGGCAGAAAACCGAATATAGCCCGTCGTGTGTCTTCCAAAGGCCGAGTGCAGACATGGAATTAGTGATGACCTTTTTCTCTTCCACAGCTCATCCTTGAGACAGCCGAATAAGCAGCAGCAGAAAAATAAGCCAGAAGCTTTACTTCCAGCGAAGATGCACGTGACGTGAATCACCAACAACCAACTGTTTTGTGGCTTCTCGTCCTTCTACAAGCAGCAGCCAGGGAAGCTTAGCAGGACAAATTATTCAATTGGATCTCCCGACGCCCTCGAATTCGGATTCTCGGTGAAAAGGAAGAATACCAACGCTCATCCTTCAGCAAGAGGTTTCAATCTGGTAAGCCTCCTGACTCGGTCTTTATCCGTCTGCTCAAGCCTGCCCTGTACCACAATCTCATCGAGGCAAAGACAAACCTTCCCATATTTTTCCAAGAACACGCGCTCACTGGGAGCTCTCTTGCAGACATCCCTGATAGACGACGTGACAGCAGTCAACACCTCCACGAGCGCCAGCTCGTCGTACTCATCCTTCCCTACGGTGAAAATGCAAATGTCTCCGAGGGCCGCATACACAACAAACACGGCCTTATGCGACGCCACAAACTGCTCATCGTCGCGGGCATTTTTCAGGTTGTCTGCGGTAAGCTTGAGCAAAAACGACCGCCATTGCAATCGCTCATCCGGAGGTAATCCGTGATACCGCTCTAGAAGAACAGTCCCGGATCGCGTAGCGATCAAACAACAAAGTAACATCACTGCCTCCTCCTCCTCCTCCTGCGCTCGATTCTTCCTCCTCTAGGCAATCGATGTCAAATCCCTCGGTCGCCCTACCCACCAATCGATTGCGCGTTCAGTCATTCATTCATTCATACGCATTGCTCCTTTCCTTCCTACGCAACGCGATCGATCGCTCCCTTCTGCACCTCCGATCGCTCTGAACTGGCGCCCTGCTGCTGTCCCCTCCCCCTGCCCCTCTCCCTCTCAGCGCACGAGCACGAGACCCGGCTGACACCTCGCCCCTGCACTGCCGCAGTCCTCTTCGCATTCGCGATTCGTGACAACCTCGTTCATTATCCCCGTTCGTCTTGGAGTTTCTGTTTTTAGCGTTCGCGTTCTCTATTCACATCTTGCTCTCGTTTTCACATTCATTGCTTCTGTTCCTAAGGTCGCATTCGTTGCCCGATGCTACATTTTGTCTTCAAGTAGTATAAGTGTGAATTGTGTTAGCCTTCGTTGCAAAATGTCATGTGCTGTGGCTACTTGCAATATTCGAAGTAGTATTGGTGATTTACTATTGGGACTTTTATTGATGTACTACTTGTACTTTTATATGATTTCTGTTTACAACTATTTGGAATCATCACCCAAGAGGTTCTAAGTACCAACTATAAAATTATACACCAACCAAGTATATCGTAGTTTTTCTCTTAACTTCTTTTTTCATCTAATATATAATTTAAGATGTACTTCTATGATATTGATCATGTCTCATTCTTAGTTGTTTGATAATATACATCACTTAACTATCAAATCATTTTGTTTATTAATGGCAAAAAAGCATGTGCATTATCCATCCATTCATCATATTTGAAAACAATTGTGAAGCATTGTATATGTTTTTCTCTCAAACAGATGTCATAAATGAACATAGTGTTATTCCAGTGTTTATTTTTTTGATCTTTGATTCAAACATAGAAAATGCAAAACACGAAATATTCACATTATCAAGATATTTTTTCATCTTTTTGGATTGCATGAAAACACAAAGTTGTTTTACTGTAAAAAACTTTAATTGTGTCATATAGATCTACCTTTAGCTCTTTCAAAACTTGACAATGTAATAAATTTAATAAATTGAAAGTGTTTCTTGTCAATTTTGACTAGCTCAATCAATTTATTCAACACAACATGTACAACATCTAAAATCATTCATAACACTCTTTAATAACATCGTCTTGATTGTGTTGTTACTACATAGATGACTTCTATCGTATATTGAGCTTCACATTTTTAAAATTAGAAGCTTCCACTTGTGGATTTTTTTTTTGGAAATGTAAACACATAATCAATGATATATATTTTTCATCCCTATAATGTCCAAAATCAACATCTATATAACATATCTAAGATTTTGCATTGTAAAATATTGTATAAAATTCAATATTAAAATTTGTAGTTTCTTTAACATGTTTAAATACTCATTTCATTGCTTTTGAGTAAAAAAATTTTTGAAAGTTGACGTGTATTTGTTAATTTGATCCAAATATCATAAGTAATATCAAGCCTAATGAAAATCATTAAAAACATACAAAATCCTTCATACATCTTTTACATCAAACTTTTCTACACGTCTACAATCTGACAAAAAACTAATGAAATATTGAAGTGATGAGCTAAAAAAGCATATACAATTTTGAGTACACTTTTCAGTATACTTGTACTAAGTTAATCATAAACTTTCATCTTTTTGATATCTTTATATCTTCATCTTCAAGATACTTCTTACTACAATTAGATATTTGATTTTATATCCTTAATACATCTTTTACATCCAACTTTTCTACACATCTACTATCTTACAAAAAAACTAATGAAATTTTAAAGTGATGAGCTAAAAAAGTATATACAATTTTGAGTACACTTTTAATATACTTGTACTAAGTTAATCATAAACTTTCATTTTTTGATATTTTTATATCTTCATCTTCAAGATACTTCTTACTACAATTAGATATTTGATTTTACATCCATAATTTTAAAAACTTTTGAAATATCAACATCAAACATGTAACCAACAAAGAATCACTCATTGTTTGATATAAAGATGTCTACAATGATCAAAAAATGTGATATGAATAGTTTCAACACGATAAAATAGTTTTTGGAATCAAAATATTCAAATCGATCAAAAAAATTGCTACAAATATGTATAAAAATATTCAAAATCATAAATGATAATAAACTAATGCTACAAAGATGCTCTTATGAGTAATATTATATATATACAAGTAGAGTCAAAGTGATAATACAAAAATATAACAAAAATGTTATAAAAAAATTTGTGTTTTTGCAAAATCCATATTTTTATGAGTGCATTTCTGATGAAATCAACCAAAAAGTTTACTTTGATTCTTTTAATGATCACAAAATTTAGCTAAATTATGATTAGATACAACTTGAGTTTTTAAATTTACAAAATAATTAAAATTTCTTTATAATATTGTGAACATCACAAGTTTGTCTTCTCAAAAACTTTGACTTATAAATGAAATAAAAATTTTTAAATTATATTTTTTTATTGATTTGACAAAGTAAAAAAATTGATAGATTAAGATTATGTTTGATTTGGTGGCAGAATTTTGAAAATTTCAAAATCTCCAATATCATTCATCTTAACTTATAAAATAAAATCCTAGTATGTCTAAATACTCATGATCATGTTGTCATGTTATATTTTGTATACAAATTAGTGACACATATCAAAATAAATTCCAATGAAAGTAAGATACATAGTAGCTATTATATGTAGTTATGAAAATTTTGAAGTAGTATAAAATTAAAGCTAGTGAATATCTAACGGTGAAAATTGGGATCATAGTGACCAAGCCAACAACACGAAAGACACACTTATAATCTAATGCACCCTCAAGGGCTATGTCCACGGAATAATACACGCAAGAGACTTTACTAATCGAGATGAAAACACAACAATGCTTGCAACACAGAAACATAAGAGTATATATATATCCAACATAGCGACCAATCTCCACTATAAGTAACTACACATGATGTTACTCCTCAACTGAATTTAACCTCAACAATGTTTCCCTTAACTCGTGTCAAGGAATTTTAGTAATCTCTCTAACCTATATTAGCGCTAGGCGAGAAGTTTTAGATGGAAACCTAACACAAGGTCCCTTTTTAAACAAAAGTTAACTAGAACTAAGTCGTATAATAACAAGATAGAGTAATAATATACCGAGGTAACTCAACAATCTTTCCTTAACTCGTGTTAAGGAATCTCAATAAAATTTCTAACCTATATTATTACTCTCATAACATGAAAGAGTAATAACATACAAAGTTAACTAACAAAGATATCTGTGCTTTCTATGCAAAACCTGCATAATAACACAGTGTTGCCTAAATCTTTCCAAAATATTAACTTTGTTTGACGCATTAGTTGGATTGAGTTTAACGTAAATCTTGATTAGCTCAATTACCAAAATGTATCGTCAATGTTGACTGTCTCAATCACGTGCTCAAAATCCCTATCACTATTGATGCTCCTATTTGATCATTAATCACCTAAGGATAAATTTTCCTACAATTATATTTGTGAATGTATATTTTTCTCTTGTTGTTCCACATAGCTAAATTCTCTCCCCCTCTTTCAATGAGCAAGTCCTCATTGAAAAAAACATTCATACTCACAATATATCTCACATACTACTAGATTTCATAGCCTATAACATTGCCTTTTCAAAACATGCCTCATATGCCGCAATAGATCTTCTGACCTATTGCGTTGTCATCTCAACTAAATATAAAAGTAACTTTCAAGGCAATTTTCTTTGTTTAGGTCATCTTTTGGCTCTTGAAAATGATCGAGATGCACTATTCACGTCAAAAACTTTCCAACGATACTCAATTTTTACACAATGTGACAGATTTTTTTGAACATAATATTTATAAATGGAATATTTTCTTAGACGTAAAGAATCTTCCATCGTTTATCATTCACGACAATAGTTGCCATTTACACATTGTACTTCATCCGCGACTATAATTGCACGTAATCATCATCAACGTCATTCATAACGGTCATTCGTGAACTACGACACTGTCACCGTCGATCATGAACTATCACTATCACTATTGCTTATTGATTGTCAACGTCAACTGGGTTCGTTTTGTCTATCATTGTTGTCTTGCCTACCACGGTTGTCCAGCCAATCGCGGTTGCGTTGCCTACCTGTAATCTGTAGAGAGTCATATGTTAGTTGACATCGTCACGTCAACGATCTATGTGCGAGTTAGATAAAAATTAAGTGTGTTAATTGAGAGTGCCACGTAAGCAAACCGTGTGCTTGTTAGATTATCCACCATGTCATACATCCACTATGAATGGTATGGATGATAGGAATAAGATCTTATGTTCTTATACTTGTTAGTGAAAGTTTTATAAGGGAGATGAAAATCATTGTTGGGATCTCTCATCTTCAGAGTTTATGTATCCATTTTCGAGTGAACTTCTCTCTAAACCCTAATGTTACAATGGTATCATAGCAATTTTGCTCTTTCCTTGAGTTTGGATTAATACTTTTGGAACAACAAGTGAGTGATGATAAATTGTAGTTTTGAGAGTGTACAAAGGTTGGCAGAGATCATTGATCTACAAGTAGATAGAAGGAAAAAAATGGAATTTGTGGTTTTGCATATATAGACGGACTTGACAAGAATCCAATACCGCACTGGCCGATTTCTAACCTATTTGATATTCACCTTCGTTGCATGGAAAAACATCATTTTTGAATGTAACTTGTTGGGGTGCAAATTTTATGATTAGAGTAATGAAGTCAAGAGTAACACTGATTCTTCCAATAGTTAGTCATAGAAAGAGATAAGATTGTACCATATACATTCTATACTGAATTTTTCATGGATTTGAATCGCGAACCATCCGTACCGGTTCTGTAAGACCGGGTGTTGCACATATGTACTAAGTCTTAGAAGTGGTCAAGGGAATAAGGATGATTAGCCAAGGCATAGCTAAGACTAGCTAGTTATGACTAAACTAGTTAGTTATAACTAAGTTTATCTAGTCATGACTAAGTTTAGCTACAATGTCTATAGTTGGCGGAGTAATTAGCGGAGTTCTAGAAGAATGGAGTGAGCACTTCTATTTTGTCTTTTACAAGGAGTGAGCACTTCTATTTTGTCTTATACAAAAGTTCTAGATTCCAAGGGATTAGATATTTGACTAGAAGCTTGGATTTGATTGGTTTGACTAAATGTATGAAAGATGATTGGCTA